AGAAATGTGTGAAAAATGACTCGCAAATTGTCACCTTTTACAGTTTGATTCAAAGAAAAGGATTATCTTTGCTGAAATGACAGATCGGTGACAGAAAAAGGGAAAATATTTAAAGAAAAGGGAAGAAGAAAACGAAAAAGAATACGGTAGACATCATAATGAATTCGAATATCGGTTTCAAAAAAATGATTATTTTATTTTCGAAAACAAACTATTCGATCATTTGCTCATAATTTTGCAGAAATTTTTGGTAACGGTAACGGTAACTGGTTAAGTTACTGGCATAACGGTAACGGTAACTGGTTAAGTTACCGGCATAACGGTAACGGTAACTGGTTAAGTTACTGGCATAACGGTAACGGTAACTGGTTAAGTTACTGGCATAACGGTAACGGTAACTGGTTAGTTACTGGCACGGTACGGTACTGGTTAGTTACCGGCATACGGTACGGTAACTGGTTGTTCTGGCATACGGTAACGGTAACTGGTTGTTCTGGTCGGTAACGGTCTGGTTTTTGGCATCGGTACTGGTTAAGTTACCGGCATAACGGTAACGGTAACTACAGGATGGCACACAAATACCCGCACTCAATTCAAATTCACACTTTGAACTTTGATCCCTAATCGAAATTCATTGTTTTCTAGTAAAAATGAGCTAGATTTTAGAAATAATAAGTAAAAAGAAGCTGATTTTCTTTGTTTTTCAGACATTAAAACTAGTTACAAAAACCAGAAAATCGCGATTCCGCCGCAGGAAACGCGTGTCGCGACTTTGCAGCGCTCTAGCAAACGTTTAGAAACGTACGGTATCTTATTGTCTCAGCTCTTTTCGCTGTTCTTGCTGCTTTGTGGGTTTCAATTTTGGAATATTGATTGGATGAGTCTGATTGTAAAGCCATAACGGTAACGGTTATGGCGGTAACTACAGGATGGCACACAAATATCATTCAAAGCTATCAAATGACTATCATAGTTTTGTTTATCTTTGAATTTGCACTATCAGTAAAACTGTAACGACTACGCGACTGTACGCCCAGAATCCCATTGTTTATTGCAAATTTCTGTACTTTAAGCTTAAATTCAGATCTTTTTGTGTTATTTCCTCATTTCTCAAAGATTTCACTTCTCTTTTTTCCTTTGCCCTCTATTATTTTCTCATATTTACCGTCGGATTATCCCCATTCATTTTTTTGAAAAGAGATGACCGTCAAGTTGAGATCCCTTGATTCACATGCAAATCTATACAAATATGAAATATATTTTTGCAAATAATGCAAAACTAACGGGGGTGGGACAAATGCGATCTTTTTTTTTGCGCACCTGGACATTTGCGCACCTTTTTTTTGCTGGAAAAGGCCTTAGGAAAAGTCGTAGAGCTTCAAAAACGTTTTCATAGAAGGGAATCGTAGGCGTAGATTCCGAATTTCGACAAATCAGACCTCGCTGACACGTCAAATTTGGGCTAAAAGGCAAAAACTGCGGAAAAGCGTTAAGTTGCGTAGTTTTTGCCTTTTAGCTCAAATTTGACGTGTCAGCGAGGTCTGATTTGTCAAAATTCTGAATCTACGCCTACGATTCCCTTCTATGAAAACGTTTTTGAAGCTCTACGACTTTTCCTAAGGCCTTTTCCAGCAAAAAAAAGGTGCGCAAATGTCCAGGTGCGCAAAAAAAAAAGATCGCATTTGTCCCACCCTCAAAACTAAAAACAAATTGAAACTTTTTTCCTACCTTGCTTCAAATAATCAAAGAAAATTGATCATTTTGGCGTTGGCTTTTTGACAAAAAAAAACTTACATTATTTTAATGTCAATTTGTCAATTAACAATTACCTTTAACTTTATCATTGAGTTTACAGAAAAATGTAAGTGATTCAAGGTGATTCTCTCATAAAAAGGAACGCTTTATATCTCTCTTTTCTTGATTTTCTCTCACTGAATATCTTTTTGTATCATTTCATCCAAAAGACAGTCAAATGATCCTCTCAGTTTCTTTTCTTCTTTTCTTTTCTCTTTTCTATATTTTGTCTTTTTCTTTGATTTCCCTTCATCTTTTTCCCATTATCATCATTCCACCAATGATTTACCGCTTTTCTTTGCCCAAAATTTTTGAGTTTTTTTTCTGTCAAATTCCCTTTACCCACTGAACCGCTCAACGATGTGAGACAGTTTGAAAAAGAGTTTTTTTTTACAAAAACATTTGCTTGAACAATTATTGATTTGTTTTATAGAAAACATTTTGTAGAGATAGCTAAAGCTAAAGCATGAATTCAAGCTACAGCCAAAGCATGAATTCAAGCTACAGCCAAAGCATGAATTCAAGCTAAAGCCAAAGCCTGAATTCAAGCTACAGCCAAAGCATGAATTCAAGCTACAGCCAAAGCATGAATTCAAGCTACAGCTAAAGCCTGAATTCAAGTTAAAGTTTGCCTAAGATTTTAAAACCAAAAACTTTTGATTACTAAATCAAAAACTTTGAAGTTGAAAGTTCTTTCAAGTTTACTGCAGAATTTCCCGTTTTCTAAGAGCTCAAAAATTGAAATCCAGCACACGAAAGTGCCAATTATGGATTAGTAACGAGAAAAAGAAGAGAAAATAGTGAATATAGGGAGGATAAGGTTGTGAGGGAACATCCAAATACCGTAAATACGGTAATAGTACCCCCATAATGACGGTGGGGAGCGTTGAGTAGTCTAGCTTTGGACGAGTGTTTCTCGACACTGGTTTATGCTACAATGCGCGTTTAGTTCTCAAAAAATAGCTAAAATTCAGGGCTATTTTTTGATATCAAAGACGCATTTTTTGAAAGTACGGGTGCTTTGAAAAAAATGAAATACTAAAAAACTTTTGCGACTACGCGACTGTACGAGGGGAGTGGGGTCCAATTACAGTATTTACGGTAGGCATAGCAAACTAGCTTTATCATGTAATTAGTTTATTAACGTTTTCTTTTACAAGCCACACTTATCACCAAAAAAAGAAAAGAAATGGTTATTGAAAGTAATGACTGGGTACCCCGGTGAAAGAAGTGAGTGAAAGAAGAGGACGTGTGAGGTGTGTGATCGTCCCTTCATCGTCCCTTCATGCGTATGCAAATCTCTCGGCGAATAGAGAAGGCTACTTCCATACATCGACATTGAAAAAGAAAAGAGAGACAAATTCCCCCATCCGCTACAAATCACTCACTCACTCGCTCACTCACTCACTTTTTCCCACACTCTTCCACAGCTACTTGTTGCTTTTAACCGTATTCCTCGTTTTGCTTAAAAAAAATGCAAGATTTACATGTGATTGTAAATCGGATTTGCATGTCAATCTTCTCGATTATTGGATTAGTCCCACTAAAAAACCCCAGAAAGCCTATCTTTGCATAAAAAGTCGCATAATCAATGTTTTTTGTAATTGAAACTAGTTAAAACATGTTTTCCTGTTAATCAGCTTTTATTAAAACCTCCAATTCCCACGGATTGGTAACTTTCCAATTCTAAAATACGCTTAAGCTACCGTACTCGAGACGGCGTCTCCTTTCCGCCTTCAAAATGCATTCTTTTAAAGAATCGTTTCCCGGTCTGGCGCTTATCCCGGTTTTTTGCGCGTTTTTGTCTTTTGCATTTTCCTCTTTCTCTATTCCGTTATAAAATTTTGTTTATTTTTAAAATTTCTCTCCTCCTTCTATTGTTTTCCACCCCTCCATCCCTGTTTTTTGTAAAATTGTTAAAGTTTTAGAGTTTCTCTCCCGATCTTTTCCACTTTCTTGATCTTCGGACCCGTGTCCTAAATATCACCAATAAAGTTAATAAAAAATCTAAACTTCTTTTCTCTATAAACAGTCAATCCAACCCAGCCGCGAATCATCTTATTATTCCCCTCATTTTGGCAAATAATTTGGAATTAGTGTTTCTGGGTTAAAAGATTTAGCAGTTTGGGAAAGATTTCAACCCGGAATTTGGATGTTTTCAACCGTATACTTTTTGCTTTGCAGCCGTTACTTTTTGTTTGCAACCGTAACTTTTTGTTTTCAACCGTTACTTTTTGTTTGCAACCGTTACTTTTTGTTTTCAACCGTTACTTTTTTCTCTTTTCTGATTTCGAAATTGAAAAGAAGGTTTACTTTGAAATAATTACTTGAAATTGAAATAATTACTTTTTGAGTGAAATATTGAAATATTCAATGTGTATGAGTGAATATGTTTCAATTTTTAAAGATAAAATTGTCTAAGTGTAGATGAAAGACGACTTTTACCAATAACAGCGATAGCTCGTGGCTAACTGTCGATGACAATTTGTGAAGTTGAAAGAGAGAAGAGACTGTCAATATTTCCCCTCTTTTCTCTCATCTTTTTCTCCTCTTCCATCTATTATTTCTCTCTTTTTCTTCTCAAAATTTCCCTTCCATTCATCGCACCAATTTGTCCTCCAAGTACACACCAATTTCTAGTTATTGTCTGCGTTTTGATTTATTCCTTATAAAATTTTCCTTTTCATGTTGCTTAAATTTGCTTTTTTTGCTTATTAATGATGAAAATAAGCAATTTTCGGGGAAATGATGAAAACTATCAAGAATTCAAATAATTTTCATTCAAGTTGCCATTTTTAAACAAGTCTTGTGCCTTTGAACTCTCCAAAAACTATCATACAACTTTTTATGACTAGTACAACTTGGTTAGATCAAAAATTCCTTTTTGTTCTTTGAATTTCTATCAACTTTTTCTTTTTTTTCTTTTTGAAACCAAGAATTCGGGACTGCAATAATTACTTTTTTTTGGGCATCTCTAATTTATTATTGATGCCTTATGAGGAAAGGATCAGTGAGTGGAAAATTGAGGAAAAAAACACTACGTTTTCCTTGAAATTAGATTTCAATTGACAATTATCATATTTCATGCGCTTTCTGATGTTTAACGTACGATAAAATTGTGAATTTCTGTTTTTGATTGGATATTTTGTTTTCATTTTCATTGATGATTTCATTTTTATTCAATTTTCAGATTCTCGCAATGCAAAATGTGGGTAGTTAACACGACACTTTTTCTGCTATTCTCTGCCCACCTCACAAATGGTAATTTTTATCGTTTTTTAAATGTTTTTTTACTCTATAAGACTTGTTTTAACCTTGAAATAATCACAGAAATGAACAAGTTTGACAAAAAAACAAGCCACTTTTGCGGTCTTTTTCTAAATTCCCAAATTTACCAATCCAATTATACATGGAAATAAGTGTATACAACGTTTTTGCCTTCCTCTTTTTCCGGTAAAGAGTTTTAGTAAAAATCCCTTAATAGTTAGTTTAAGGATATTTGCGCGCAACCTTAACCTTAAAATCTTTTAAAGCCAACTCATTTCTGTAACTTTCAAATGCAAAAGAACACCTCTCTCCTCTTTTTAGGGAAAATCGACTCTAGTTTTCTTCTAGTTTTCGGATTGATTTTGGAAAAAATACCTTCATAACAAAGATTGATCCTTTTAAGATTACTATTACATTTAAAATGCCTAGACTAGAGATTGAAATCAAGGGTTTGAAAGTGAATAGTTATAAAAAAGAAATCGGTTTTGATTTAGTCCGTTCCGAAACATAATCTCACGACGATTCATCAAATCCAAAAAAAAAACATTTTATCGTTAATCTATAAGGTTTTTTTCTAATCTTGTCACTCATCACACGTTTCATTTATCTAAAAGAAGTCCACTCATTTTATCAGATCTCAGATCTAGTCTTCCCCCCTTTATTCACCTCCTCGAGATCATAAAAATGATCATAAAATCATTGCCATTTTTAGGGGAAATTTAGGTCTCTTTAAAGCAAAAGAATACAGCCATGAAATGGGAATAGATACAAGAAATTCCACTTCAATTTCCTTTCAATTCAATAAAAATTGAAAGGAAACCTTTAGCATTATGCTTTAGGAGTCTAGAAGATTTAATTTTGAAAATGGGAGAAATGAAAGAATATTGTTAGTTTGAAAATAGCAAGTAGTTTTTCAACTTTTATTTTCTCATTATCGGGAAGTCAAATGAAATGAAGAAATGAACAAGCATAATAATGCTCTTATCCTTTCTTTTTCTTTCTTCTTTTGCCTTATGCCGGCATTTCTTTCATCTTCACATTCACAGCCTTTAAGGTAAAGAGAAGCAAGAGAAATGAGAAAAGAAGATGAGACTAATCCCATTTATTTTCTTTTACTTCTTTTTCCGCCATCCCTCATTAGAGCCTTATGATTAGCGAAAACTCGATTTGATCATTTGAACAATAATATTGGATTGGATAATATGAGATCAAATTAGAAACGATTCTCACTAAAATCAAATTATCGGTACGTAAGATAAGTTTTTGATGAAGTTTTCTGTATAAAGGATTAAAGAAATGATTGGAAATTATTAGAATGAGAGAAGCTATCATTAGGCATCTCCTCTCCAAGATATGCTAAAAGTTTAGACCAATTAAATCCAAGTACTACGTGGTAGACTCAATAAAATGAATAGCTCCAATCGATTCGCCGACTCTGAAAACCCTCCAGCTGAATATCTTTCTATAGCATCAACAAAGCAAGAGAAATCTCTCTGTAAATGGTGTTCTTTGTGCGCGCGCACAATCGGTCGTCGTCTGGCATAGGAATCTGGTATATAAGATTTCCCTCTTGTCCGTGAGCGACTGAGCCGATTTCCCCATTTTTTTTTGTTGGTCATTATGCCCAAATTTTTGGGATCAAATTTGCCCTAAATTTGGCTGTATTTTGCTATAAATTCTACATGCTTGTGAAAAAACAATGTGTTTGAGTCGAGAGCTAAAGAAAAAATATTTGATAGAAATCTGAATGTGTTCTGGAATGGTTAAATCATCATTGAAATTAAGGGCTTCGGTTGAATGGACGGGAAAATCGAGCCACCCGAATGTCGGTGGTGGATTTCTGGAGAAATGAAACTGAAGGTTTAGTTTCTAATTGTTTTTCCTATTTTTTAGTCTCTAAATTTTTTGCATTTCCTTTTCTAGGCGATGGATTGAATGTGAAGGTGGCTCATGCAATCAATTCATGGCCTGACCTCGTCGATCAATTACACGGTTCGTTTTCTCAAGATTCCAACAACCTATCATTTTACATTCAACTTGAAATTTTATCTATGGTGCTATTGAACGGGATTTTGAACACGATAATGATCACTTGAAAGATTTAAAATTGTGAGATATCTTGAAAGTATCTTGAAAGTAAAGTTTATCTATCAAAGCAAAAAGACTTTCTTTGTTTTCTTCTTTTGATTCAATCTGTCAATACTGTTTCTAATAAGTAACCGGGAAAGGAAAAGCCGCAAAAACACCTGGCCTTTTTGGGGAGTAAATGAATAGATTGAGATGAGGAAAAGAAAGAAGAGACAAATCAGGGGAAATCAAAGAAAACCGCCTCTTTTGAGACAAATGAATGGCAATTAGGAAGGGTTTGGAAGGGGAGAAAGGAAGTGGGAAAAACGATTTACTTTGTATTGAATGAGGGATTTTGTGACAGCTTGTGTAAAAGATAGACAATCAACTTTTAGAGCCATTTTTGAACAAATCGCTGATGATTGAAGGAGATGTCTTTTTACAAGCTCATCGAAGACCAAGACATCGAACCATTCCCGTTATGCAATCAAGGAATTCAAGGTGAGATTTTAGACTTCATTAATAGTTTTTAACGGTTATCAATCCCTTAACCGACCCACACAACGAGGGTTCGATTCCGGTCACGGTTTTGGTCATGGTGTTTCGTTTTTTGACAAAAATTGATCAAGCTTTTGCATTAAATCTGAAGATGCCAGTAAAGTAATTAGTTTTTTTAAATATTGCATAGCCAAGCTTTAGTCCAGGAGCGTTAAGGACTCGAAAATCTTTAAGGACCATTAAGCCAAGTCTATAAGAATTTGAAATCGGTGTACTTTAAGCAAATTTTTTTTTTGCTTTGAAGAGAATGAAATGGCGCCGAGAATCAAAGAAATTTCGAAAACTTCTAGCAGACTTCGTTAAGTGATACGCGTTTGATATCAGAAGAAAGGTTAACTAATTCTCTACAAAATGACATTTAAAAGAGTACTCAAACGGCGCCTCAGCTCAACAAAAGACCGTTTAAAGACAAATCTTTAAACTATCATCTAGAGAAAAAGATTGGATGGATCTTCTTGAAAATTTGGCAACTTATGTATTAGGTTGTTCGGATATAAAAGGGCGTTTGCACTGCTTAACTCGTGAGGAAGCCATTTCCCGTATCTCATCGCCTTTCTGATGTGACTGTTTGGCCGGGTTGTAGAAGCTCGAAATACACAAGGCCCTTGCTATTCCACCATACTGAGAGCATGACCTTTTTCCCATGAATGTCCGATTTGGCCGTTCTCCTGGTCCTAGTCATTGCCGTTTTCGAATGGTATTATCGAAATAGAACCACTTCTCATCTCCAGTAACGAGAGAATGCGTGGCGGATGAGAATTCCGGCAATAGCGACCCATTAAGCTTTGTTTGCACTGCTTAACTCGTGAGGAAGCCATTTCCCATATCTCATCGCCTTTCTAATGGCGTGCAGATGCTCATCAATAGTAGAATTTGAACATAGAAACTGTTGAGCAAGTTCACGCGTCGTTTGACATGGATCCGGTTCGATTGCAGCTCTCAAAGTATCGTTGTCTACCGCTTGAGGTCGACAAGAGTGTTCATGATCCTTGCGACTTTCATCACCATTCCGAAAGCGTTGGAACCAGGCTCGGCATCGGCTTTCGAACAATACATCATTCTCAAATGCTTTGACCGAATCTCGATGGCATTCCGCGATTCCTATTTGGTTCCTATTTGTTCCTATTTGATTCCTTTGCCCAATTTGAAGTAGTAAAGTAGGCAGACGCGAACTTGATATATTGGAAGTCGATCATCTAAAACAAGAAAAAAAGATCTTAAAAATAAGAAATTATCCGTTGAAAAAGATTCCAAATATGCACAAGATGTACTTTTAAATACAGAAAGACATGTTTTAAAAGCTTTTCTCATAACGATAAGTTTAGCAACACTTGTTTATATCCGAAGAACCTAGTATTTTAGTGTGCTCTATCTTTTTTATGTAGACACCAAAGAAGTTTTATGTGAAAGAAAACGGTTCAAACGATGAGTCGAACTCTGACATTTTGACTAGCTTTGTTTGGGAGTCCACAAAAGAAAACCTTTGTGGAATCTCTGAAAAATCATTTTGTAGAGAAATATTTCTCTTTTTGTCCCTTTTGATGAAACAAAACGTGTATCTAAAAAAGGCTTTATGCATGTAAAAAGTGTTTTCAAAGTTCAGCGCCAGTTCAGCGCCATTTCATTCTCCTCAACCCAATACTATCGTCTTGAGTTTTTCATTTTAAACTTTTCTTCACAATTCGCTTCCACAATTTTTTTCTTTACTCTTTCAATAAAGAAATCTTTTTTATTTTTCTCATTCCATCTGCCGATATTTCATTTCAAATAGTATTTCAAACTTGCTTTTATCATTTTTTTTCAGAATGGCCGATCGAATCACTTTTCGTGATTGGCTTCGTGAGGTGGCAAACCTCAAAAAAGGTTTATTTTTTCTAAAATCCATAAAAAATACTAGCTTAATAGAAAAATTCAAATCTGTATATCAAAAGGAAATGTTTTGTGGGTGATAAATTTCACGAAAAGTGGGACCACCCTATAGCAATCCATCATTCAATAGAAGGGGTGATGGGAGAAAAAAAAGAAAAGACGAGAAATCTCTTGTTCGTAACAATATGCAAATTTCACCCGAATTTGCGATATCCTAAAGAAATTTCTCTGAAGAAAAAGGAAAGGATAAAAACGAAGAGATCTCATCAATCATCGCAACAATTCAGAGAAGAAATGGGGAAAAGACGGGGGGTGAAACACTGGATTTGTTTGAAATCTTAGTGATAATATGTATGAAAATGATTACACAGGGACTTTCATAATGCATAAAAGTAGTAAAGAAGGAAAAAAAATGAAAGTCAAGCTGTCCTCTTTGATTCACTCTTTCAATTTTTTCAGCCATCAAAATCAACTTCCGAACGACAGAAGTTGTTCGCCCTGTACTGCAATATCTCTATGCTTCACAGGTAATCAAAATTTACAATCACTGAGCAATTTTCGATAATATTTTTCTCAGGCAGATCCAGATAGTCCAATTCTTGATCGACCAGTCATTCTTCATGCAAATGTTTTCCGAGCGCCGAGATCTGTTGAGGTGAATTTGACGAAGAAATACAAATACAATACATTTATTTACACGAATAATGTGGTAAAAACAATACCCAAGCACAAACCCTAAGCCCAAAATCTAGGAAAAAAAACAATACCTAAAAAAGAACCAATAGTCTAGCCGGCGGGATTGAACCCTTATCTCCCGACAGATACAGGGCTTTTAGCCAGTCGGCTATGGCGGGGAAAAAAAGAAAGCATGAGAACATAAAAATAAAGTTTCACTACTTACGGAAAATATGTGAATCGCTTAGTTTGCTGCTTTTTCAAAGAGCACAAGTTTTTTTTATCAGAGATTTCAGAGCTGTGCATTTTTATTGACTTATTGGATCTCTGGATCCAATAAGTCTCTAATAAGTAACCGGGAAAGGAAAAACCGCAAAAATATCTACTGTCACTACTGGCTACCAGACTACACTTTCAAAATACCGTTGTCGCGAAAAAAGCTAAAATTGAAAACTTGAACTTTTAGCCAGAAGTAGACCCAGGAGTGTTTGTCGAGAGAACTCAATCTCTTTTCCCCGATGCCACAATTTCTCTTGGATGGACTCGTCAACAGAATTTATCTCAATTAAACGAGAAATATAAAAAGTTTGTTTCACAAAAAATCATCCCGATTAAGCTCTAAGTTTTAAACTTTTAAAATTAAAAAAGCCTTCCTTTAGACTCACTTGGCATACTCTATTTATGATCCTTGAACACATCGCTAAATTGGATCAACCAGTTATGCTTTCTGTTCGACTTTCTGTGGTAGGTTTTTAAAAAGAGAAACGATTTTTTTTTGTTGGCTAGTATTCGAAAATGAAGTAAAGAAAGTAAAGAAACAAATTTAGGCTCAATATTCAACCGAACAACTTTTATGGCTTTTGGGAATGGATAAAAGTGTCTCATTGTTGATTTGGAGTGACGATGAAGATAATGTAGGACTGAAAGTTTTTAAAGATCGAAAAATTGTAAACTTTAGATTACAAACTGGGAGGGCTTAGTGGAATTAAGAAAAGAGGCGACAAGAAATCGAATTCTATACGATTTGTTGCCTCAACATCGAGATAAATTCAAGAACCTTTCACCACAACCAATTGAGGTTTGAATTTGAAATTTAAAAATGATTGTACAGGATAGCCAAGGCGAGTCTGGTATCAAAATCTAGCCCTTCAATCGCGCTACACGATGCTATAAAAAAAAGAAAACGCGCTTTTAGAAAACACTGTTGTTTAGTACAAGAAAGATGGCCATAAAGTGAGTGCACCCATACAAAAGATGGCACGCCGTTGTTGTGAGTCGGTCCTCACTTTGCGGTCATCTTTCTTGTACTAAACAAAAGTGTTTTCTAAAAGTTTTTTATACCATCGTGTAGCCCAATTGAAGAGCTACATTTTGATATCAGACTCGCGCAAAGCAAAAGCCCTGATAAATGACAATTCCATTCGGCGCGATTTTCGTTTTTACACCGCGCAATCTTCATGGTCTCGATAAAAAGCTTGATAGGTAGACAAAGTTAAACTTTAGAGAATAAACTTTTGTTTTATAAGGTTTTGTTTTGCCATTCTTTAGATTTCGATCAGTTTTTCGCCAAACTCGATAAGCTTAACGAGTCCAGAAGAATTTTTATCTAAAATGATCGAAATCTAAAGAATGACAAAAGAGAATCTAGCTATGTTTAGCATCAAAATGAAGCCTAAAATGAGGGCTTCCAGGGGAAGTGGGTTTCATGCTCGAAGGAGCTTTGGGTAGTAAAAAAAGCGAAGAGCGAGGCAGACTGTCTGAAAATTTTACCTGGACTCGTTAAGCAGGTCTATGTCAAGCGTTTTTATGGCGACCAAGAAAAAATAGCTAAGAATAGTCGATCAAGCCATGGCATCTATAATTATGACCAATCCTGTATTTTCTTTTTATTCAAAGCTTATATTATTCAAATTTCAGAGCCACGCAGCTTTCGATCTCTCGGCTTGGAGATCTGTCGAGTTTCCCTCGACTTCTTCATCACTTTCGGCTGTTGTGCGAAGTGAAAAGGTTTGTCAGCAATAATGGAAAAATTTTTAAAGTACAAGTTAAAGTCTAAAATACAAAAAATGACAGAGTATATTTCACGAAATCATCAATTCCAGGGCCCGGCTTTCATCGGTCAACCAGTCTCTTTATTGATTTCCCAAAAAGCCCCACCGACTTTCCCGGATGAGCAATTTGTTGAAGGAAAGGTAAATAACAAAATGGAAATCTTTTTAACATTACTTTAAAGAACATTTCTAGCATATTATCTATTATTGGGTTGGTGAATTGAAAACTGCGCGCTATTGTCATATGTGACAGTTTGAGCACTTTCTTCAAAAGAAACCCATTTTGGTGTCAATGGAAAAGTTGTAGAGAATCAAAAATCAAGCTTATATCCAAACTTTCAGAACGATTCAAAAACTGGTTTTCAAGAATTGCCAAATTTACGAATTTTCACAAAACTTGCATTTTAAGCGAAACTACTAAGTGTATCTTTTTGGAAATTTGGCTATAAGCCTCATTTTTGATTCTCTACAACTTTTCTATTGACACCAAAATGGGTTTCTTCTGAAGAAAGTGCTCAAACTGGGCAAACTGGGACATCTCCAGTCCTCGATTTTTGAGTCTCACACTTGTCTCACACACAAACCAAAATCCTACTACGAAAGAGGAATCCGCAAATTGCCTGTAAAATGGGCAGAAGTCGTCAATAATAATGGAAATTATTTGGAATGAATTGATGGTTTTATGTTGAATAAATTTTAGCTCAAAGTCCGGCAGTTTTCAATTCACCAATTTTCAATTCAATATTTATTTCAAATTTTAGGTTCATTTCTTGCCGAAATCCTACTCGCGCCGGCTGGAAGTCGAGGAGAATTCGGGTATTTCAATTTTAGCTTCAATATCGAAAAATTCGTTTGGCTTTTGCTTTAGAAGCAAAAATGGAGTTCTTTTTTTTCAAATTGATCTTCGAAATTTCTAGGTGTATCGATTCATTTGCTTGATCGAATCAAAGAAATTGACTCACCGAAAATCAACAAAGGAATCGAGGTAAGAGAAAGAAAATTGCCAGAAATTGAAATCAAAATTTAAAAAGAAAAAGAAAGAAAAATAGAAAAATAGAAAGGAAAGAAAAAGAAAAGAAAAAAAAATTAATTTTTAAAATTGAAACAATTTTAGGTTTTTATCGGATATGGTGGAACGGTTTTTGTTGAAAATAAACAAAAAAATCGAGAAAATCAAAAGTTAGTTGTCTTGTTTTTAAATAAAAAGTTGTTTTTTTAGATATTATGAGTCAAAATCTTTGGGTCAACTACCTGCGAGTGATTGCTATGGATTCAAAGTCACTGATCGGGTTTGTGTGAGAAAATTCGGCTTTTCGATAGTTTTAGAGGACTTTTCAATGAGTAGGCATGCTATAAATGTCTATAACTTACTACAGAGGCAATAGATTTGTTTACTTTTGATTTCTTTTAAAAGAAAACATTTCAGACTTTCAAATGAGACCAAATAGAGCCAATTTGGATCGATCAGTCTCAAAAATCAACAACGACTTTTAGCTTTAAATGTCTATAACTTACTACAGAGGCAATAGATTTGTTTACTTTTGATATCTTTCGAAAGAACACCTTTCAAGCTTTCAAAAGAGAGTAAATAGAGTCAAATTGGATAGAGCAATCAAAAGCAATCGAAAATCAAAAAGAAAAACAAGTCGTTGTTGTTTTTCTTTTGATTTTCGGGATTGTTCTATCCAAATTAGCTCTAAATTGGCTCTAAATTGGCTCTTTAAAGTAATGTTAAACATTTGAAAGCTCATTTGAAATGTGTTCTTTTAAAATCAATGAAAAGTAAAATCGTGTCAAAATGTTGTCTTTATTTATTACTTATTTCTTTAACGAGTAAATGAAATGTTTGTTTAGGGTTGGCGGGTGACAGCCGATGTTTGGACAGAGCCATGCTTGGGACATAAAAGAAGAAAAAGAGAAGTCGTACGCATCGAATTGGATACACCATTTCAGAAGTGAGTTTCACTCATCCAAAAAAGCTACTCCAAATAACAGTAACATCAATCAACGAAATGAAAGAGCTGTGTATGTCGGTTTTAGCTGTGCGCACCACTCTCAGTGGGCCGTTTCAAATAACTTATACTTAGTTTGGCTTAGAATTCCATCTAGTTACGCAAAATGCTTTTAAATTTAAATAAAACCAAAAGTGCCGATATGGACGGGAGTCGAACCCCGGTCGTCTGGGCTAGAGACGAATGCGTTCGCACTGCCCCATCTACTGGCCGCATTGACTTACTCAAACGGGCCTAGTCAAACATGGCTGAGTCAAAACTACTGGCCACATTGACCGAGTCGAACATGAAAGAGCATGGCCGAGTGGTTAACGTGCGCGTTTCTCAAACGAACGGGGTCGAAGGGGTTGTGGGTTCGATTCCTCTTACCGCCAATTCTTTTGCTTTTTTTCTCCAAAAATTTTTCCTGACAAATAAAGATATTGCGAATCTCATTCTCCACTTCAGAGGTGGCTCTTTGCGTAATGTGATCGTCTCGAAAAGTGGAGACGACTCAATCGATTTTCTTCTCGAATCACTGCGACACTCATCAACCACAAGGATTTCAATTGTTTTTTCAATTCTTTTCATTTTCCTCTATCAACTCTTCCATTGAGCTATCCCCAGGGATTTGTTTTTTCATTCTTTCATTTCCTTTTTGACCAAAAACCCTTTTGTAAATCACTTTTTTTCTTGAATTGTCATTTTTTTCGCCTCATCAATCCGGTGCCAAAGATAGTTTAAAAAAAATCGTTTTTTTTCTTCTTTTATTCATTATATTTAAGTTTTCTAGCTTCAATTTCTAGCTTCTAGCTTCAAAATTTCTTTGTTATATTTGTGTGAACCAAATTTGATATCGATCTCTTTCATTTTCCCTAAAATCACTTGAATTTTCTTTTTGTTTAGCTTCAAACTGCCTCACGAGCGTTTATTCTTTTTTTCTTTTTTCATCATTTATTCATTTATTATTCATGTATTCATCGGATCAGGATCAACAAATGCATTTTAGCAAACGACTTTTCTTTTCTAAAGCCTAAAATCACATTGGATCGAGAAAGTTTTAGAAAACAAAACTCGTTTGCTGGAGTGTTTTTGACGATTCGATCGCACTTCATGAATTCGGCTTCGAGTTTTTGCTCATTTTTTTTTTGGAAATTGAAAAAGATGTTTTTTTTATTAATAGAGTAAAAGGATGTTTATGCAAAAACGAAACGACAGACAGCATTCACAGACAGACAGCCTTCACAGACAGACAGCATTCACAGAGACAGCATTCACAGACAGACAACATTCACAGACAGACAGCATTCACAGACAAACAGCATTCACAGACAAACAGCATTCACAGACAGACGGCATCAAACACAAAGCGACAGACAGCATTCTCAAGCACAAAATCTACCATTCATCGAACAAAGATAGGACATCACTTTTTTGAGACAAAATTTGCTTTATGTTTTAGTGTGTTGATAGCTTTAAAAAAGCTTAAAGCTTAAAGCTTAAAAGCTTAAAAATCACATTTCATTCTTTATTTTTAATTAATTCTTTTTTTTTCTTCATTCTTTTCGAAAATGCTTTCATTTTTCATTTTTTAAACACTCCACAGAACACACTTCAAAATTGTGTCGTTGATATTGGTTCAATTCGTTGATAATTCAAACACAGTTCAAAATTGTGTCGTTGATATTGGAGCAATCGGAGAAAAGTATCTTAAATGAGTTTGTTCAAATAATCGAAACGATTATCGAATCGAGAATACGGTAATCGAGAAAGAAAAAGAGATTTCTTTGAGTTCAAATTACGAGAAAATAAAAAAAATTGAGAAAAAAGCTGAAAGCAAATAGTTGAAAGGAACAAAATGATCAAAAAGGTCGGCGATTTCAATTTTCGTTTTTGGGAGAAATGAGTACCTATTGGGTGTAATCCGTGTTGATTGCGGGGAAAACAAGTGGAAGTGATCCTTTCGATAAATAGAACATTCAGAAGAGAATTTATGAACCCATTATACCCCCAAAAAAATCCGACATTTAAGGCGATTTTTTTTGAGGGAAAAACGAGGAAAAGTTCAGCATTTTTTTAAAAGGTCAACTCTTAAAAAATTCTACTCTTTTAACTTCCTTCTTCACCTTTCTATTTTGAGTATTATTTGCTATGGCAGAACTTTCGGCTCAGCTAATTATCGAATCTCAATTATAAACGCTAACAGAAAGGCGGAAAGTTAGGCTCTTGTCGCGTTTTCGGGTATTTTGAGCGACTCGTCTTTGAAGACCCATAACTTTGTCCAGAGCTAATATTCTTCCGAACTTTTTATATCATTTTATAGAGGACATTTCAGGCTTTTGAATGATACTAAATAGAGCGGATTCTATTTTTCATTCCCATGCAAACCAAGAGACACGATTAGGTCGGGTTTCCGAGTATTTCGAATGTGTCACCACGTTTTAAAGGTCTATAACTTTGTCCAGAGATAATATTCTTCCGAACTTTTTATATCATTTTATAGAAGACATTTCAAGCTTTCAAATAATATTAAATACAGTCCGATTGGATAATTGAGTCCAAGGAAATCAAAGCCAATTTTGAGCAAACGAGGCCGATCCAACTCGGATGCCGTGTCGCTTGGGTGGCATGGGAATGCAAAAACCGATTCAAACCGTATTTAATATTATCCGAAAGCTTCAAATGCCCTCGGTACAGTGATATAAAAAGTTAACAAAAATATTGTCTCTGGACAAAGTTATGGACCTGCAAAGCGACGACTCCTTCAAAATACCCGAAAACCCGAGAAGAGTCGAATTTCCTTAAATTAGTGCTTAAAACTTTCAGAACCTTTTTGTTGACTTTTTATATTGTTGTATAGGAGAGACTTCAGGCTTTCAAATAATATCAAATACAGTCTGATTGGATAATCGAGTCCAAGGAAATCAAAGCCAACTTTGAGCAAAAGAGGTCGATCCAACTCGGATGCCATGTCGCTTGTCGCGGTTTTTACCGGACTGAAAAATTCAATTTAACTGTATTTACTAAAATGTGCTCTATACAATGATATAAAAAGTTAACAAAAATATTAACTCTAGAAAAAGTTATGAGCCTTCAAAGGCAACGATATCAGGAAACCCAACAATAGCCTAACTTTCCGCTTTTCTGTTAGCGTTTATGATTCAAATTCGATAGCTCTCTATTTATTGCCTAAACTTGAACAATTTCCTTTCAATTCTTTGAGGAATACTTCGATTTTCACTAAAGTTTTATTGGTATCCCTTGCTCTTCTTTCATTGATCCAAAAAAAGGTGGATTTGATCGAATTCTCTTCTCAAAACCAGTCTTCTTTCCTTCTTTTCTCTTCACTTTATATATTCTTTTCCTTTTTTTTTACTTTTACTTGACAAAAAAGAAATAGTCAAGTTTTTGCTTTTTAAGCGTTAAAGCTTAGAACTTGATTTGAGCTTTTTTAGCTTTTTAGCTTTTTTAGCTTTTTGTTTTGACTATTTCAATTTGTTTACTTTTCTGTTTACTTCATATAGGCGGTGTCTAAGAGATTTAAGATCAAAAATTTTGAGTCTATCTGTGTAACTAAAGTATGCAAATTTGGAAAAATCTATTTCCCATAGAGCTATCTTAGTAGATCTCTGCTGGATTGCTATAAAATTCTTTTCCACCCGAAGTCTCATCTTCGTTGTTTCCCATCTTCTCTTATTCCAAATTATGAGATTAGACTTATAGCTTTTGATTTAAAACCCCTTTTATATCGCCGTATTTACTTCGAACTTTTTTTTTTGCTATAAAATTCTTTTCCACCCTAAGTCTCATCCGGAATTTCAAAGCCTCTTGAAAATTGTGGAAATTCCTAGAAGTACACGTAGTGATCCTTATCAAATTTTGATGAGTTTCCATCCCCATCATCTTTCCCTTTATCATTCTTTGTGCGAACCGTATTAGTAGAGTTTGGAATAAGCTCCCGTCTGGTATCTTCTCGTCTGTAGGAAAATTCTGTATCTGTAATGTATCTGTAAACGAATTAGATCTTATTGCCATGTCAAATCTGTCCTATATTTAATCTTTTTTGTTTCCTGTGTTTCCTAACTGTAAGACTACAGACTCTTACTGTACCTTCTTTTAGTTTTCTTTCTTTTCTTTTTTGTGAAAGTATTGTAGCAATGCATTGGATCGAGATCGAGAGTGCAATCTTCTCGATCAATCGACAATCAACTTTTGGAAATCGTCCGTTGTATTCGCATCCGTTGTATTTATCGCAAGCTCCAGATGATTCACCGACTCCAACTGCTTTAGAATCCTTGCAGAATAGGCGTTGATCGGTTCTTCGTAGGTTATGATTATTATCTGATTCGCTTCTATTCACCCGCTTCTATTCTATTCAATAGAAGCGAATCAGATAATCATAAGCATAAAGCATATAAAACATAGAACATAGAACATTTTCATTTAGAATTTGAGACCAATGTTTGATGATTTTCTAAATTTTTAGATCAATTTATTCTTTTCGTTCATATGACAATTTAAAAGGGATTTTGCGATTCGAAAAAAAAAGAAAACTATGAAATGAGGTAAAAATTACGTGGAATTCGATGATTTACCGGGAAAATTGAGTGGAATGGATTGAAAAGGGACAGGGGAAATTTCAACTTCCGCTTCAAATAATCCTAAAAAAACATTTTTATTTCTGAAAACATTTCACAAAGAGTTTTGGGGATTTTCCTCTGGATTACTTACTGGATAACTTACTGGGTTACTTACTGGATAACGTTCAAGAAACGATCTCTTTTTCTCGAAATTTCGACAACTTTCATTGTGCAAATCTTTTGAGTGATCTCAATTTTTTTCTATTATAATAAGACTGAATTACCGTATTTTCTCTAATAGTAGTGCACCCGGGCAAGCCGAGTTGATGACGATTTTACTGTTCCCAAAGCTTTTGCAAAAAACTCAACACCCTAATCCCCCGCAAGATCGTCAGCTACATTTTCCGACCCAACATCAATAGCTTCTAATAAGCGGTTTTTGAGATTTCGAGCAATTTAGACAAAGCTTAAGATGCACTACGATTAGAGAAAATACGGTATACTTCTTAGAGATAGTTTTTATAGCTTTAGATTTAGAATGTCTGACGATAGCAGCCAACAAGGCCTTTTTGGAACGAGAGCTCGTTTCGTCGTTCTTCTTCTCGTCGTGCTTTGTCTCACTTCCGTTTGGTTCGTGTCAATTTGTAGATAAATTTGTTAGTAGTTGATAACGAAATACTTGATGTAAAATAAGAAAATTTTTTAATAAAATATTTGATATGAAATTAGGTTAGTGGATAGACAGCTTTGGTTAGACAGCTTTGGGTTAGACAGCTTTGGTTAAACAGCTTTGGTTCGACAGCTTTGGGTTAGACAGCTTTGGGTTAGACAGCTTTGGTTAAACAGCTTTGGTTCGACAGCTTTGGGCTAGACAGCTTTGGGTTAGACAGCTTTGGTTAGACACCTTTGGTTAGAAAGCTTTGGTTAGACAGCTTTGGGTTAGACAGCCTTGGTTCGACAGCTTTGGTTAGACACCTTTGGGCTAGACACCTTTGGTTACAGCTTTGGGTTAGACAGCCTTGGTTCGACAGCTTTGGGTTAGACAGCTTTGGGTTAGACAGCTTCTTTCATCCTCCCCAACCAATTCACCAATAGATTTACTGTTTACTTTAAATGAAAAAAAGCCAACTATTTCTCTGTAAAAGAGCGTTGAAATCTTCGGAAAAGGTTTTAATTTTGGCTTTTTTTCAGGAGCGCAAAGTTGAGTAGACAAAAATGGCAACTTAATGACTTGATTTAGACACTTTTATCTAAAGAAACCTATTTTAATCAATAGAAAAAAAGATAGAGCATAAAAAGTTAAACATACAGCCAAAAGTAATCTGTTTAGTCGATTACTTTGTAGAATTTTTAATTCACTTTTCTCAAAAACACGTTTTTATGCTGAAATTCGTTTGGAAACGGGTTGAGATTTGTTGAAAAAAAAGAAAATCAAGTACCGTATTTACTCTATTAGTGGGGTCCCCCACTATTTTTTCAATCCCCTTCCAGACGACCCCACTATTAGAGAAATTTAAAAGAACATAAAACCAAAGTTTTAAGTTGAAAAGATATCAATTTTTCTCCGAAATTCTTGAAAAAACAAGTTTGGCTTCATATTTTATTTAGCTTTAACCGTAACAAAACATTAACAAACAGTAAAAGAACTAATCCAAGAGATCAACAATTGATGTATCACTTTCGTTACCAATATTAGAGAGGACCCCACTATTTTTTCAACCCCCCTCCAGACGACCCCACTATTAGAGAGGACCCCACTAATAGAGTAAATACGGTAATAAACATTTTCTCTTTGGAGAAATTCATAATTCAATTGGTGAAATAGTTATTTCTAAACAAAAGTATGAAAAAAAAAGTTTCAACACTTAATCATCATCATAAGATTTATCTTATAACTTTAAAAAAAACATAAAATTGATTCCTTTTAGGTCAAACATTCTCACCTTTAATTTCGCTGTGATCTGCATGAATCCAGAAGTTGATGAACTTGAGAAAGGTTTGCAATTCTGAACAAAACTAAACTACCGTAAATACTGTAATAGTACCCCACCGCCATAATGACGGTGCGGAGCGTTGCGTAGTCTAGCTTTAAACGAGTTTTTCTCCACACTGGTTTATGCTACAATGCGCGCTTAGGTATCAAAAAAAAGCCCTGAATTTCAGCTATTTTTTGATACCTAAGCGCGCATTGTAGGATAAACCAGTGTTGAGAAAAACTCGTTCAAAGCTAGACTACGCAACGCTCCGCTTTTATTGTTTGCTTTTAAAATATTGTACTTAATGCTAAGATATGGGCACAAACTAGCAATTAGATTTGTGATTGATTTACCGTAAATACTGTAATGGTACCCCATCCCCATAATGACGGTGCGGAGCGTTGCTTAGGCTAGCTTTAAACGAGTTTTTCTCGACACTGGTTTTTGCTACAATGCGCGCTTAGGTATCAAAAAATAGCTGAAATTCCCGGCTGTTTTTTGATACGAAAGACGCATTTTTTGAAAGTACGGGTGCTTTGCAAAAAATGAAATACTAAAAAACTTTTGCGACTACGCGACTGTACGAGGGGGGTAGGGTACTATTACAGTATTTACGGTAATTACTCTTATTTTTTAGCTCATATTTCACGAAGAGACGCTGATGATTCGGATGAGGATGATTTTAGGAAAAATTCGACGATATTTAATGGTAAATATTAGATTGATTCGATTGATTGAAAGGATGACAACTTGTATAAGTGTACCAACACTTTCAAGTTGTTCAAGTTAACAATTTAATCGCTACCGCAAATCATTTCAGTCAAAACAAGATGGAAAAATGATAAATTGACACTTAGATTTTGATAATTTCTTGACTTTTTAAAAACTCTACTATAGAAACGAATTTCAGATACGATAATTGACAAAATGATGAAGGAAAGGATCAGCTTCACATCACGTAAGTTTTAAAAAAGATTGAATCTCAATTGAATCTCAATTAAAGATCTCAATTGCTTTTTATCAACACAAGCTGATAAGCTGATTGAAAAGCTTATCACAGAAAAGTTTAAAGTTCTCTCACCTTTTTTTTTCCTTTCAGAACAGCAAACTTATGCTATTTCAATAGTGGCTGTTGCAGCGATTTTGGCAAATTTTCCAGTGATTTTTCTCGTCAATCGATTCGGAGTCCGGTATTTGAAAGTCGATTTTAAAAGCAATTTTCGTTTTTCTTTTCCAGGAGAGTCTTTGGGATTGGTGGTTTACTGTCCGCGATCACAACGATTTTGATCCCTTTTGGAATTCGGGTGAGCGCACAAAAGTCAAATAATTTGCTTCTTTGAAAGCAAATTGCTGATTTGAATTGAGTGCAACCATAAAAAAATAAATCGCTAAATCTACCTTTCAGTTCGGTTACCCATATTTCCTCGCTCTCCGCTTTCTCCAGGGACTCGCTTTTGCTGCAAATTTGCCGGCAATTGGAGCTTTTTGTGCACGATGGGCTTACCACAAACAGGTAACGTTTCGCATTTTATAAATTTGTTAACAAATGAAAATTGGCCAAATAAAACTTGGCTGAATCTTGTCGGGCATCTTGAATGCGTAGATTTGAAGCTTCAAAGCTTCAAAGCTCTGAAGGTATAGAACTTTGTACATGCGAAGTGTTCTGCAATAGCTAAAAACGGGTTCGATGTTCTCATTAAGCTGACTTTATAGGATCGACTTAACTGCTTTTTTTCACTACAATCTTACCCAATCCAACCTTCAATTTCTCCTATTTTAATTGATTTTAAACTCATCACAGTTCAAAGCAAACAAAAATTGTTTTAAAGTGATTGATGACGATTTTGACTTCTTGTACTTGTACGAATTTGACTTCTTGACTTTGACGACTTTTTTCTTGTAGAAATCGAGACACCAAATTGATAGTACCAAAAATGGCATCAAAACATGAAAGTTTTCATTTCAAGCTTTGGATATTATTCGTTAATAGCTTCGTTAGTGTGAACAGAAATATAAGCTTTTATTTGGCTATCCAGAAAGTCTTTTCGTTTTTTCTTTTCGTACTTTTCTTTAAAACCTAAAACAAAATGAACCCTAATGCGAGCGCTATAGACAACTTCAACACGCAATGAGGTGTGTGCATCCGCAAGAAACCAAATTGATTTCGAAATAGCCATTTTTGAGTGGTGCAAAAAGTTTTAGTTAAGTTCAAAAAAATAACAAATTGGTTCAGTGAAATAAAGCTCAAAAATCGATGCAATTAGCCGAGATCTGCTAGAAAAAAATTTATCTAAAGTAAAAGTAGTGAACTTTTTCGAATCTGAGGTCCGTTTTGTTCTAGATTTTTTCAATCGTAATATAAACGGCCTTCTTTCTATCCTGTATATTAGGCTATTCAGAAAGTTTCTATCGTGTATATTTGGCTATCCAGAAAGTCTTTTCGTTCTTTTCTTTTCGTAATTTTGTTTAAAATAAACAAATGCATGAATTGAACTACGATTTATTTCATTAAAAATAGAAGTTATTTTTCTATAAAATAACATTAAATGTCTTATTTCTGGATTTTTTTGGAGGCCTAAAGTTAGGTAGTCAAAAAGAGCGACGGCGACGGCTCGATGAACCGGTTTTTGACACTTTCTATAAAGATAGGAATAGGCATAAAGATAGGAAACCTTTCTTTAAGTCAATAGATAGAAGATAGAGCATAAAAAGTTTTGAATATAGCCAAATTTACAGGGAAATTCATTGAGTGGTGTTAGAACTGTCGATTTGTAGGAAAAAGCTCGGCAAGATTGGCTCTGTAAACTTGATGGCTCATTTACACGGGTACAATTATCTGCATAAGATTTGGGTTTCGAATATTGTCACTCAAGAATGAAGTCTACTATTTTAGGTTGAGGATTATTCAAAGTTTAGAGTTTAAGTGGGTTCCGGGCTCAAGGCTCATAGCCAGGTTAATTCTATGAAGTTTAACCTTCAAAATTTGTCTAATGGCAAGTTTACTTCTCATTTTTTGTTTTTTCATGGTTTAAAATTACGATTTTTGGTTTAGATGATGAAGTTAGGGTAATGATGGCTTTACAAAAGCGTTTCTAAACTAAGTTAGGGTAATGGTGGCTTTACAAAAGCGTTTCTAAACTAAGTTAGGGTAATGATGGCTTTACAAAAGCGTTTCTAAACTAAGTTAGGGTAATGGTGGCTTTACAAAAGCTTCTAAACAGGTAATGGTGGCTTTACAAAAGCGTTTCTAAACTAAGTTAGGGTAATGGTGGCTTTACAAAAGCGTTTCTAAACTAAGTTAGGGTAATGGTGGCTTTACAAAAGCGTTTCTAAACTAAGTTAGGGTAATGGTGGCTTTACAAAAGCGTTTCTAAACTAATCGAGTTGTTAGGCTGTCCAGAAAGTCTTTTCGTTTCTTTTCGTAATTTTGTTTAAAATAAACAAATGCATGAATTGAACTACGATTTATTTCATTAAAAATAGCAGTTATTTTTCTATAAAATAACATTAAATGTCTTATTTCTGGATTTTTTTTTGGAAGCGTAAAGTTAGGTAGTCAAAAAGAGCGACAGCGACGGCTCGATGAACCGGTTTTTGACACTTTCACTTTAGGGAAACCTATCTTTATGCCGATAGATAAAAGATAGAGCATAAAAAGTTTTGAATATAGCCAAATTTTCAGGGAAATTCATTGAGCCAATTTCTTGCATCTAATCAAGTTCTACTTGAATCAAGCAGAAAGGCTGAAGTGTTTACAATAATTACATTACACACACACAAAACTAGCAATAATACTATTTGAATGTTCTATTTACCTCTTTAGAACAGAGGTATCCATTTAAAATTGTCAGAAAACTTTTCTAAAAAGAATTTCAGAATGGTCTATTTATTGCCTCAACTGTTGCTTATCTCCAATTGGCGCCTGGATTCACGAATCCAATTTCTGGGCCAATTTGTGAACATCTCGGGTACAGGAAATTCATTTGCAATTCACAGAATCGACAAATTTCAGTTGGCCATCTGTTTTTTACCTCCACGGATGTGTCGGCTTGGTTCTTTTTATTATTTATGGTTAGTTGAACAAATTGAAGCTCTTGTAAGTGGAAATTTTTTTGAGGCTTTTTCTACCGCAACAACCCCGGGAAACATCCATTTGTTGGCGACATCGAAAAAAATAAAATTGGACGCGAAAAACCCATTCATGAAGGGTAAGTGGGGGAAAAAAATCTAGACTAGAATTGGCTATATATTGGGTTGATGGAAAAGTCCTTTCCGATTTTTTGGGAGAGTACCTTAAATTTGTCCAATTTGGACGTTTTATAGCTCATCCTAAAGCTGAATTCAAGACGGATCGATTGGTAAAAACCGTTTTGAGATATCTCTTTTCTAAAAGTTTTTACAGCTATTTTAGTAAAGGGCGGCAGAGCCATTAATGGCTGTTTTCACGTTTCGTTAGTTTTCCGTGCAGAAACCTAGGCTAAAAACATGTGTTTCGTGATCAGCGTCAAAAATAACCCCTAGACACGCATTTTCAGAATCTTAGCAAAAAATTTTTGAAAAATATTGTCACCGGTGGAAGTCGAACCAGCGACCCTCAGATCGACTAGCCTTTCCGCCGCTTTTCGCGATTTTCCGTCGTTTTTCTCGTTTTTTTTGTTTTATCATCTTTTTTGATGTTGTTAGAAGGCTTTTTTCTGAGGAATCCATAAGACTGAGCACCGGAGAGGAGCAGGGCGGACGCGCCGAGCCGCGCCCGGAGCAACAAATAACAGCATGAAATTGCTATAACCCTCAATAAATTTACTTCTATTATTGTTCTTAAAAAGCAAAAAAGTTATGCTGCAGCGGGGTTCGAACCCTCGACACCCAGGCACCGGAGACAGCCGTCAATTTGCATGCGAAAACCAAAAAGAACTTATACTCGCGACTTTAGAGTACTGGTTTATTCAACCAATCCAAGCAATCAATCACAATACAGAAACAAGTCCTTTTGAAACCCTAACCTAAACTAAACTACCTAATGTCATAACAGAAAAAAGCCATTCTGGTTCGACTTCCACCGGCGACAATATTTTTCAAAAAAAAAAATCGGGAAGGGCTTTTCCATCAACCCAATAAATTCTAATTTTTCTAGGAGTTCTGAAACAATTAAAATTCAGCAAGAAGTTTACCGTTTTCTTTAATCCAAATTTGTTTATTTGCAGTAAAAAGGCAGCTCAGCGAGTCCCCTATGGGGCGATTCTTTCAACTCCAGCGATTTGGGCTGTCTGGATTGCGGCAATCGGCAGTTTCTCCGTTGTCAATCTCATCTTTCTCTACTCGCCCACTTATATGAGCAAAGGTTTTCACTTTTTTTAAAACGTCTATATGTCGTAGTAGGGTCGATTTTGAATTTCAATTCTCTCTATATGAGCAAAGCCTAAGCCTAAGCCTAACCCAAAACCCAAATCGACTCAGCCTTAGCCGAGACTGAATCCAAGCTGAATTAGATTTCCGATAGCCGATTTGTATCGACGTTGTTTTGCGTTAAAAATAGAGAAATAGTCTCCAAAAGAGCTCTTTAAGATAGCAAAGAATCTATTAGAGATAACTATTTTAGAGATAACTGTAGTCAATCGAATTCTATTGAAATTCAGAGTTGTTTTTTAAATTTTTAGAATCGATTTCCGACTTCTTTATTGACAAACATTAGCAATTAAAGAAAAACAATGAACAAAACAGTACAATAATTAATAGAATTTAGCTAAAATATTAGAGAGTTGCAGTTCTTGCTACTCTTGAAATAAGAATTCCCTTAAACAAGGTGATTGCCTGAAACTTTGGCATAATAAGGCATCCCGTTTTGAAAATATTCCAACTCTACCACATATAAATGACTTTAAACATTAAAAGTATTGACAACTTTGACAACGACTGTGCTTTCTGTAGTCAATAGTTTGAATTGTCAATGTCTGAGAACTTCCTCTCAAGCTGGATGTATCAGATTATTTGCTGAGCTCTCTGCATCTATTTCCGGACTTTGAAATTACTGTAGACAAAAACTAAAGACAAATTCGGATTCCCCGCCCACGAAAACCCCTGATACAAGTTTTCTCTCTCAATTAACCAAAAGATACATAAGCTGGATGTATTTTATAAATGATCAATCACAAAAATGCGACTGTGCTTTCTGTAGTCAATAGTTTGAATTGTGAATGTCTGAAAGATTAATCTATCTGTTTGCTGCCTGAATGAGCAAATAAAACTCATTTTTTCTTTTTTTTCTTACTTTTAGCAAGAAAAGTAAATGGTTTATCGACAAAAATAGATAAATAATAGAATATTTCAGTCTTGGGCTACTCGATCTCACACAGTGGCTTCACATCAGCATTGGGACCACTTGCTCAAGCTGCAATGAAAGTTTCTGTTGGTAGGTGATGAAATTGAAAGTGAAGTTGAATTTAAGCAAAAAATATATCTCAATAAGTGAAGAGTTTCATAAAATAAAGAATAATTGAAGAGCTAGAATATTTCAGATTAAATTAGCAAAAAAAAGTAGCAAGTTTAAGTCGAAATTAGCAACGTTCTAAACAGAAAAACCAGAAATTTCACTTATTTATTGCTATTTCAGGTGGAGTGAGCGACAAAATTCGTTTCATGAGTGAAGTCAACAAATTGCGAATGTTCAATTCGATTGCTATCTTCGGCAGTTTCTTTTTTCTAATCGTTCTCTCGTTTGTTGATCCAAAATATTCGGTGAGCAAATTTTCAATTACCGTACATACGTAAATACTGTAATAGTACCCCATTCCCCTCGTACAGTCGCGATAGATATGAATCAGGGCTATCGAATGAAAGCAAGTGTAACAAAATCGATTAAATGAGCGACGAGAAAAACGTAAAAAACGTAGCGGTGAGGATGGCGGTACTCCGGAAGAACTGGGGAGCAGTACTTCAAAAGTACAAAAGTAATTGATTAATCGACATATTACAGTTTTACTATACAGTGTTACTATACAGTCTTTTATACCAGTACTTACCGTAAATACTGTAATAGTACCCCACTCCCATCGTACAGTCGCGTAGTCGCAAAAGTTTTTTTAGTATTTCATTCTTTTCAAAGCGCCCGTACTTTCAAAAAATGCGTCTTTGGTATCAAAAAATAGCCCTGAATTTCAGCTATTTTTTGATACCTAAGCGCGCATTGTAGCTTAAACCAGTGTCGAGAAAAACTCGTTCAAAGCTAGACTACGCAACACTCCGCACCGTCATTATGGGGCTGGGGTACTATTACAGTATTTACGGTAAATCAATCACAAATCTAATTGCTAGTTTGTGCTCATATCTTAGCATTAAGTACAATATTTTAAAAGCAAACAATAAAAACGATCATTCGAATTTCATTTTCCCTTTCAGACGATTTGCGTTCTGTTGTTTGGTACAGCGAGTGGAATTATCGGGGCAAATACAGGCGGATTCTTTCGAGCGGCACCGATTCTCAGTAAACAATACAGGTTGGAAAAAGAATCTCTTTATGATAAACACTTTAATAAAGTAAAGAAATGAATGGGGTAAAGAGTTTGGAATCGGAATTGAGGAGAATTGAACCCTCGACCGCGACTTTATCGGGATGTTGTTAAAACAGCGCCGAATAGAAGACGTTCGAAACAGCGCCGAATAGAAAACGTTCAAAACAGCGCCGAATAGAAAACGTTCAAAACAGCGCCGTCAAATTTCTCAAAATTCAAAAAAGCCAAGGCAATTCAAGTTTTATACTAAAAAAAATCCTTGCATTCTTGGCTAAATGATGGGGAAACAGTTTTTAAAAAAAGGTAATATTTGATAGATAAAATTAGCGTTCAAAAGCTATTCAGTTAACCAAGAAAATACCTGTTGAATGATACGCAGTTAGTTAATTGAATATCTTTAGAGACCCATTTTGAGCGCTCTTTTTATCTATTAAATATTAACTTTTTTTAAAAACTGTTTCCAATGTAGCCAAGAATAAAAGGAATTTTTTTGATATAAACCATGAATGGTGAGAAATTTGACGGCACTGTTTTGAGCGTTTTTTAATTTCTCAAATTTCTCAACATTCAAAAAACCAAGCTGGTTCAAGTCTTATATCAAAAAATTCCTTACATTCTTGGCTACATGATGGGGGAAACAGTTTTAAAAAAAGTTAATATTCATTGATAGAATTAGTGTTCAAAACGTGTGTGTCGAGTGGTTAACTCTAAATTTGTGCCTTATCTCTCTAAATTTGGTTCCTTATCTCTCGAAATACGGTTCCTGAACTTTTCAGCTTTTCAATGCTTTTCAAGCTTTTCAAATATTCTATCTAGAGATGATAGGCAAAATTTTGATAATCAAAATTGAGTCAAAAGCTTTAGTAGAAACTTTTATATGGGCTCCTAAAGAGCAATAGTTTCACTTAAAACTTGGAATTCGAATATTCAACAATGCCCAACTTTCTTTTATTATTAAACCCATTTTTTTTGGAGAAAAGAGTCTTGGCTTTAATCTGAAATGCTTTCAAAACTGATTGAATCCCTAGAACATTTGTTATTTTAAGAATTTAATTTCCTCATTAACATTACGTACGGAGCACCACTATTTCCGGGCTTAGAAATTGCTGTAGACAAAAACTAAAGACAGATTCGGATTCCCCGCCCACGAAAACCCCTGATACAAATTTTCGCACCAAAAACAAAGCGGGTAGTACAAATGAATTCATTGGACTGTACCGTGTCGTCGTAAATGAATAAATCACCTCCAAAAACCATCAACTACTACCAAATAACATTTATTTTCAGTCATTTTGTCACTGGAAACATCTCACTTGCAATCACAGTGACAATGGTGATTGTCCCATTCATTGTAAATGCAATCGTAAAAGAAAATCGTGCGGATGAGTGGAGAATGGTTTTCTGCATTCTTGGTGGATTTATGGTAATGAAAACGAATGAAATTAAGGCTATACTCTTTTTCAGGCAATCACAAATGTCATTTTTGTTCTTCTTGTCAAGGGAGAGCCGTGTGAATGGACTGAGGTTTGCATTGAGAAAAAAAAAGAAAGATATTCATGCGGAGAGCTCACAAAATAATCTGATACATCCAGCTAATGTATCTTTTCGTTAATTGAGAGAGAAAACTTGTATCAGGGGTTTTCGTGGGCGGGGAATCCGAATTTGTCTTTAGTTTTTGTCTACAGTAATTTCTAAGCCCGGAAATAGATGCAGAGAGCTCAGAAAATAATCTGATACATCCAGCTAATGTATCTTTTGGTTAATTGAGAGACAGTTGTCAATACTTTTAATATTTAAAGTCATTTACACTACTGGACAATGAAATATCATATTTGAAAAACGATCGTCACTTTCGCGCGTCTCTTTTAGTATCTAAAATCTATTTTATTTTATTTATTTTAGTCAAATCCACACAAAAACATCATTTCTCCGATAAAAACGATTCCAAAAGAAATGGAATCAACAACAGAATCTGCTTTTTCACATGTTGATCACATGGAAAATGATCATCAGAAAAAAGTTTTCTCGGTTTTAAATTACAGTAATTGAAAGTTTATGCAAGAATTTGCCTTCTATCTTAAGAATTTTCATTTTCTTTTATAGATATCTTTTGATTTTCATTTCTTTTAATTAGAAAGATTTCGATTTTACTTTAAAGAGTTTTTACAATCATCTTTTTAATATTTAACATTAGCTTTTGATATCTTTTGTTCTTTTCATCCAATATCACTCCTAATCTTTATCTCATCGGGTATTCTCGTTTAAATGAGTTTAAAAGAGATTTACGTGTACATTTTGTGTAATAAATTGAATAAATTGAATAAAAATGAATGAAATGAGGCAATTTATTGCAATATCTTTTGCAAAAGAAACGATAAGAATTGTGCAGTGTGTGAGAGAATGCCGATGGGGGCAAGAATACCGATATCTAATGATTATTAGATATTTATTCCGAATCTAGCACAATACTAATCTAGCGAGAAAATATAATAAAGTAGAATCAATCGTTGGTTCAGTGTTTCATAGCAATACGAAAAGCAATACAAAGAGACAATATAAAGTGAGCTCCGTCCCTTTTATTATAAAAGCGATCTTTTAGAGGCGGGACAAGAGAATCAGATATTCAAATCAAAACATTAAATAAGATTTCACAGAAAAGAGCCACTTTAAAAGAGATTTACGTGTACATTTTGTGTAATAAATTGAATAAAATTGAATAAATTGAATAAATTGAATAAATTGAATAAATTGAATAAAAATGAATGAAATGAGGCAATTTATTGCAAAAGATTTGCAAAAGAAACGGTGAGGATAAAGGAAAATAAATGGGATAAAAAGATTATCCAATCAGACTGTATTTGATATTATTTGAAAGCTTGAAATGTCTTCTATAAAATGATATAAAAAGTTTGGAATATTATTAGCCTTGGACAAAGTTATAGGTCTTCGAAGACGACTCACTCAAAATACCCGAAAACTCAACAAGAGCCAAAATGACTCCGTCTTTTGTTCTCATCTTTTTACCTTACAATCTGCCAAATCTTGATATCTTTTTGTTTTTCTATCGATTTGAATTGAATTCTAAATTGAATAAATTGAATAAATTGAATAAATTGAATAAAAATGAATAAATTGAATAAATTGAATAAATTGAATAAATTGAATAAAAATGAATGAAATGAGGCAATTTATTGCAAAAGATTTGCAAAAGAAACGGTGAGGATAAAGGAAAATAAATGGGAAATGAATTTCGATGAATTGCAATAATCTTTCTTGCAACACCAAACATAAATCTTTGTTGCAATATTTGTCCCTTCGCCAATTTGCTCAGAGCGTTTGCCGATTGTCTAAATGAAATTTAGATAAAAAGGAAATAATTTTTAAAAAAAGGTTTAAGCTTTTTGTTTAAAAACTTTCGATTTTCTTTTACTTTTTACAGAATCATTTTTCAACTCGAAATTATGGCTCTTGTCGAATTTCCGAATATTTTGAAAGCCTATAACTTTGTCCAAGGCTAATAATATTCCTAACTTTTTATATCATTGTATAGAGCACATTTTAGGCTTCCCAATAACACTAAATACAGTTTGATTGAATTTTTCAGTCCCGTAAAAACCAGGCAACACGGTAGCCAGGCGAGTTGGGCCTCGTTCTCGGAGTTGGCTTTGATTTCCTTGGACTCGATTATCCAATCGGACTGTATTTGGTATTATTCGAAAGCTTGAAATGTCTTCTATAAAATGATATAAAAAGTTCGGAAGAATATTAGCTCTGGACAAAGTTATAGACCTTTAAAACGTGGTGACACATTCGAAATACTCGGAAACCCGATCTAATCGTGTGTCTTGGTTTGCATGGGAATGAAAAATCGAATCAAGCTCTATTTAGTATCATTTGAAAGCTTGAAATGTCCTCTATACAATTATATAAAAAGTTCGGAAGATTATTGGCTTTGGACAAAGTTATAGGTCTTCGAAGACGACTCACTCAAAATACCCGAAAACTCAACAAGAGCCAAAATGACTCCGTCTTTTGTTCTCATCTTTTTACCTTACAATCTGCCAAATCTTGATATCTTTTTGTTTTCCCACATCCACATCCCCAATAGGTTCCTTTAAGATCACCATTCTAAAAAAGAAATATTTATTTTAAGTTTTACAAGTGATCTTATGGTTTATGCTTTTGGGTTTTATTAGAATTATTGGGTTGTCCAGTTATGAATGCGCGTTTTTACTATTTTGTAAATTTCTCAAGATATCGAACAGATGTATATGAGTGTTGTATATCATTCGAAAGCTGAAGATCTCCTCTACATTTTGGAATAAAAAAGTTTTTGAATTCATTCAACTTTTTGGGAAATCGACTACACAAAGGGAGAGGTCGTTTTCAAAAAAATTCATTCCAGCTTAGCTATTCTTCAAGTTTTATGGTGTAAAATAACCGCCCAGAAAAGAAAATAAAAGCAAAGATGCTCTGAAATTGTTATATTTTTAAAAAAGTTGTATTGATATATCTGTTGGCTAAACATCAAACGGTTAACTCAATTTGAACCGAGCCAAAACTTGATCCAAAGGCACCCTTCCATTTTTTGGCCACCTCTTCTTCTATGCAGCCAATTTGCCCAAACGCTAAACAAATTCGCAAAACTTTTTATATCAAAATGTAGAGGAGATCTTCAGCTTTCGAATAATACTCATATATATATCTTTTTCTTGATTTCGGTATCTTGAGAAATTTACAAAATAGTAAAAAACGCGCATTCATAACTGGACAACCCAATATTTTAAAAGTTTTGAAGGATTCTTTTTTATTCATCTTTTATTGAACAAAATTACTCTTTTTTTTAAATACAAAAAGCACGTTTAAAAAGCAAATACCGATCCTTGCCATTTCACACAAAAATTGCATCCCGAATCACACGATGTGTTCGACATCTAAACAGCATTCAAAGTATCGTTTTTGAGCCTCTCTTTCCCCAAAAACTAGTAGATCGTTCTGCCAATTTCAAATACCATTCGATAGCAAATTTTCTTGCGCATCTTTTAAATTATAAACCATTACGAATAGATTATTGAGTGGCGAGAAAATCTACAAAGAGGAGAGCACTCCTTTTAAGTGACCCTCTAAGTTCCAATTGAAATATTCTGAGATTTGCCTCGAGAAATCCATTCTCCAATCAAAAACAGTAAAACTAAAATTGAATGCGCATATTTTACATAAAAAAAGTGATTCAAAAAGTCCAAATGTGACCAAGATATGAGGGTTAAAAAAAGGAAACATTTTTCCAAAGTGTCCGCCTTTTCTCATCCCCATATCTCGAGTCCCGTTTACTATTTTTAAATACTTTTTTTTTGCAAAGTATGCGCATTTCATTCTAGTTTTACCACTTTTATTTTCCATATACTTTTTGCAATAAAAATCGCAGAATATTCAACTGTCACAGGGACTAAAAATTGAAAATTCAGAGAGGGAGACACTCGAAAACTACATTCATGGACTCTACAGTCAGTCTACAGTCAAAAAGTTTTCTAAAAGGTATCGATTTGAGAAAACTACCGTAATCAGCGTTCAATTTTCATCGAAATTTTGTCTAATAATAGCGAAATTGGTGGTTGATCTGGATGTAAACTTGGTATACAGCCATGGACAAAAGTCTTGGCGGCTCCTGGGTGGCAACTTTCAAACGCGAATTTATGAACCTTTCCGAGAGGCTATAAAAAAGTTGTCACAAGTATTTTTAAGCATTTCTACTCTACTTTTAGCTATGTCCAAGCATCGAACTCGAAAGCTTATTTTAAACAACAAAAATGAGCCTAAACGACAAAAAGGTCACAAAAACAATGGACAAAAGTCTTGGCGGCACAGACATAGAGGCGAAAAATTCAATATTTTGACGCCTTTAGCTGCAACGACCGCTTGGAGTCTCCAGGGCATACTGTCAACTAGATCGCGTAAAATTTGTGGCGCAATTGTCACTCAAACTCGCCGTACCAAAGATCCGCCTTAGAGCTAAAGCCATGCCATGCTCTAAGCCTTAGCGCCTTAGAGCTTCCCTTGAGCTTCGTCTTGATAAACGCCCATAGGTGTTCAATAATATTCAAATCGGGGCTGTATGGAGGAGCTGTAACGAGTTGAACGCGATTTGCGTGGAACCATCCGGGTAGGCGAGCTCTTCCTCAACTGGCAAGTCGAACAGTGTGGCCCATAAGCAACTGACTCTTGTGACAAGGAGCATTGTCCTGGTAGAGGAGCCATCCTTGTCCCATGTTGGCGGTCGCAAAAGGAAGAAGATTGTTCTCCAGGATCGTCTTGTAGCGCTGGGCATCAAGAGTCGAGTTGAGAAGGGCCAATGGACCCGGTGAACTTCTTGCCATACTTGTGACAACTTTTTTCTCGGAAAGGTTCATAAATTCGCGTTTGAAAGTTGCCACTCAGGAGCCGCCAAGACTTTTGTCCATGATTGTATATAGGGAAAATGTTATTGCCCCGATTTGGATGTTATTGAACACCTATGGGCGTTTATCAAGACGAAACTCAAAGGAAGACGGTTTAACTCTAAGGCGGATCTTTGGTACTTCGTACGGTGAGTTTGAGTGACAATTGCGCCACAAATTTTACGCGATCTAGTTCACAGTACGCCCCGGAGGCTTCAAACGGTCATTGGCGGTTGTAAGCTAAAGGCAGACCAACAAAATATTGAATTTTTCGCCTCTATGTCTGTGCCGCCAAGACTTTTGTCCATTGTTACGCTCATTTTTGTTGTCTAAAATAAACTTTCGAGTTCAATGCTTGGTCATAGCTAAAAGTAGAGTAGAAATGCTTAAAAATACTTGTGACAACTTTTTTATAGCCTCTCGGAAAGGTTCATAAATTCGCGTTTGAAAGTTGCCACCCAGGAGTCGCCAAGACTTTTGGCCATGATTGTATACCAAGTTTACATCCAGATCAGCCACCAATTTCGATATTATTAGACAAAAATTCGATGAAAATTGAACGCTGATTATGGTAGTTTTCTCAAATCGATACCTTTTAGAAAACTTTTGTGCAAACTCTCGTAATAAAAAGCGAATTGCGAATTGCTGACCTTTTCCGTGTGCTCCTTTCCAACAGTTTCCCTTGAATCAACCCAGCATTCGATCGACCAAATCCCACTCATCAAACTTGTCAATATCAATAGAATTCTCATTTTATCAAACAATTATTAGACAAAATTAAAGCTCTTTTTGAAAGCCAATCCTCCAACAAACCATCTGCCTTATCATTGCAAATTGTGTGGGTGAAATTGCTCATAAATTCAACCATTTACCGCTCAATTTCGCTCTTTTCAAAACAACTTTTTTGTTTTGTCTTTCTGATTCATTTCTATATGTATTTTGTTTTCTTGGCTAGATTTAAAGCCGCAATTTCGGCTATTGATTTGACTGCTCTGTGATTCTTTCTTGAGGTATCTATCTATTTATCTTTTGGGTGTGTTTTGAGTGGTGTCTCGGGTAATTATTGTGATTTTGTTTTGTCGCTATTCAACTGAATAAAGCATATACAGTACTGGACAATGAAATATCATATTTGAAAAAACGATCGTCACTTTCGCGTGTCTGTAACTCCGTTGTCTTTGAGTTTAAACTTTTAGTGTTATATTAGGTTGAGGAAAAAGTAATGACGGTTTTGGTTGTGGGAGTTGACCTTTGATCGTCCAGACCGTTCCTCGTCTTGGAGACTTTCATTTTCATCTTTGAACCGATGAAACCATCTTTGGCATTGTCTTTCGCTAATGCTGTCTTCCGCATAAGCAAAGAACTGGAAAATTGCCAACAACGGGAATTCAAAAACGACATTATTTTTTTCCTCAACCTAACACATTTTCTGAAAGCTCTTTTCAAGGGCTACACAATGGTAATATTAATATTTAGAAATACGGTAAAGACAAGGGAGTTACAGACACGCGAAAGTGACGATCGTTTTTTCAAATATGATATTTCATTGTCCAGTAGTGTATATGTTGTGTCCGATTTAGATTTCCGTCCGATTTCGATTCAATCTAAATCGGACGTCCGATTTAGATTACAGTCTATATCGGACGTCCGATTTAGATTACAGTCTATATCGGACGTCCGATTTAGATTCAATCTAAATCTTATATAGATTGAACAATAATATAAACATGCTTAATATATGTTCTTAAGCGTTTTCTGTAGTTTTCTGCATTTTTCAAAGGTCTTTTATTGATTACAGTCTATATCGGACGTCCGATACAGATCGAACAATAATAAACGTGCTTAATATATGTTCTTAAGCGTTTTTTTGCAATTTTCTGCGCTTTTCAAAGAATTCAAGATGTCACAATAGCATGTTCAAGATGCCACAAAGAATTCAAGATGTCACAATGTCACAACTCTGCAATTCAAGATGTCACAATAGCCTAAGCTGCAAAAATAAATAGAAATTTTTAACTCGTTCGTTGTTGTTGTTAGTTTTTTGTTGTTATATGTTGTAATTTTGCATCTATTCTGTTAACGCTAATAAATTGTTTCATAGTTGGGTTTTCTTTTCAGAAAAAGACAATAAAATTTCCTTGAAAAGCGCAGAAAATTGCAAAAACGCTTAAGAACATATATTAAACATGTTTATATTATTGTTCAATCTATATAAGACGTCCGATTTAGATTCAATCTAAATCGGACGTCCGATATAGACTGTAATCTAAATCGGACGTCCGCGATAAGTTCAATCTAAATCGGACGTCCGATTTAGATTGAATCTAAATCGGACGGAAATCTAAATCGGACACAACATATATATATAAATGAATTCTTTCAACAATAAAAATCTTTATTTCAAAAGAAATTTCCTTACTATCTCTACAAAAATTTGTATAGATTGGGTGCAAAAATGAAAAAAAAAAAGCTTGGTCAATTGTGAAAGCATTTGATTTTTAAGGAAAAACTATTGAATAACTTTTGCGAATTATTATTTCTGATTCTATGAACATATAAGGTTTTTTTTAGTGCAAGTGATTCAAAAAAATAAGCATTTAAGCAAAAAATTATTGATGGAAAAGTTAAATAAATGTGGAAAGTTGAGAAAAATGATAAAAAAGAAGATTGGAAAAGATTTGAAAGGGTTTGAAAGGATTGGAAAAGGTTTGTAAAGGTTTGTAAAAGGTTTGTAAAGGTTTGTAAAGGTTTGTAAAGGTTTGAAAGGATTGGAAAAGATTTTTAAAGGTTTGAAAAGGTTTGTAAAGATTTGATTCATTCATCTTGAGCGTATTCTTCATCGAGAACCGATCGAGAACCACCTCGACCAAGAGTCACTGCTGCGGTTGACATCTGAAGAAGATTGGATTAATGAATAGCTGAAGATTTGAAGAATAAGATATTCTTGATTTAAAATAATTGTGAATAGAGTGAGTTCCTCTCGAGTAATGCCTTTTCTAAGGCATTACTCGAGAATATTTCAGATTAAAGAATCTGAAATATTCTAAAGTTCATAGGCCCCATAGTTTTTTTCTTCTATTAAGTTGGAAAGTCCTCAAAAAAGTTTGCACGGTGATTTCGCAAAAACTAGAAAACAAATTTATTCAAGTTATTAAGTCAAGTTATTGCCTCATTATTAAGTATAACTGTATAACTTGTTGCCATTTATTTGGTAGAGCACCAATTCCTCTCCACTTTTGTCTCCTCTTTTAAAACGATCGTTTTAAAATTAAGTAAAAGGTATCTAATGAGGTAGTACTCATTAGATTTTAAAATTTTCGTCAAATCGATGGTGAATCGATACTGGTTCAGTTACCCAGAAGCGGTAGTTACCCAGAAGTAGTAGTTACCCAGAAGCGGTACAAACGGTAAAACAAGCGGAGAAATTGACGTTAAAGTTGGATAGTAATTGACGTTGGGTAATTGAACCATCAGTTCAAGTGCTGGAAGGCGGGCGATTGCTTGGCATAAGTTGGGTAACTGAACCAGCAGTTTAAGTCTGTATGCTGGAAGGCGCGCGATTGCTTGTTCGCACAAGTTGGCTAACTGAACCAGCAGTCCAAGTCTCTGTGCTGGAAGGCGTGCGATTGCTGGTTCGCATCAAAAACGTTTGTATTTTAACGTTTTGATCTTCTTCTTAAACGTTTTTTAAGTATCGAGAAAAGCTTTCTGATTGTGAATGTTACTGACAGGATCACTCTCTAGTTGTGAATTTCAATGATCCGTGAAATCAGTGATCAAGTGTTTACACTACGGGAATACCGTGCGCATCAGAGCCTAAGCCAACCCTGATGCGGACCTAAATATGACTAAAGACCGTGACAAATGTCTTATTTGTTATATTTGTTTTGAATTCTGGTGCGGGGGGAGATTTTTGTGCTTTTTTTGATAGTAAACCCACTAATGAAAGTGACCCTCATCAGCGGCTGACATCTAAGGAAAAATCATTTATTAATTCTTCTTAGGAATTTTGATTTTCTTCACTTTAACACTGTTTTTAACAAACCGAATGCGAGAGTCCTCTCCCAAAAACAACGGATCCCGATCGACTCTTGATACGGAACTTCTGAAGACTGTTCTCTGCGGCTTCAGCTCTAAACAAATGCATAGAAAAATATAGAAAAATATAGAGAAATGCGTAAGATTCTTTACATTTATGAATCATTTATGAATCATTCAATACTACTACAATCTTTCAAGCTATTGATTCCTTAAGCCATTGATTCCTTAAGCCATTGATTTCCTTTTTTTTATTTCAAACCTCTCTTGGGCATCCTCAAGTTGATGTTGCATTTGACGATATTTGTTCAAATTCGTTGTTGCAAGGCCTTCCTGAATTTATGGAATTAGAAACTCTTTGGAGAAATTGCATAGATCAATCCTAAAAGTTAAAGAAGAAATCAACAACAACAACAACAATAACCATTCGATTTTCTCGCGAATATTCTATCCAATTTAGCTCTATTTAATCTCTTTTGAAAGATATTTGACTTTGAACACTTTGACAAGATTTTTCTCTACTTTTCATTGATTTTAAAAGAACACATTTCAAATGAGCTTTCAAATGTTTAACATTAATTTAAAGAGCCAATTTAGAGCCAATTTGGATAGAACAATCCCGAAAATCAAAAGAAAAAAGAACAACGACTTGTTTTTCTTTTTGATTTTCTCGAGACTGATCGATCCAATTTGGCTTCATTTGGTCTCATTTGAAAGCCTAAAATGTTTTCTTTTAAAAGATATCAAAAGTAAACGAATCTATTCGCTCTGTAACCAGTTATAGACATTTAAAGCTAAAAGTCGTTGTTGATTTTTGAGACTGATCGATCCAAATTGGCTCTATTTGGTCTCATTTGAAAGTCTGAAATGTTTTCTTTTAAAAGAAATCAAAAGTAAACGAATCTATTCGCTCTGTAACCAGTTATAGACATTTCTAGCATGCCTACTCATTCAAGAGTCGGCTAAAACTATCGAAAAGCCGAATTTTCTCACACAAACACTCAAAGAAATAAGTTAAAGGCAACACTTTGACACGATTTTTCTTTACTTTTCATTGATTTTAAAAGAACACATTTCAAATGAGCTTTCAAATGCTTAACATTACTTTAAAGAGCCAATTTAGAGCCAATTTGGATAGAACAATCCCGAAAATCAAAAGAAAAACAACCAAGACTTGTTTTCTTTTTGATTTTCTCGAGACTGATCGATCCAATTTGGCTCTATTTAGTCTCTTTTGAAAGCTTGAAAGGTGTTCTTTCAAAAGATATCAAAAATAAACAAATCTATTGTCTCTGTAGTAAGTTATAGAAATTTAAAGCTTGCCTACTCATTCAAAAGTCGGCTAAACTATCAAAGAAAAAATTCCCCACCGCTTCTTCGATTTGTCTCTTATAAGTTTTGATCTTTGTTTGCAATTTCTCCACCAAATCGTACATTCGCTCAGCCGTTTTCTTGTCCTCATCAACCTAAAATCATTTTTTGAGCTGAACTACTTGGTATTGATTACCTGGAATTGCAATTCTCTGCATCTTCTGTCCTTGTTTCTGTAATTCTTTGCCGTTTCTCCGTGACGGCGATTCTCATTGTCCAATTCCATTTCCAATTCGCGAATTCTGAAATCTCCGGCGCTACTGAATGAAGCTTTTTCAACTTCAATTACCTATCTTGAAGCTTTTGAATATTTCTCTTTCCTCCTTTCATTGCGTGCGCTTCGGCTTCTTCCAATCGACCTTGAGTCTCTTTGAGCTGTAAATTTTTACATCGGTAGCACACTCGACAATGCGTACTAGTACTAATGACGTACTAATGACGACTTTTTTTAGAGTCAACTCAAGTTTTTAAGGACTTTTTTTATTTATTTTGCAGAAAGTTCTCTATAATTTTATACCAGTTTTGAAGAGGAGATTCAGGGCTATCGAATGACTATAATATTTTTGTTATCATGGAATTTTCACTAAATTATCAATAAATAAAGACTAAGCGACTGTACGCCTAAAAAATCGCCTTCACAAATGTGTTAATTGAGATACAACTCGTCTATAAGGGGACGCCAAGCGGGAAGATACGATAAGCCATGGTAGCCTAGGGGATAGTGCGCTAGGTTACAAATCTGTGAGGACGGGGTTTACTCGCGGGGTTCAATTCCGTTCCCTGCCAAACTTTTGGAAAACATCTTTTGAGGTTCCAAAAGTGCCTTAGCACATGTATTTGACCTATAATACTTTAAAAAACCCTCTAAACTGAATTCTGAAGGGGGTTTTTGTTCAACGTCTAAACTGGATTCTGATGGGGAATAATAGGTAAGTTTATCTTTGAATTTACACCAAATTATTAGTAAAACAGCTATCAACTATGCGACTGTACGCTCAAAATACCGTCGTTGCGAATGATCACCTGCGATTCAAGTCCTTTTCTCTGTCGTTCGATTCCGTTTGAATGGTCTTGTTCTTGACGGAGTTCCTGAAAAGAAGCACTCAACTCAAATCCTTTAATTTTCGGTAAAATAGCGCTAATTTTCTATGAAACCTCGGCCAGACGAGCAGCATCTTGAATCGCTTTCTTTTGCCGATCATCCGCATCTTTCAATTCTCCCAAAGCCTCGGTGACTTCGGATTGAAGTTGCTGAAGTTGGATGCTTTTTCTCAAGTTAAATAAAACAATGAAATCTAGTCGTTTCACTTTAAATAACACAAGTGTTTAATGAATTTAATAAATAAATAAATAAATAAATAATTTAATAAATGTTTAACGAATTTAATATCTGAATTTCTACTAAACTTTCATTTTAACTCCTTTCATTTTTCACCTGAATCTCGCCTTCCAATTTTCTCTTATGTGCAGTTAAAGCGGCATTTGTGGCCGCAAGAGATGTGGCCGATTCTTTGATTTCATGAGTTTCCAATTCGATTTGTCGTCGAGCTCGTTCCGCCTGAAAACGAGATTCAAATTTCGTTAAAGGAACGATGCTCACTAAAAGCAAATTATCAGTAGGTAATAGAGTTGCTATTTGATCGAAATTCTGTCGGATTGGATTGGATCGGATTCCATCCGGAAGAGGCTTTTGTCGGATCGAATCCGATCATCATCCAAGCCAATCCGATCCAATATAATCCGGACTTGATCTATCAAATGAAAAGTCTAGTAGGTAGGTGTGATAAAAGATTTTTGATAAAGTTTTCTGCATAAAGGATTTAAAAAATCATTACAAATCATTAGATATCTTCTCTCCAAGATCTACTACCCTAAAGTCTCGAGTATAAGTTCATCCAAGTATAAGTTCTGCCTTAATTTACATTCGCTTTAATTGCTTTGAATTTCTTTTTGTTGGATTTTTATACATTTTTATTGTTATATAAACTTTATTATTGTTCTTGGGCGCGGGATACTACAGGGTGACAGCCTATCCCATTGCTATTGTTATGTGCATGGATACATCCAGACGATAGTGTTGAAGAAGACGCTGGAAGCATTCTTTGCCGTCGACGTGGACTTTGGCCGGTGAGAGGCCAGGGAGGGATCCATAAGACTGAGCACCGGAGAGGAGCAGGGTGGACGCGCCGAGCCACGCCCGGAGCAACAAATAACAGCATAAAATTGCTATAACCCTCAATAAATTTACTTCTATTATTGTTCTTAAAAAGCAAAAAAGTTATGCTGCAGCGGGGTTCGAACCCTCGACACACCGCACCGGAGATAGCCGTCAATTTGCATGCGAAAACCAAACAGAACTTATACTCGCGACTTTAGGGTAATAGTTTCCGAGTTCTCTAAAAGGTTAGTTCAGTGAAATCCAAGTCCTACGTGGTAGACTCAATAAAATGAATAGCAAATGAATAGGCATAGTGACGCCGAAAAACGGTTTAACCGATCAGCGTTTCTTCCACTTTACAGACTGCAAAAGGGAAGTCTTATATACCAGAGTCCTATGTCAGACGGCAAGCGATTATGCGCGCGCACCAAGAACATCATTTACAGCGATTTCTCTTGCTTTGTTGATGCTATGAAAAAAGATATTTAACTGTTAATTTGTGCCCAGGGGTTTTCGGGGTCGGCGAATCGATTGGATTCAAATTATCGGTACGTAAGATAAGTTTTGATGAAGTTTTCTGTATAAAGGGTTAAAGAAATGATTGGAAATTATTAGAATGAGAGAAGCGATCATTAGGCATCTCCTCTCCAAGATATGCTAAAAGGTTAGTTCAATGAAATCCAAGTCCTACGTGGTAGACTCAATAAAATGAATAGCTCCAATCGATTCAATGAACCCCGAAAACCCCTGGGTACAAATTAACAGTTAAATATCTTTTTTTCATAGCATCAACAAAGCAAGAGAAATCGCTGTAAATGATGTTCTTTGTGCGCGCGCATAATCGCTTGCCGTCTGACATAGGACTCTGGTATATAAGACTTCCCTTTTGCAGTCTGTAAAGGGAAAGAAACGGTGATCGGTTAAACCGTTTTTCGGCGTCACTATGCCCAAATTTCTGGGAACAATTTTTGCTTTAAATTAGGCTATCCTTGCTCAAGGTTGAAACCTTTCAACCTGATCAAAGCTGAAATAAACACGAAAAGCGGATAATATCTGATAAATTATTGATAAATCCATAAATAAATTCACTTTATCCATTATTCATTAAGATTTCATCGAAAATTCGATTACTACATCGAAATTTTGGCGGAAATTTGAAATTTGATCTTACTAGTGTTCGTGAGAGTCGATCCAAAGTCAGAACCCTCCTTTAAAGTTGTTTAAGTTGTTCAAGTTGTTTAAATTGTTCAAGTTATTCAAGTTGTTTAAGTTTAAGTTTAAAGTAAAGCTTAAAGCTATTTTTCCACAAAACCTGTTCATAAGCATTCACAAGATCTTCTTTTTCGGATTGAAGAATCTGGGCTCTTCGTTCGGCGATGTGTGCCTGGAAATTGTACAAACTTTGATCAGTTTGTGCAATATTCAAATACCAAAAATGAAGTGAATGTTCACTTTCGAAAAAGTCACAAAAGTTGATACCTGATCTTTAAGCTCTTCGCGAATTCGTTGCTCGTCGTCGACTTGCATCTAAATAGTCAAAATTTCGATGAGTTTCATCAAATTAGCATCGAATACCTGCAAATCCTTCACCGTGTCCACATAGCGTTTCATCGCTTTTTGAGATTCGACATTCGCCTGAAAAAGAAAAAACACAATTCAACTTGGTTTCTCCAAAATTTGGTACTCGACTTTTCGAGTATTCAATCAGAATCGAGTGATCAGAATCAGTTGATTAGAATCAGTTGATTAGAATCAATTGATCAGAATCAATTGATCAGAATCAAGTGATCAGAATCAAGTGATCAGAATCAAGTGATCAGAATCAAGTGATCAGAATCAATTGATCAGAATCAAGTGATCAGAATCAATTGATCAGAATCAATTGATCAGAATCAATTGATCAGAATCAAGTGATCAGAATCAAGTGATCAGAATCAAGTGATCAGAATCAAGTGATCAGAGTCAATTCCTCACCTTATTTGCATGATCAAGCGCCACTTCAAGTTCATTGATATCCGTCTCGAGTTTCTTTTTCATTCGCAACAATTCAGCTCGGCCTATAATAGCTCGACATACTTGTAATTCAAGAATTATTTGTATAAGAATCTTTTTCTTATTACAAAGAGCACCATTTCTAATGTACAGGGTGTTCAGTATTGATTTCTTTAGATTTCTTTTTAATCGATTAGCTCCCGAGCGTCAAGTTCAACCCTAATTTGTCAGCTGTTTGTTCAAGCCTATACAAGATATTGTAGCCCTTATTCTTGGCTACATTTCTCTATAAAAAGTTTCTCGATTAGAGATATACAACTCATTTTACAAGCTCTTAAATGAGTTGATCCCATTTTTGCCAGTTGATCTCATTCAAAAGCTTTTAAAATGAGTTGTATATCTCTAATCGAGAAACTTTTTGTAGAGAAATGTAGCCAAAATTAAGGGCTTTAATATTTTATTTAACACTAATATCTAACACTATGTGTTTTACTATTAATAGAGTGATATTGTCACAGCAGTGACAGGGAAACTACGCATGCAAATTAGCATTTATCTTTTAGACTTACGGAAGTACTGTTTATTCATAATTGTATCATTGCATTCATAAATTGTATTACAGGAAGGCATAAGATCCTCCCTGGCGGCACTGAGATACATCTCCGTATACTGGTAAAGCGTTCGTCCGGTAAGCGAGTGGTCGCGGGTTCGAGTCCCGGTGGCGACGCTGCTTTTTTTGTTCCCAGCCCCAACTCACAAAAGATCCCCAACTTTACCATGATATCCCTAATTTTCTCTTTTTCCTTATCCCACCTCGACTTTCCGTTTCCAAACTGGCTTGCATTGATTCAAGTGCTCGAGCGTGATTCTTTCTTGTGTTTTCGAATTCTTCTTCCTGAATTTAATGAGAATTTGATTTGAAATCATTTTTTTAAAGCTTCCTTCTTTCAAGACAAACTTTTTCATGAATTCTCTTTTCGATTTCGCTTCTCACTTGACTCAATTCAACTTGAGCTCGCATCACCTAGACTTTGAATTTGAATAGTTTACATATTTCTTTAAAAACCTTGTTTTCTTCAGCTTCCAAAGCTGATTCAGCTTCTTCCAATGCTTGTTGCAGTTCTTCTTTTTCCACTTCCAAACTGAAATCTTTCAACTTTTCGTTAGAAATTATTTATTTAAACAAACCGTCTTCGAATTTTCTGCAAATCGTGAACACTTTTCCCTCCTTCTCCCAATTGATCAGCAATATCTTTAAGCTCTTGAGCAAGAGCTTTATTTTCGCGGCGAACACCATCCACCTAGTAAAGGTAATAAAGTAAAGGTAATAAAGTAAAGGTAATACAATTTGTGAGAGCAAAATGAACGTTTGTTAACATAGATCAAAGATAAATCCAAATTTTACTTGTTCATGTGCTTCTTCGAGTTGATTCTTCAAACGGAACACTTCAGTACTCGAGTTTCTGAAAAAAAAAAAGATCGTGAATTTGAGGTGTTCATTTATCGCTTTGATTTTCAATTGGTGTACACCGCAAAAAATTAGATTTAATCACTTCAACAGCTACTTTTTCAGGATTCTTAGACAAAACTTCAAAAATTGTACCTTCATCTAGCAAAAAATTCTGAAAAAGTAGCTTCGAAGTAGTTAAATCTCGTTTTTCCGATGTACACCTATTGACAATTAGACCGAGAAATGAAGAGCTTTACTGTGAATAGATTGCTTGAAGCAAAGCTCAAAGGAAAGCTCAAAGGAAAGCTCAAAGGAAAGCTTAAAGCAAAGCAAAGCTCAAAGCTCAAAGCAAAATTTAAAGCAAAGCAAAGCTTAATGCAAAGCTTAAAGCAAAGCTTAAAGCAAAGCCTAAAGCTCAAAGCCCAAAGCAAAGCTCAAAGCAAAGCTAAAGCAAAGCCCAAAGCAAAGCTCAAAGCAAAGCAAAGCTTAAAGCAAAGCTCAAAGCAAAGCTCAAAGCAAAGCTCAAACCAAAGCTCAAACCAAAGCAAAGCGAAGCAAAGCTTAAAACTCAAAGCTGAAAGCAAAGCAAAGCTCAAAGCTCAAAGCAAAGTGAAACCTTTTCTCCTTTCCACTCACCGATGATCTCTTTGCGCCGAATCGAGCTCTTGCACGAGGGAATCACATTTGCGTTTCCATTCATCAATCACCTAGATTTTCGATATGAAAAAGTTTATCTGATTTTGGAAATTCTTTGATTTCCGTTTCCATTTCAAAAGCTCACTCACTTTGTCGAATCCTTTTTGTTTCTTCTCAAGCGAACTAGCGATCGAGTTTGCCTAAATGATTTCATTTTTTTAGATGCGATTTCATTTTCATTTTAGGTTTTAATTAAGAAAAGTTGAATTATATTTGATATTTCTTTATTTTCTACCCGATCCGCATCAACTTGAGCATCTTCGAGTTCTTGAGTCAGTCGTTGTCTGGCTTTTTCGAGTGAAGAAATCTATAAATGAAATAAAAAAATGAAAGTTTTCATAAAGAAACAAATCCTTTTGTTCTTTTATACTTTTCTATTCATTCTTTAAATGAAACCTTTTGAATATGGGATTCGATCGTCTCTTGCATTTCGTTGAGTTTTGTTTGGAGACGGCGTCTGAATTGAACTTTTTAGTTTGTTGTCAAGTTAACGGCATATTTACATTGGTACTTCCGTATCTTTCTTTGTAAACAATTTGCGCCTAGCTTGCTGATTCTTCTAGCTGATGAGTTTCATTTTAAAGGTATTTTAAAAAGAGATTTTGTCTGAATTGAACTTTTTAGTTTGTTTTCAAGTTAACGGCATATTTACATTGGCACTTCCGTATCTTTCTTTGTAAACAATTTGCACCTTGCTGATTCTAGCTGGTGCTTGCTGATTCTTCTAGCTGGTGCTTGCTGATTCTAGCTGATGCTTGCTGATTCTTCTAGCTGATGCTTGCTGATTCTAGCTGATGTTTGCTGATTCTTCTAGCTGATGTTTGCTGATTCTTCTAGCTGGTGCTTGCTGATTCTTCTAGCTGATGTTTGCTGATTCTTCTAGCTGGTGCTTGCTGATTCTTCTAGCTGATGCTTGCTGATTCTTCTAGCTGATGCTTGCTTATTCTTCTAGCTGATCAGTTTAATTTTAAAGGTATTTTAAAAAGAAATTTTGATCTGTTATGATACAAATTTTAAATAAATTCTCATTAATCTTAGAAGAGAAAGATAAAAGAAAGAATGCGACCAATTTTTCTGAAAAGCTTAGCTATACTACTAACTTTTTATTTTCTATCTTGTCTATTTACAGATTCTATAGATTTTTGTAGAAGAAAGAGGTCAAATCGTTGTTAATTCTGTTAATTCAAGTCTAGCCAGGTTAATTTTGTGTTAATCAGTGTATTAATCAGTCTATTAATCAGTGTTATTCTTGAAAACTTCTCGCTTCTTAAAATTTCTTAAAATAAGCGCTGTTTTAAAACACTTGAGAAGCATTTTATAGAAGAAAAATAGGGCTTTTCAATAAAGCAATGCTTTGGTCGATTCACCGTTTCTAAAAGGATCAATGAAGATAAAATACAAATAAATAAAACTAATAAAATACGGGAGAAAGATACGGAAGTACCGAATTTAATTGTTTACTTTTTTCTAATAAGCAAACAAATTCAATTCATTTTTTTCAACAAATCAAACATATTTTTACCTAGCCTCTTCGAGTTCTTCGGCTCGATTCATTCCCTCTCCTTCATATCGAGCACGCCATTGTTGAGCCTCCGCATTCGCCTGTTAATGTGATTTCAGTATTTCAAAAAAACCTTGAAACAAACCTTTGAAATAAGTCTTTGCAATTCCGTCTTTGCATCTTGTTCTTCTTCAAGCGATTCACGAAGTTGTTGGCATTCAAGTTGATAGTTTGATGCCTAAATTGATGTTTGAAATACAACTTTAGACCAAGGTATTTCTTTCTTCCTTCTTTCTTTCTTTCTTCCTTTCTTTCTTCCTTTCTTTCTTCCTTTCTTTCTTTCTTCCTTTCCTTTCTCTTTCCCTTTTTCTCTAGCTAAATCAAGGACCGAATGGCTCAGTGGAGCCGGAAAGCCCAGGAAAGCCAAGAGCAAAAGATTCAGTTCTTCGGGTTGCCCTCTACCGAAATCTACTTATTCTTCCTTTTTCTTTATTAAGGAAAATTGTTTGCGAATCCTTTTAGCTTTCACCTGTACATGTGCTTGTTGTCGTTCTCTTGCTTCTTGTTCAAGTTGTCTCTTCAATTCTTCTAATTGAGTGTTTAATTGACTCTTGATTCGATTCAATTGAGCAAGTTGAGATTCAGCATCTTCCAATTGTCTGTAAAGGTTAAAAAATTCAATAGATTCTAATTTATCATAAATTATTATAAATTTTGCTACATTATTATAAATTCTGTTAAAGAACTTACAGCTTTTTAATCATTTTCAGTTTCTTACCTATTCAAATCGGCATTCTCTGTGTGTAAACGGCTCTTTTGTGATTGAAGCTCTTGATTTGTTCTCTAAAAGTTTTCAAATATAAAATTATCATAGTTTCTTTTCTTTATTAACTACTGTAGAGGGTTTAAATGTGTAATTCTCTTGCCTGTTGCTCATCACTTCGAAGCTGCAGCTCAGTGAGTTGTGCCTCCAATTGTTTTGCCAAACGTTCAGCATTTTGTCTCTTTAAATGGTGAAATTTGAAAGATGAAAGATGAAAGATTAAAGATTAAAGATTAAAGATTAAAGATCAAATATCAAATATCAAATATCAAATATCAAATATCAAATATCAAATCTCAACCTGTTTTCCTTCAATATCCATCTGATTTTGAAGTTCTTCAGCTTCCCGATGAATCAAAGCCTTATCTTTTTCCAATTTCGCTCGAATCTTTTGCACAGTCTCCAATTGTTCGGTCAATTCAGCGACCGCATCGGAATGTTTCTTTCGGAGTCCAGACATTGCTTGCTCTTGTACAATGCTTGCTTCTTCCAAATCATGCCGAAGTTTCTGGAAATGAATTCATCTACTAAATGTAAAAGAGCATTTTGTTTTCAAAACATACCACACTATCCGGGGTCGAACCCGGATAGTGTGGTATGTTATGTAGCAATGAAAGCAATTAAATTATATGTAGCAATGAAAGCCAAAAGAAATCTCGATTCTTACGTGGTTTAAAGGACTTTGGGAGTTTAAGAGACTTTTGAATTTGTGGCCAAGTTTTAAATGTCTATAACTTACTATAGAGACAATATATTTGTTTATTTTTAAATAGATTTTAAAAGAACACATTTCAGCCTTTCAAATGAGACTAAATAGAGCCGAATTGGAGGGATCAATCTCGAGAAAATCGAATGACTAAAAGTCGTTGTTGATTTTGCTTTTCACTTAGAAAATTTGACTCTATTTAGACGCATTTCAAAGCCTGAAATGTATTCTTTTAAAATCTATTAAAAAATAAACGAATATATTGTTTCTATAGTAGTTTATAGAAATTTAAAGCTTGACTATCCAGTGAAAAGTCCCCTAAACTACTCAAGAGCTGTAAAATCTCTTGTTTGTTTTGTTTTTTTCTTGATTACCTGCAATTCAGCTTCTCTTTTCTTATTCAACTCCATTTGTGCTTGTGTATTTCCACCAGCTTCATCTAAACGATCGCCCAACTCTTCCAATTCCAATTGCATATCGGCACGAGCTCGTTCAGCCTAAGCAAATGTTCAATCATTCAATTCAATTCAATTCAATTCAATCATTGAATTAATTAATTAATTAACAGTCAATTAATACAGCAACAATCTACCTTACAACAATTTAAATAAATCTCTTCAAAACATACCTTTGCTCGAGCATTCCTTTCGGCATCAAGTTCCTCTTCAAGCTCTTGAATTCTCGCAAGTAGCTCTTTGATCTGTTTTTGCAATTTGTTCACCTAAATTTTGTCCGTTTCTAATCATTTTTAACTTTATCAATACAAATTTATCAATTTCTTCTTTTTTCTACTTCACGAACCAATGATTGCTCATCTTCGAGTCGACTTGTGATGTTGTGAATCTCGATATCTTTTTTCTTCAAAGCCGCCTCTTGTTCATGGCGAATTCGTGTCAATTCCTCGATTGTTTCTTGTGACATCTAAATTTGCATTTGCAATTCGCAAATTTTTCATTTTTATATGTATTAATCGACATTCGATAATGCCTCAAACCTTAAGTTCGCCCTCCAATTTGCGACGTTGCTTTTCGATGTCTTGGCGTTGACGACGTTCTCTGGAAATTCGCTCTTAGCCAGAAAACATAAACCACGATTATACTTTCAAAGTATTCTCCTAAGCTCTAGTTGAATATCTTTTCATTTTATGAATAAACAAAGCTTCAAAAAGCGACGAAGCCCTGCTCCGTTTTCTGTTTCGATTTTTCGTAGTTGCCCCTTTTTTTGAAATCCTATAGAACTAGAAGATATTACCGTAAATACTGTAATAGTACCCCACCCCCATAATGACGGTGCGGAGCGTTGCGTAGTCTAGCTTTGGACGCGTTTTTCTCGGCACTGGTTTATGCTACAATGCGCGCTTAGGTATCAAAAAATAGCTGAAATTCAGGGCTATTTTTTGATACCAAAGACGCATTTTTTGAAAGTACGGGTGCTTTGCAAAAAATGAAATACTAAAAAACTTTTGCGACTACGCGACTGTACAAGGGGGGGTGGGGGAATATTACAGTATTTACGGTAAGCTGAGTGGACAAGGGGAGACTTTAAAAGTCTATCAACAATACTTTATATAGCAATATTTATTACATGTGACTCTAGTCAGCGCAATTTTGTTTATACAAGCATCGCAAATTTACATCTAACTGCCAAAGAGTGAATTAAACACGGAATTTTAGGATAATGAACGTGATTTTAATCCAAATTTCTACAAAACATCAATCGCTAACATCTTGAAAACATCGTAAATCGTAAATTCGTGCAAGCGGCAAGTGGAAAAGATCTTGATTTTCATAGAGCTAGCAGTACATATACAAATGTACATAGCAGTACACAGGCAAATGTACTGATTTGCGTCGACCAGAGTCACAAAAACGTTAGTAACTTAGTAACTAGAGCGCGTACAACTAGAGACTTAACAAATAGTGCAAAATGGGAAACGAGTGCATTCAAAATAAACTGAATATCTTACAGATTGTAGAAGAGATTTATGATATTCAGTTAATTTCGACCTAATCCGTTTGCTATTTTGAAATATTTCTTTAGAGGAACGCGCTCTATTAGTAACGTCCTTATTCGACTTCGGCTTTGCAAAAAAACAGCGCAAATCTTATGCAAATTGAGGCAATCGATATCAAATTTTGGCTCAAAATCTCATTTACCCATCTTCTTTTTGTTATAAAGTTAGATAAATAATGATATCGAATCTAGATGATAGATCTAAACTAGATCATAGATCTAAACTAGATGATAGATCTAAACTAGATGATAGATCTAAACTGATGATAGATCTAAACAGAGACAAACTAGCAATCTAAACTAGATCATAAACTAAACTAGACATGTCTAAACTAGATGATGCTAAACAGTCATAGTCTAAACTAGATCATAGTCAAACTAGATGTGATCTAAACTAGATGATAGTCTAAACGATCTGTCAAACTAGATGATAGTCTAACTAGATCATAGATCTAACTAGATCAAGATCTAAACTAGTGTAGTCTACTAGTCATGTCTAAACTGTCATAGATCTAAACTAGATGATAGATCTAAACTAGATGATAGATCTAAACTAGATTCAACCTCTCCAAGTTGTCCTCCAATTCATCAAGAGTGCTCTCCAATTTGCTCTTCATCTTGTTCAAGTGGTTAACCTAAATGAAATTCGAAGCTTTTAAAATTAAAAGTCGACAATCGAAAATGCAATATCTATATTAAAATATAGAAATCGAATTTCGAAAAATCAAAAGAATACCTTGTCCTCTTCGGCTTGAATATCCTCGAGAAGCTTTCGATTGACCTAAATTGAGAGAATGTTTTAGTAAGTATGAGTGATGCTGGGAAGGGGATATCAATGCTTTTCTGACACTAAATTTCCTTAGATTTCAGCCTTCTTTTAATCGTTTTTCTTTAGTTTTTCATAGTATTAACGTATTTTAATCTAGTAGCGCATTGTCGGGCAGCACTTAAGCAGTCCCGGGAGGGGGTAAGTGCTGCAAGCTCTCTAAGATGGCTCAGGTTCAGCCCTAGCTACTTCCCGGAGACCTTGCAGCACTGAACCCCTCTTGGACTTGCTTAACAATGGAAGTCCTTTAGGTCAGCATCTGGGATTGAGCTGAGAACAAATGGATCTTATAGAATCGATCATGCTGATCACGAATATGTATAGAACTTTTGCCCTCGTTCAAACGCAAGATAAGTGGCAGGATAAGTGGCGCAATATTTGGCACCGAAGTTTTAGCACTTACCTTATAAAGTCCACACGTTTGAAGAAAGTGCGGCTATGTTCTAGTGGATAAATGTCTTGTATCAGGCGCGATCTTTGATTATTTTGCCGCTGGTTCAAATTCTTTTGCTGCAAAGCTTTTTGTTCTTTGTTTTTTGCCATTTTTAAGCTACTAATAAAATTACGATCGGAAAATAAAAGATTTGTTAAAAATTAATACTTATATTTCATCTTGATTTCTTGAATAAATTTTACGTTTTTTTTCTTCAAATCGAAATTTCGGTGTCTTATTTATTTTCGATGGTAATTTTATTAGTAGCTTAAAAATGGCAAAAAACAAAGAACAAAAAGCTTTGCAGCAAAAGGATTCGAACCAGCGACAAAACAATCCAAGATCGCGCTTGATACAAGACGTTTATCCACTAGAACACAGCCGCAATTTCTTCAGATGTGTCAGGGACTTTATCAGGTAAGGGGTAGAACTTCGGTGCCAAATATTGCGCCACTTATCCTGCGCCACTTATCCTGTGCCACTGATCCTGTGCCACTGATCCTGTTCCACTTATCCTGTGCCACTTATCTTGCGTTTGAACGAGGGCAAAAGTTCTATACATATTCGTGATCAGCATGATCAGCATTCTATAAGATTCATTTGGTCTCAGCTCAATCCCAGATGCTGAATCCCAGATGACCTAAAGCACTTCCCTTGTAAGTGCACTCCCGCCTGAGAATACGCTATTATATACATGCTATATGTAGTTGTTTTTTGACGTCAGAAAAGCATTGGCCTTTTCTCTTAAGATAATTTTTTGAGTGATCCTCCAGCTAGCATAAAAATACGGGATAATTCAGCTTTATTATCAGCCAACCTCTTCTTGATGTTTTCTCTCTTTCGTAATCTTTGCAATCACTTCATCTTGACTTGAGATTTCGTCTTGAAGTGAACGAATTTGATGATCTTTCGTTTGTTTTTCCGATTCCTAAAAGAAAAAATTACTAATAATAATAATTAATGCCAAAGTTTTTCATGTTCGCTTTTTTAATTTTGAGTTTTTTTTGTTTTTTTTAGCACTCACTTGTTTTTTGATGGTTGTTTCTAAATCTTGAACATTTTTCTTCAAGCTATCATTGTCGCTTTCGACCTGGAAATGGTAAAACATCATTATTGCATAATTTGAAACCATGTAAACCTTTTTCTTCATTTTCTGCAAAGCATTATATTTGTCCTCTTGATCACCAAGCTGATCGTTGAGATCTCCATTCTGAAAAAGGAAAAAAAAATACATAAAGATCTATGCTATAAAGAGGAATAAATCGATGGAAACATAAAAGAAACCCTTTTTTCAAGATCCGCCTTTTGTGCAAGCAATTTGGCACTTCTTTCTTCTCCTTCAGCCGATGAATCTTTCTCTTGTTCTAATTGCATTGCAAGTGCCTTAAATTAAGAAAATATTAAAATATTAAAGTAAATATTACCGTAAATACTGTAATAGTACCCACATTTGAATGAGAAAAACGAAAAGAAGTGCTTTATTTTCAACGTGAAGATTCTAATCGATTTAAATTGAAATCAGCTTTTATAATTGATCAATACCAAGCCAAATTGGTTTTTTAGATTTTGAAATTTTAAACCCAAATGATCTTGAAGCTCTAGTGGATCCTTGACGTTATCTGTGCTACCCATAAATTATATACCGTAAATACTGTAATATTACCCCACCCCCTCGTACAGTCGCGTAGTCGCAAAAGTTTTTTAGTATTTCATTTTTTCTCAATGCGCTCGTACTTTCAAAAATGCGTGTTTGGTATCAAAAAATAGCCCTAAATTCCAGCTATTTTTTGATACCTAAGCGAGCATTGTAGCATAAACCAGTGTCGAGAAAAACGCGTCCAAAGCTAGACTACGCAACGCTCCGCACCGTCATTATGGGCGGTGGGGTACTATTACAGTATTTGCGGTAACTAGCATCGTATGCTTATACTTTTAGAGCATTTACAACATGTTCCACTGTTTCATATTGCCGCTTTTATTTGATTTTCAAGTGCAAGCAGCTTTGGGGTAGCGTTTGCTGGTTAAAGTACATGAGATTTGGCTAGAATTGCCAAAAACTTGCTAAAATAGTCACCAATCGATTAAGCATATGTGATTACCTTAAAATAGATACCGTAAATACTGTAATATTCCCCCACCCCCCTCGTACAGTCGCGTAGTCGCAAAAGTTTTTAGTATTTCATTTTTTTCCAAAGCACCCGTACTTTCAAAAAATACGTCTTTGGTATCAAAAAATAGCTGAAATTCAGGGTTATTTTTTGAAACCAAAACGAACATTGTAGCATAAACCAGTGTCGAGAAAAACGCTTCCAAAGCTGGACTACGCAACGATCCGCACCGTCATTATGAGGCTGGGGTACTATTACAGTATTTAAGTACTATTACAGTACGGTAAGTTAAAGATCGGAAAAATTAGAAATTCTTCAAAAATTGAACCTGTTTTTCGGAATGAAGTCTCGCCACTTCGGATTCCAAATCTTTTCGCGATCTTTCCTCTTTTGAGTAGTTATCTTCAAGTTCTTTACATCTAAAACATTGATATATATTTTGTGTTAGATAAATAAAGTTTAGATAAAGATAGAGATCAAGTTTAGATAAAGCTTTTAGCTATTTACTAGACATTGGCACTATAAACTATAAAAATAACGAACTGTCACACTACAAACGCTTCTAACTTTCTGCAAATCTGTCGGATTGATATGATCTATAGCTCAAAAAATAGAGAATCTCAAGAGCTTTCGAATGAACCAAAGCATACTCAAAAGTATTAATTCTAAAGAAAGTTACAGTGGTTTACGTCGAAACGGACCGTACTCGTGCGTAGTCAGGCTACAAACCACTGTAACTTTCTTTAGAATTGATATTTTTGAGTGTGCTTTTGGTTCATTCGAAAGCTCTTGAGTTTCTCTATTTTTTAAGCTATAGATCATATCAATCCGACAGATTTGCAGAAAGTTAGAAGCGTTTATAGTTTACGTTTGTAGTTTATGTTTGTAGTTTATAGTGCTCATGTCTACTATTTACAAAGCAGAATAATTATTGTACCTTTTCTCGAGCGCCTCGAATTCTTCATCTTTTTTGTTTCCTTTGATGAGTGGTTTAACGCGTGAGAAAAGAGAAAACCTGAAATTTCAAACATTTTTGCATTTTGGTTATTTTTGTTCGGAATATAATAATTGTTTTAAATCATTTTCCACAGATTATTTCTTTCCTACTTTTGTTTTGTGTTTTCTAAAGTGCAAACCTCCTACCGTACCCCTATTTGTTCACCATTTCGAAGCATTATTTAGGGTAGGCTAATTTCCGCCATTTCATTTGCGCAACTCGCCATAACTTTCTTCTAGGTGAGCTAATCTTTATGATTTTGGTTTTGTTTTGTTGCGCTTATTGAGATCTACAAAATGACATCAAAATCATAAAGATTGGCCCACCTAGAAGAAAGTTATGGTAAGTTAAGCAAAAAATTTGTCGCAAAGTACTGGCTACTACTGTAACTACATAATCTTTATGATTTTGATGTCATTTTGTTGCACTTATTGAGATCTACAAAATGACACCAAAATCATAAAGATTAGCTTACTTAGAAGAAAGTTATGGCGAAAATTAGCCTACCCCATTGATGCCTACCCCATTGATGCCTACCCCATTGATGCCTACCCCATTGATGCCTACCCCATTGATGCCTACCCCATTGATGCCTACCCCATTGATGCCTACCCCATTGATGCCTACCCCATTGATGCCTACCCCATTGATGCCTACCCCATTGATGCCTACCCCATTGATGCCTACCCCATTGATGCCTACCCCATTGATGCCTACCCCATTGATGCCTACCCCATTGATGCCTACCCCCTCTTTGATCAAATTAGCTCTCGAACTTTTGTTTTGAAAAGAATTCCCCAATATTTCGTCTGTTTAAATAAATTCTTGAATCAACTTCCAAAAATCAACTTAAAACTACTCAAATTGTACAACAGTTATTAAAACACATAAATATACAACAGTTATTAAAACAAATATCGATATTTATCCAATAGTCTAATTTTATCAAACAAACCAGTGCCAACTTCGGAGTGTACACCAAGCACGAACATTCCTTTGAACAACAACCAATCCAACCCTGAACAAACGCTTACCGTAATACCCCTAATAGTAGCGCCCCTCCTATAATGACGAAGCGTCGCGTAGTCTAACTTTAAACGCATTTTTCTCGACACCCGTTTATGCTACAGTGTTCGTTTAAGTATCAAATGAAAGCTGAAATTCAGGGCTATTTTTTGATACCAAAAATGTATTTTTAGAAACTATGGGTGCTTAGAAAAAAATGATTTAGTAAAAACTTTTTGCGACTACGCGACTGTACGAGGGGAGGGCGCTACTTTTAGAGCTATTATGGTATTTATTAATTATTTCTTTTCTATTAATCCGCAAACACTAATTCTTTTAGGTTTTCTATTACAAACTTTTGATCGACAAGTCTTTTGTACTCGCACAACGCCAAATAATGTCGACAAGCACTTTGGAATTTTGTCATGATAACGGAAAGAGCTTCGTCTCTCAATTCTTCCAAATGCGCCAGAACACCGGCCTTGAAGAAAACCTAAAGAAATTTTCTAGAATTAATGTAATCGAAAGTATTAACTGACAAGGGGAATTTCAAAAAAGTGTGGGGGCCAAATGACATGACCCATATTCTATTCGACGTAGAATTTTGCGCTGATTCCGAATCTGCTTTACGCTTTTGCAATGCAGCATTCTATCAGAAGTTATAAGCGCTCAAAGTTTTGTATAGAATTGCAGAAAACAAAGCTTATAAGTTGACTTTTCAGGTGGAAAAGATGTTGTGGTGGCAGAGTGGCAGTGGGCTTGAATACGGAGCTGGGCCCTAGAGTTCGAATCCGGCGTTTGGCTTTCATTTTTGCTTCTTTTAGCTTTGCATGGTTTGAGTATTCTCTATGTGCGCTCACAATCGTTCAGCATCTGGCATAACGTTGCTCTGGATAAAGATACAGCCAATGATCGCCATCCAACATCGCCAAAAAGACTCAAACGATTCAAAGCTAAAAGAAGCAAAAACAAGAGTCAAGCTCCGGAATCGAACCCTAGGGTTCCTGCTTCGTATTCAAGCCCACTACCACTAAACCACTAAGACACCAAGACAAAAAAGGTCAACTTATTAGCTCTGTTTTCTGCAATTCCATACCAAACTTTGAGCGCTTATAACTTTTGACAGAGTGCTGCATTGCAAAAACGTAAAACAGATTCGGAATCAGCGCAAAATTCTACGCCGAATAGAATATGGGTGATGTTATTTGGCCACCACACCTTGTTGAAATTCCCTTGTCAGTAACAATCGAAACAAAAATCGGTCTCTTGAACAAATTTTCTCCAAAAAAGCACTTCAAAGACTTAAATTATAAAAATAAACCAATAAACTAAAGAATAAATCAGTAAAATAAATAAAATAGCCTAATAAACTAAAGAAAACCTTTGTCTGTCCAAGTTGAAATTCCTCTGGTTTAAGGGCATTTTTCTTCGAAAGCTCTTCAGTGACAGCTTTCCCGGCAGCTATATCATCCGTTGCACTCTTCACCGCATCAGCTGCCAAGATTGCATATCTAAAGCAATCAACAAACATAAAACACTCATTCAAAAACAGAAAAACTTTGCAATTGATCAATTACAATTCGATCTAGACTGATCTAGACTGATCTAGACTGATCTAGACTGATCTAGACTGAACTAGATTGATCTAGACTGATCTAGACTGATCTAGACTGATCTAGACTGATCTAGACTGATCTAGACTGATCTAGACTGATCTAGACTGAACTAGATTGATCTAGACTGATCTAGACTGATCTAGACTGATCTAGACTGAACTAGACTGATCTAGACTGATCTAGACTGATCTAAACTCTTCTAAACTCTTCTAAATGAATTTTTCTGTTTAGTTTCTTTTTTGTTTCAATTCAACCATAACATGCACAATCATTACATGCTTTTTTTTGATGCAATCATTCACTCAAACCTTCGTTTTTCCAATTCGATAATCATCAATTTTAACTTGTCCTTTTTGCACAAGTCTTGCCATAACTTTTTCTCCGGCTCTATTCGCATCCCCATCGGAAGCTTCATCCGGAGCCAATGGACCATATCTAATAATTAAAAATCGATAAAAAATCGATTAGAAAGATTTAAATGTTAGAATAGTTGATGATAGTTGTTAAGAAAAGAAAAGTTTCGATGTTTTATCATAAACATTAACACATTCACCACTGTTTGGCCCGTCATTTTTCCCCATTTTCAGTGTCAAACTCGACTTTTTAAGAGCTTTTGTTATTTATTTTGTAAAAAGTTCTCAATAAATCTATACTGGTTTTGAAGAGGAGATTCAGGGCTATCGAATGAGTATAATACCGTTAATACTCTAATAGAACGCCACGTACATTTGCGTAGTTTAAGTTCTTTTCAGAAAATCATTTTTTTTGCTCAGCTTCTAGATTTTTCCCAACTAAACTTTTGGTATCAAAAAATACTAGATTTTAAGGGCTATCATTTATAATAATGACAATTATAATTACTACAAATAAACGACATACGACTAACAATACCGTAAATACTCTAATAGAACATACTTCTTTTTAGAAAATCAATTTTCCCTCAACTTCTAGATTTTTCGCAAATAAACTTTTGGTATCAAAAATACTAGATTTCAAGGGCTATCATTTGACACCAAAGCGCAAACTGTAGCTTAAACCAGCGCGGAGAACGGGACGTTTAAAGTTAGACTACGCGACTGTACGCCCGTCATTATGGCGTTTTATTAGAGTATTTACGGGAATTTTGTTTATCTTTGAATTTTCCCCGAAATTATCGGTAAAACAGTTAACAACTACGCAACTTTACGCCCAAAATATTGTTGTGAATGTGTTAAGAGCGGTTAGAACAACGTCTTCATAATGTAATCACAAAGAAAATTTGATGGAAAGATGGATTTGATGGAAGAAACATTTCCAAGGGTTATTAGAGGTTCAATCTTGTAAATTAATGCATACCGTAAATACTGTAATAGTACCCCATCCCCTCGTACAGTCGCGTAGTCGTTTTTTCGTATTTCTTGTTTTTCAAAGCGCTCGTACTTTCAAAAAATGTGTCTTTGGTATCAAAAAATAGCTCTGAATTTCAGCTATTTTTTGATACCTAAGCGAGCATTGTAGCATAAACCAGTGTCGAGAAAAACTAGCTCAAAGCTAGACTACGCAACACTCCGCACCGTCATTATGGGAGTGGGGTACTATTACAGTATTTACGGTAATTTATTAGAAAAATTGCGTTATTTTTGTGGAAACTTCACTTCATTGATCACTTCAATCTTTTCTTTTCAAAAAAAAACAAACAAACCTTTGCTTGAAATCAGGGTATGGCATACGATTCGGGAAACCTTTTCGACAAATTCGAATTCCCTCCAAAACACCGTTGCATGTCAATTGATTCAGCACGAGATTTGCCTCAATCATTCCTAGAGAATTCGAAATTTTGCAAAAGCAATGAAAAGCAAAGAAAAACAAAGAAAAGGAAAGAAAAGCTAGAATATTTTTCAGCGCTCAATCTTTCAAACCCTTTCAAAAACTCACCAGATTTCTTTTGCTCGTTTGGAATGATGCAACGAATGAAATGAGGATGAGTCTAAATGCCAAATAAATTATACAAATTTCTTTTTGATATCATCGTTTAACGGTAGATCATAAAAATACAGTCGACTCTCGATTTAAGGCCCCAAATTTCTTGCGTAGCTGCCCTGAATGGCCTCCGATTGGCTGAGCAGCTACGCAGGAATCAAGGGGATGCTTTAGAATTTCAAAATCGATTTTATTAGAGTCGTTAAATCGATTAAATCGATCTTCCTCCAAGTAATGCACTTTCTAAAAGATGCCTGTTTATAGAACAGGATAGAGTTGATTCAGAGTTGATCCAGAGTTGATATTACGATAGAAAACTATCGTAATATCAACTCTAAATACAAATTTTCAGCTAAATATCTTCTTTCTTTTATCATTTATTTGGACCGATTTGGTTTTTCGTCCGATTTTAATTGAATTTCGTCAATTTTCATGAGAATCCTTTTTGATTTAAGTTTTTAACTCGAACTTTTGTCATTTTACGTCCCTTTTTCGCACATTTAGGTCAAACGGAGAACAAAAAAGTAAAAGCGATCATTTCAAGCGCTTCCGCACCCCAAAATATGCCCAAAAAAACTTAGAAAATAGGTATAAGTGCTCATGAATGCTAATCTCGTCTCTTCTTACGCCAAACCTTTTTATAGATTCATAAAAACAAATAAACACTCAAGAAAACAGTAAAAACATTGTAGTGCTTGAGGTTGAGTTGGCAGCCAAAAACTCGTGCGCCGCTGGGATTCGAACCCACGACCTTTCGCTTAACAGGCAATTGTGCTAACCACCACCACGAAGTTGCTCTGCCCTACTCCAGAGGGAGCTAACTATTGTTTCAAACCAAATCCGTCCCCGGTAATTTCAATTCAAATCGGACACAACATCTACTTTGCTATAAATTCTATATTTCATTAAATCATTGTGTTACTTAAAGCGCAGCTAGACTGAGAGATAATATGATCCGACCTAAGCTTGTCTTGATTGTCTCTCTTGTCTCTTGTCTCTTGTCTCTTGATTTTCTTGATTCTCTGTTGTTTTCTATTTGATTGATTGGAAAACTGAAGGTTTAAGTACGATGGTTTTTTTACTTTTAGTCTTTTAGAAAACGCATTACTTGAGAGGAAGGGAAGCTAGCGATTATCAAGCCTTTTTTTTATTACCTGATGAAGCATGCTCATGAGCTTTGTGAGTGACTCTCTGTACATCATTGAAACCGTTTGGAATGACGCTGATTTACCCTAAAAGGAAAATTCGATTATTGGATAGGTCTGATAGATCATTTGATAGATTATCTCATAGATTATTTGATAGATTATTTGATAGATCTATTTTGTAGTAGTAGATTTGTATTTTCTCTCTATATAGTAATATATTTACAGTAGTAATGTTATCTATGTCGTAATATATTTGTATTTTCTCTTTGAAAGCTCTAAGCTTTCATTTCTCTATATTTCTCTATATTTCTCTATATTTCTCTATATTCAAACGCACTTTTTTCTTCCCCGGTGCTGCTTTTTTGCCGTCCTTTGCCGCATTTGCAATATCCTCTTGTGTATCATAATTTGACCAAAGCTCTGACATCAATTCGTTATCTTTGTTCACTTTCAGAATTGTTACAGCCGTGTCGTTGAGAGGATCCTTAAAAAGCGAAATTTCTTGTTCTTGTTGCATTTTATATTTGATAATAGTAGATTTACTATTTAATAGTAGTAGATTTACCTTATTTTTCTCCAGCCATCCTTTCACATTGTAGCGCACAGTGCCAGCATAGTGGACGATTGCCAGATGAGCTTCTGACTGAAAAGAAATCATTTCAATGTATACAGTGTTTCCATTCTGTGTTTTCTCTTTTGTCTTGTTCTTGTTCTTGTTCCATTCTGTTTTCTTGTGTACATCTTTCTCCGACAACAAGTTTATGTGAAAAATAGCTCCGCTTCCGCAAAATAGCTACGATTTCCAACAAAAGGGACGTGGCTTAGCAGTATTTTAACTTTTTTTAAAAATTGGTTTGATGGATTTTCTTGATTTTTATGGGGGCGGAATCAGCATAAAATTTTCTATCAAAGAAAAAAAAGTCCGTCCCGAATTTCGCTCTGGACGCCGAGTTACGTGTCTGTGACGGACACTTCTCTTTTATATATAGTAAATTGATCTTTGACATCTTGCTTCATCATTAAACAGCTGAAAACCCCCCTTAACAGCGGGTTTTTCTCGCTTTGAGGTTGTGTCACCGTGGCGCAGTGGGGAGCATGTTTTTCTACGGGTCACACGATTCGGGTTCGGCCCCCGGCTTCGTCGCGCCTTTTGCTTTTTAAAAAAACGAAGTATTAGATGTACAACTACATAAAAAAAACTCAAAAAAACATGTAAATCGGCCCACAAGAACTCGCGCGTACAGACGGGCAGACGGACAGACAATTTCCTTTTATATATAGTAGATTTTATCCAAGTTTCGATATGGTTTTGAAAAGATTTAAGCTAGAATTTAGAATATAAACCTAATACAGTCATTTAGACTGTTTTTTTGGCTTTTCTTTACCAAAATAAAGATATAGGATTTATATTTATCCTATTGTTGGCTTTAGTTGGCAATACTTTAGTTGGCAAAGATACAAAAGTACTCTTTGATCTTTCCTTTACCTGTTTTCCCTTTGGCGGTTTTGGCTTCTGGAAATTCGGATGTTTGCCAAGGTGCTGATCGTTCAGTTTTTGAGCCAAAGTCAAATCGGTAGCCTGAAAGATCTTTTTAGTGTTTTTATTTTCTTGTAATGATCATTGGGCAAGCCCGATTCCAGGCTTTTGCCTCATTTGATTGTTTCTTCATTTTTCTTTTTTCTCTTTGAAAAACTACGCACCTTTGGCACAATGCATTCTTCATCGAGCATCGAAATGATACCAAGTGGCTGAATATGAATGAATTTGTTAAAACTAAGCTATTTTACCTTTTCGATGAGCTCAATGCACGCTTGGAGATCTAATCCGAAATCGATAAACTCCCATTTGATGCCCTCTCTAAGAAACATATAAAAAGTAAGTACAATTTTGTATTTTACATTTTCTAAAAGGCTATTTTCTCAATCAATTCATCAGTTTTCAATTCAATTAGCGAGATTTTAAATCTTTAATTGAGCTTATTGGAAATTTGGCTGATGAAAACTGACAGTTTAATTCTAATAGCTTTTAGCTTATTCTAATAGCTAAAAATAGAGCTTTTAGGAAACGTGTAAACGAAGAGAGAAAAATTAAAGATTACGGCGCTGTCGGATGAACCAAACGTCGGGTTAAAGTGCCTAAGTGTCCCCTTGAAAGGCGTTAGTTGATATAGACAGCAGGACGAAGTCGGTACCCGCTAAGGAGTGTGTAACAACTCACCTATTCTACTAAAGATCACGCTAATCATCTATTCGATTCATCTAGTCGATTACTTTAGTACGAATTCACCTTTGATATTCTTCTTGCTCGAGAACGAACATGTGATGATTGAAGAATTGCTGGAGTCTCTCGTTCACAAAATTGATCCACAATTGTTCGAAAGAATTAAGCTAAATTTTGAAAGTTTTTCTGAGAGTTCATCAATGAAATGCTTTAATAAATAAACAAACATCGAAAATCTCAAAACCGGCAATGTCCAGCACTCCAATAAAGTAATCTCTCGAGAGATCTTGAGCATCCAACGTTTTGTTGCATCTAAGAAAAGCAATATTGAAAGAAATTTGGGTTCTTTAGTAGTTTAGAGGACTTTTAAATGGGTAAGAAAGCTTTAAATGTCTATAGCTTACTAAATCGAGAATCTATTCGTTTACTTTTGATCGATTTTAAAAGAAAATCTTTTAACCTATTCAAATGAGCCTTATCGAGACTTAGAGCTTGACTTCATCTAGGTTTTTGATCCACTTTTTCAAAAGAAAAATACTATTCATAAATATCATTAGATAGCTTAAAGTCTTGGGTTTTAAATGAAAAAAAAGTTGATTGAAATCCGATACTCTGGAGGGTTGATCAAGCGCTCGAAGTTGCGCGACCAATTTTTCTCGTTAACTTTCGTTAGCCAAGTCTAATCTCGACACTAATCTATCCAATTTAGCTCAATTTGATCTCATTTGAAAGCTTAAAATGTCTTCTTTTAAAATAGATCAAAAGTAAACGATTATATTCTCTATATAGCAATTTATAGACATTTAGAGCTTGACTATTGGATTCTTTTAAAACTAATGTACTAATGACTAATGTATTCTTTTAAAATATATATTGTCTCTATAGTAAGTTATAGACATTTAGAGTTTAAATATTTATTTAAATATCTCTAAATTCCCTAAATTCCCAGAAAAACCAGCTTTTAGACGGGTTCTTCGACTGGTAAGATCGGCTCTTGGGTAGTTTAAGGTAATTTAGAGGACTTTAAGGGAATTTAGGGAATTTAGAGATATTTAAATAAATATTTAAATCTAAATTTGATAGATCAGTCTCAAGAAAATCGAATGACTACAAATCGTTGTTGATTTTTGAGACTGATCGATCCAAATTGGCTCTATTTGGTCTCATTTGAAAGCCTAAAATGTTTTCTTTTCAAATATATTAAAAACAAACGAATCTATTGTCTCTATAGTAAGTTATAGACGTAGCAATGAAAGCCAAAAGAAATCTCGATTCTTACGTGTTTTAAAGGACTTTTGGGAGTTTAAGAGACTTTTGAATTGGTGGCCAAGTTCTAAATGTCTATAACTTATTATAGAAACAATATATTCGTTTATTTTTAATATATTTGAAAAGAAAACATTTTAGGGTTTCAAATGAGACCAAATAGAGCCAATTTGGATCGATCAGTCTCAAAAATCAACAACGACTCTTTTAGTCATTCGATTTTCTCTCGACTGATCTCTCCAATTTAGCTCAATTTGATCTCATTTGAAAGCTTAAAATGTATTCTTTTAAAATAGATCAAAAGCAAACGATTATATTCTCTATATAGCAATTTATAGACATTTAGAGCTTGACTATTCATTTAAAAGTCCCCTAAACTACTCAAGAGTCTAGATTTCTCTAAAAACATTTGTGATATAAACCTTTTGATGAGCCAACCGAACATTCGTGCGTACAACGCTTTTGCCAGTGCACCAATGGCCCAGTTCACCTAAATGTCTTTTGTATTTTACAAGAATTTAAAAATAAATATATAATATAAAATAAAAACAAGAATAACTACGAAAATTTTCTTGAGAAATTGTAAAATTTTAAATTGAAAATTTAGGAAATTGAAAATTGAACCTGCTCAAGATTTTGTCCTTTGTTCACCCACTCGGTGCCGACCTAAACATTTAATGGATAACTTGAAAAAACTTGAATCTAACAAAGAATCTAACAAAGAAATATTTTGTCGGCTTTTCAAATGTTTACCGCAAATATCATCTACCGAAAATTCGCCCGGTACTAATTTAGCTTGATTTTTGATTCTCTACAACTTTTCCATTGACACCAAAATGGGTTTCTTTTGAAGAAAGTGCTCAAGCTGTCACATATGACAATAACAATATGAATATTTTCTTTTCTTTTCTTTTCTTTTCTTTTCTTTTCTTTTCTTTTCTTTTATTTTCTTTTATTTTCTTTTTATCATCTACAAATCATTATCATTTTGTATCAACATTTCTAATACTAAATATCATTTGATAATAACACGGAATCACTCACGGAATCACTCATGGAATCACTCACTGAATCACCGTGTAATCACAGTGAGTGATGACCTATTCTTTCTGCGCCCGTAAAAAGCGATCAGCCACTGACAATGAGCAATCATCAAAATCATATACATCAAAAGAGAATCAAAAGAAAGGATTGAACTCGAGGAAAAGCTTCTTAGCTTGTTTTCGAAACAAGACTCTTAGCCACTACACCATGAGCTAGGTTTTCGGGCAAGAGCTGTTTTGATGCATATGATTTTGATGATTGCTCATTGTCAGTGGCTGATCGCTTTTTCGCTTTTTCGGGGCGGTGAAAGAAGCCTTATAGGCTCTTGACTGATTCTTGACCTCTTTGACGACGACATTGGAACCATGCCAAAATTTTTGCAATGAATTTTTCCCAAATTTAGGTGTACTTTTGTTACAAATTCAACACCCATTTTGCTACTTAAACAGCAGCTAAACTTGGAGAGTAATTTGATCTGGTTTGAGTGTCTTGTCACTTGAGTTTCTCTTGGATTCTGTGATTCATTTGGTGTCACTCGAAAGTCTAGCATGTTTCTTAAAGAAATGATAGACGAAATCAACAATAAGATTATCGTTTTGGCAAAGTTTCGAATCTTTATAAAGTTATGAATTGTTCAAGAGCTCTTTTCCCTCAAAGAGCTCTTTTCCAACTTCATTCTTTCCTCACCTTGACTCTTGGTTTAAGCAAAGCTTGCACAAATTTCTCGAAGTCACATTTGTAGAGTTTACACGCGAGTTCTCCTTCTGAAATCTCATAGAATTCAAAGGTTTGAAACTTCTCAAGGTTTGAAATCCCTATTTTATTCCAGGGATTCATCAATTTTCTCTTTTCTTCTCCCTCACCAGCACAATCCTCAACTTCAGCTTGTTCTTCGCGAGGTCTTTGCTTGAATCTCATCTCACCCATATGCATTATTCCTGTAAATTAAACTTTTATATAAATTTGACACATTTTTGTGTTAACACATTCGCGACGAGGCGTTTTTTTGCGTTACTGTCCCAGTGGACGAGTAAGTAACTCGCCCAGGGGCAGTAACGTAAAGCTTTGCGTTCTCGCAAAGCTATTAGCCCCGAAACACACCTCCTATATGTAAAATTTCATGCTGAATCCGAATCTCTAATCAGATTTTAAAAATATTGCTGCCTCAAAAAGATATCGGCTCTTTTTGGGTCGCGAGACAAAACGCCGCATCTCTCTTTCTCCAATCGTCTGTTTTCCACGATTTTTGTTTTATTGGATGGAGCTCAGCTAGATGAACATTTCATATCAACATCATTTTTTGATAAGACTTTATCCCAAAAAGTTATGGCCCTTTTACTCGGTCGGTTTAGAAGTCTTCTATAGCGTAGTCGGTAGAGCGTCTGTCTCTGGGGCGGAAGGGGTTTCGTCCAGTGGATCACAATTTCACAATGGATCACAATCACAATGGATCACAATCACAATGGATCACAATCACAATGGATCACAATCGTTCCGAACGTGTTAACAACAGACCTTTCCTTTTACTTAACGATTTTCACAATTTTCATTTAAAAACTCACCGGCTGTCACAGCAAAAAGCTCGTCTTTTTCGCGCTGTGTAAACTTCATAATATCAAAAGCTTCCTGAAATTCTTTTTTATAAGAATTTTAATAATTTCTTAAATCTTAAACTCTTTAAAGATTCAAAAACGCTTTTTAAGGACCTTTTAAGAACTAAAGAAGTCAAAGAAATCATTTTTTAGACTAAAAAAACCTTGATAACGTCGAAAAGTGGATCAAAAATTTATCGAAAGTACTTTAAACTTTCGGAAATTTTGGTATACTGTAGCTAGAAGCAAAAAGAATTCGTAGTTAGTGAATTCTTTCGAGAAACAAACATCAGTGAGCATCATTTCTTCTTTATCATCAACACCATCGATGGTCAATTCGGCTTGGGCGACGAAATGATAATCTTTCAACGGGCGGACGAGAAGGAGACGATCTGCAATTGGTTTTCTTTGCTAATAAACATATTTAGGAACACTTCTAGTAACTAGTAACACTTGATAAGATCCTCTCTGACAGCAGTGGGACAGAAGCTCATTGATGGCTCATTGGTATTCGCCCGGTAAGCGAGAGGTAGCGGGTTCGAAGCCCCTTGCCTTCTGATCCCTTGCCAAAAACCGAAATGGATTTTAGAGAGAAGTAAGAGAAGTAAGAGAGAAACATTCTCCTATTCTTCTTTTGTTGCTTTTTTGATGAACCTTCGACACTTCGGATACTTCGAGAGCGGAGAATTTGTTGATGATACAGGTATTTAATGTCTCTCTCGATCTCATGGACTTCTTTGCACATTTCAAATTGTCTAGTTGTCTAGTTGTTGTCTAGTAAGGACTGTCAAAGTCTCGACTCTCGGTTTTTCGATAACCTTTATACAAAATCTCTAATGAAACGGTGAAAAAGAGAGTTCTAATAGTTCTAATAGTATTTTTGAAGCCTCTTGCCTACCTCTCATTCCTTTGATTGCATCGGAATAGATTTGATAGAAAATATGATAACATCGTTCTCCTGGTGCCTGCTTGATTACACGAGATTTCTCAAGAAGATCTAAAATCCAGAATAAAAAGCAAAATGGTTTTCGAGATTTATGCAAATAATTTAGATAATGATTGGCTGGGTTTTGTTTTTTTTTTATTCAAATCTAAATTCATCTATCAAAATTGAAGTTTTGTTAAGCTATCAAAGCCAAAACTTGGGATTTTTTTGAAAGAGATCGGACTTTGAAAGATATTCAGTTCGGAAAACTGTAGCGTAAAGTGTGGTTTGGTTTTGGATTTGGTTTCGACAGCAGTTTTCGTTTGATTTGTTTAGTTTTGCGAAGTGGGACAAACGCGATCCTTTTTTTGCGCACCCGGCCCATTAGCGCACCTTTTTTTGCGCACCCGGCCCACTAGCTCATCCTTTTTCGCGTTTTAAAACTCTAAAAAGCTAATAGTAACCAATTTCCACTCAAAAAGTTGCTTTTCTTGGTGATTTTAGGGTGTAGAATCGAAATTTTGACATATTAGAGCTTGTGGAAGCAAACGAACGGAGTGATACATCACATCGACAATCGACAGTCGACATCGACAATCGACAAACGACAAACGACATCAACAATCGACATCGACAACTTTCTGTAGTTTGACCTACCCGTTTTATCTTTCAAATTGCTTTCACAAGCTCTGATATGTCAAAACTTCGATTCTACGTTAAAATCACCAACAAAAACAACTTTTAAAATAGAAATTGTTTAATATTAGCTTTTCAAGAGTTTTAAAACACGAAAAAAAATGCGCTAATGGGCCGGGTGCGCAAAAAAAGGTGCGCATTTGTTCCAGGGTTCCAAAAAAAAGTGTGCATTTGGTCCAATCCCGAGTTTTGTTTTGTTTTATGTTTAATTTTGACAATGCTTGTGGATTTGATAAGTTTTGATAGCCTCACAATGTTCGATGTCAGCTCCGGCAAGCTTTCCAGCAGCATTGAAATGAATACGAATGAATTTTCCGAAACGAGACGAATTGTTATTACGGACGGTCTTCGCGTTTCCTTTAAACGTTGTTAATGAATTTTATCTTTCAATTTAAAGCATTTAACGCAGCATTCATTACGCTAACAAACCAAAAGCTTCAAGCACGGGATTCGTTTGAACGATTTGATCCTCGATCGAAGCATTCTTGTTGTCCTTTTGTTTCGGAGCAGAGCTGAAATTTTTAAATTGGAACCGTTTTGGAACCTTCTAGATCAAAATAGGAACCGCATTGGAACCGCATTGGAACCGTATTGAAATCGTATTGAAATCGTATGAGATCAAAATAGGAACCGTATTGGAAATCTTGATCTCGTATCAAAATCTTGATTGATTTAACATTTAGTTTTTGTTTATTTGTCTTTTTTCTTGTATTTTATTTCACTCACCTTTGACTTGCTCCCACATAGGCAAAATAGGAGATCACTTTTTTCGTATTTTCCGTTTTTCCGGCTCCCGATTCGCCAGTAATCAACATTGATTGATTTTCACGATCTAAAAATTTTAGATTCTAGGTGAAAAGAAAGTTACAGTGGTTTACGTCGAAACGGACCGTACTCGCGCGTAGTCAGGCTACAAACCACTGTAGCTTTCTTTAGAATTAATATTTTTGAGTGTGCTTTGGTTCATTCGAAGGCTCTTGAGATTCTCTATTTTTTGAGCTATAGATCATATCAATCCGGCAGATTTGAAGCAAGTTAGAAGCGTTTGTAGTTTACGTTTATAGTTTTTAGTGCTCATGTCTAGAAAGCAAGATTGATTTTATGTAAATCATTAGAAATACAGCCGAACCTCATTAGTGAACTGTGGAAGGGATCCTAAAAAACCGTTCAGTGACCACTTAAACCACTAAAAAACCACCAAAAAAAACCGTTCAGTGAGTGAACGTTTTTTGTAGTGTGAGAATTCGTTATTTTTTGAGTTTCTAGTGCCCATACCGTTAGTCATATTTCTATATGCTTCGTCAGCGACGGCAAATAGATGAGGAGGCATCTCGTTTCGTCGTCTTCCGATGAACATCTTGCAGACATTTTCCGAATAAATTGGAAGCCTTTTATACGGATTGATCACCACACAGAACAATCCAGAGTACGTCTGAAAACTTCTTTCATTCATTGCTTTTTGTTGATTATTTCAGACTTTAATCAGCTATTGGGTTGGTGAATTGAAAACTGTCGGACTTTGAACTAAAATTTATTCAACATAAAACCATGAATTCATTCCAAATAATTTCTCTTATTATTGACGACTTCTGCCCATTTTACAGGCAATTTACGGATTCCTCTTTCGTAGTAGGATTTTGGTTTTGAATCGGACTCAGCCAATTTTGACTCAAAGCCTTACGACTCGCGACTGTCGCCCAAAATCGTCGTCTCGCGTCGCGCCCCCGCCCCCTTGCCATTGGCGTCAAGCTTTGGCCCAATTCTTGGTGTGTCTTGTGTTTCTGGTGTCAGCGAAGTGCGTCTGACCTTCACTACGCGACAATCCCAAATGTATTATTTGGGTTGGTGATTGAAAACTGCGGGACTTTGAACTAAAATTTTTGACATCCCATAATTGTTCCCTTTTCCAATTTTGCGCTTCGCCCTTTACGGCAATTTGCGGTTTCTCTTTCGTAGTAAGTTTTGGTTTGTGTGTGAGACAAGTGTGAGACTCAAAAATCGAGGACTGGAGATGTCCCAGTTTGAGCACTTTCTTCAAAAGAAACCCATTTTGGTGTCAATAGAAAAGATGTAGAGAATCAAAAATGAGGCTTATAGCCAAATTTCCAAAAAGATACACTTAGTAGTTTCGCTTAAAATGCAAGTTTTGTGAAAATTTGGCATTTCTTGAAAGCCAGTTTTTGAATGGTTCTGAAAATTTTGATATAAGCTTGATTTTTGATTCTCTACAACTTTTCCATTGACACCAAAATGGGTTTCTTTTGAAGAAAGTGCTCAAACTGTCACATATGACAATAGCCGGCAGTTTTCAATTCACCAACCCAATAGCTTTATAAAAATAGAGCTTTTACGAAACAGGTAAACGAAGAGAAACAAATTCTATGAAAGATGACGCTAATCATCTATTCATCTATTCAATTCACCAACCCAATAATCAGCTATTTTTGGGAGGGCGCAAAAACCGGAACTTTTGATATCTTGACAACCCGTGGTTAGATTTCTGTGTTTTTTGTATCATTTTGTTGCTCTCATCAAATGTAACAAATCTATACAAAAAAAAACATAAAAATCTGACCATAGGTTATCGAGTTAGCGAGTTATGTCGAGTTATAGAAAATCGTGGGAAAAAATTTGCAGTTTTTCGACCCTCCCGCTACTTTTTCGTCTATAATTGCCACAAATATAGATTCAATTTCTAAATAATCTCAGAAATCATAATGATTTTTTTGAGATTTTATTAAACTATACATGATAAACTTTTTGTTTTTGAAGATTTTAAGAAAAACAAACATAAATCATCATGGCGTAATAGCGTTGTCGAAGATTGTGCAAAACGGAGGCGTCGTTGAGAAAAGTCAGATTCGCCATGTCCTCTGAAACATTGGATTTTATTGATTTTTCGAATAAACTATTGCATTTCACTTTATCATCTGAATAAAGTATTATTGGGTTGGTGGAAAAGTCCTTTCGCGTGTCTAGGGGTTATTTTTGACGCTGATCACGAAACACATGTTTTTAGCCTAGGTTTCCGCACGGAAAACTAACGAAACGTGAAAACAGCCATTTTTTGGCTCTGCCGCCCTTTACTAAAATAGCTGTAAAAACTTTTAGAAAAGAGATATCTCAAAACGGTTTTTACCAATCGATCTGTCTTCAATTCAGCTTTAGGATGAGCTATAAAACGTCAAAATTCGACAAATTTAAGGTACTCTCCCAAAAAATCGGAAACGACTTTTCCATCAACCCAATATTATTATTATTATTATTATTATTAAACTTAATAAACGTTATTATTTCAACCTTTCCTTACCAGTTTTCTCGTATTTTGGTGGATTCATTTGTTGCACATCGTCCTTTTTGAGAGTTTTCTGAAAGTGATTTTTAAATTCAAATTTAAATTCAATTAAATTTTCAGTCTTAAGTTTGTCGATTACCAATAATGTACTAATGACGATTTTTGATTTCAACTTGTTTTTAAGGACTTTTGTTATTATGTATTGTTATTGTTTCGCCAAAAAGTTCCAGTAACTTTATATTAGTTTTCAAGAGGAGACTCAGGGCTATCGTATGACTAGAATAGCTTTGTTTATCTTTAAAACTTCACCAAATTCTGAGTAAAACAGTAACGACTACGCCTAAAATGTCGACCTTTGTGTTAAAATCGACTTTTTTTACGGAAACTTTTGGCGTAGTCCTTTGTTACCATTAGAGAGACTTTTGATACACGTATACCGTATTTCTTCGAATAGAAGACCGGGTAAAGAGTATGATCGCGTACTCCTGCGTAGCAGCTCTTTTTAAAATTTCTTTTCTGCATAAAAGCTTTCAATCAAGTGCTATAAAGCTGGAAAATGGCTCAAAAATACCACGTGAGCTAACAGATTTTTGAGCCATTTTCCAGCCTTATAGCACTTGATTGAAAGCTTTTATGCAGAAAAGAAATGTTAAAAAGGGCTCCTACGCAGGAGTACGCGATCATACTCTTTACCCGGTCTTCTATTCGAAGAAATACGGTAATAATTGATTCTAAATGAGCTAAATCAGCTTCTGTACTATTGAAATCAGCTTCTGTACTAGTTGAAATAAGATTAAACTTCTTTAAAAACTTTTTCTTTCAAATGTTTAGCTTAAAATGTCCTTTTTTCCCAACAAACCTCGGCTCCATTACTGGTAACAACAGTAAGTTGATCTCCCTTTGTCGCCTGGATTTCAGCGGCGATAAAGCTAAAGATTCGTGATTGCATTACTTACAGTTGTTTTTTTATCTTCTTTTTTATCCTTCTACATGAATTTGAATTCCTAACAAGATTCGAAAGATGAATGAATAAACTCAGCCAAACATAATATTGAAATTGCTGCTAACAATAGATTTCTGAAGGGTCTATTGTCAACAGGTGTACAACGAAAATTTGGATCAAGCTTTTGGGAAAGAAAGCAAAAGATTTGACCGGAAGCGGATTCGAACCCTCCATCTGTCGCACTGTGTGCGAGGGCATTAACCACTCAGCCATGGGGCTCGCGGGCCGGTCCGCGTATCCCGGGAATACCTATCTCGGGGGTGCGTTTTTCGGCCGTTTTTACTCTTTACTTAAACCTACTCCAGAGCTCCAACGGACAGACAGACATTTCAAAATTATATATAGATTAGATATTTCAATGAATTCTCAACCTTGTCCTCATTTTTCCAATACTTACCCCTCTTCTGCGTCAGCGATCCACACATTTTTCTTCGAATCGAATTTCTTTGTCGATGCCGCGAGCATCTATTTTAGATTTTTTGCTTTTTGAGTCTTTTTGAGTCTTACAGAAACTTCAAAGCAGTCAAAAACCCTTGGGTGCAAAAAATCAGCTAATTCAGCTTGTTCTCTTTTATTTTTCTGATTTGCATAATGTTTCGTTAACGCAATTTTACCTGCTCTTGACTTTGGCGAAGAAATTGCCATCCGGGATCTTGCTCCAACGGTCCAGCCATTTCTCCAAGGATTCTCTGAAAATTAGGCGATTTTCGATGTGAATTCTAGTTCAATTCTAGTTCATTTTTGGGAACTGAACAAGATGGTAAAGTGATGATTTATTTTTAATTCGAAAACGTACCTAGAATCGAGGATGAATTGTGGAGTTAAACTCTTTGAAAGAAAAGAGATTGAAGACCGCTCGAAATGGAGAAAGTGACCACAGATGGTCTCGGATAACCCTAAAACAATCAAAAATCATTCTTCTTTTAGAAAATAACCGCTAAAATCTCAAATTCCTTTATTAACATTGATTTTTTTTTCTCCTCTAAAGAGGAAATCAACTGCCCGATCTCCACAAGAAATCCATCAAAAAGCAATGTTTATTTTGCTAGATTTTGAGTGTCCAAAGATAAGACAAATAGCGAAAAGAGATAAAAAGAAAAAGAAGGGTTTTTTTTATAAATTTAAAGTGTATTGTTAGAGATTGGATTTTGATAAGCCATGGAACTTGAAATGGTCTGTATTGATTGATACAGTCTGTATTCAGGACCTGAATAAGTATAACAAATAGGGCTGATACTAGGGTCAAATTTTCAACGGCCAGGTTAGGGTCAGGTCAGTTCAGGTCAGGTCAGGGTTAGGGCATACCAGCCCAGGGCAGGCCAGGCCAGAGTCAGACCAGGTTAGGCCAGGGTCAGGCCAGGTCAGGGCCAGGCCAAGTCAGTCCAGGTCAGACCAGGCCAGAGTCAGACCAGGTCAGGGTCAGGCCAGGCCAGAGTCAGACCAGGTCAGGGTCAGGTCAGGGCCAGGCGTAGCCAGGCCAGCTCAGGGTCAGGCCTAGCCTGGCCGGCCATAGCTTCCTGGAGGACCAACTAGCAACAAATAATTCAAGATAAAGCGTCAATTGCACTTTCTAAAAGACACCTATTTTATAAAATGACAGTCCTCAAACCTCTAGTTTTCATTCAATCAGCCATTGATTGGACCTTATGATTCCTCATCAAACGATGCCAAAATTTGGCTGATTGAATGTAAACTAGAGATTGATTACGATATTTTTCTAAAATAGATGTATTTTAGCAGATTATTTGAGAGGAATACACTCAATGTAAGACCAAAAATTTCAAAAATTTCATTCACCAAAATCAATATCGATTTCTTGAAAATTCCACTCAAAAAAAAAGATTGCGACAAATTTTTGAGCAAATTTGCCTGGAAGAGTGTGTTTAGTGGGATCTCATCTCGGATGAGAAAATCTGAAGAAAATCTGAGAGAGAAATGCAGAAAAGATGGATGAGGAGAAAAGGAAAGAATAAAAAGAATGAAAAGAAATGAGAGATCGCCCGAGTTTGTTCTCGAGTCGGCACAGTCAATTCTTGAAGTGCTGACAAAAAGGAAAAAGAATTGAACAAAGAGAGAAAGCTTTGCTGAAATCTTCGGGTAACCGGGAATAACGTGATGAAATAATAGGACTATTCAATGGATCTAAAAGCTAAAATTTCTTTCATCTACTTTTAGATTTAATTTTCTAATCACCATTCTAATCAATCTGAAAATTTCTAATCACAAAAATGGCATTTGAATAGCTTTTTGTTGAGAAAAGAACAGGAAAAAGAGATTTCGAGTTGTAGATTTACATTTAAAACTAATTTTCTTGATCTTTTCTTGATCTTTCTTCAGTCATTCTTCAGTTTTTAAGTATAGATTTTAATTAAAACCCAAACCGAATAAGAAAACTCAAATAAGTTGATCTATTTCATGATTGGAAAGAAAATAATGGAAATTGTCAATCGTAAATTGATCAAAATCAATAAATTGATCAAAGAAAAACAAAGGGATTAAGAAGGGGAATGTTTTGAAAGAAAAGCACATTTCAAGAAATCTTCTCGAATCACAAAAGACAAAAAAAAGAAAAAAGAATAGAAAAAGAGAGATCCTACCGAGGCGAATATTTGCAATATTTCTGGTCGTGGTAGTTGAGAAGGAAGGGAAAAGGAAAGGAAAGAGAGGCTTGAGAGCGCCGGCCAAGTCATGAGGCACCTCATCTCTCCCACACATCCACACATCTTCCCTCATCCCCCACAATCTCTCTCACCAATTTTCGATTCATTGACTTGAGGGATCAAAAAATGAGTATGTCGAGAGTTACCCGGCAAAATTGTGACAAAATTGTGACAAAGTTACTCAACTACTCTGAAAAGTTCCATGATAAACTTAAAATTGCTACGTTTTGTCTGTCTATCTGTCTGTACACGCTACTCTTCAGCCCCCAGAGGACCGTTTCAAATCATTTATAGTTCATTTGGCTTAGAATTCCATCTAGTTGTGCATCATGTTTTCAAATTTTTAAAAAACCAAAAGGTGCCGACGCGGACGAGACTCGAACCCGGACCGTCTGGGCTAGAGATAAATGCGTTCGCACTGCGCCATCTAATGACCGCATTGACCTAGTCAAACGGGTCTAGTCAAACATGGCCGAGTCAAAACTACTGGCCACACTGACCGAGTCAAACATAAAAGAGCATGGCCGAGTGGTTAACGAGCGCATCTTTCCAACGAACAGAAGAGAGGGGTCACAGGTTCGACTCTTCTCGCTGCCAATTCTTTTGCTTCCCACTCCAAAAATTTTTTGTTACAGAGCAACAGCGAAGCTTCTGGTACTCTAGAACGTCAGCCCGATAATGACGGACGTACAGTCACGTAGTCTGACTTTTGTGTATCTCGTTTATCCATAACCTTTAAGACAGAAACCGGCCATGTGCAATATTTTGACTTTAGGCCAGAGTTAAATATATTTGTCACAAGAAGGCTTTAAATATTATATTATGTATATTATTATATTATCTCACAAGAAGGCTTTAAAGAAGACAAATTTTTGCTTGTTTGTTGTGAGTGAAAGCTTTGATGCTTTTTGAGATGAGTTGAGTCAACAAATTCTCCGCAAAAATCCGTCTCCCATGCACTTGGCCGGCAAAGTTCTTTGATCGAGGAAAATCTTTGAGGAGAAAACTGCAAAATTACATAGCATTGATACTTTTAAAAGTTTAGATGTTTATGTTTATGTTTTCTGTTTTATTTGTTGCACAATGAAACAGTGAAAAAGTGAGTGAAACAATTTATTAACAGAATCTTTCCCATTCTTTAAAGTTTCATGTTTAAGGAAACGTTTTCTCTTTCTAGTTCAAAAAAATTCGATTTCTATTCTGATCTTATTGCTTCTTAGTTGGATTCTCTTTCTTTCTCTTCCTTGTATTTCTTCTTTCTTCTCTAACAGAAAGATACTAGATAGCTCAGTAGTTAAAGCATCAGCAGAAAAGCAAAAAAAAGAAGTCGGGAGTTCAACCCCTTCTTCGGAAAGCTTTCTTTACCATTCCTTACTTTATTAACATGTTTTGGTGATAGCGAGAGAATGAAAAAAGAGAAAAAGACGATCAGATGTGGGAAAGGGGAAAAGATGGGATTGTGGGTGGCTCTCGAGGATCGTCTCTCTTCCATCTCCTCTCTTCTATCTCTTCTCTTCCATCTCCTCTCTTCCATCTCCATCAAAATCTTCAATGGCAAACATTCACTTCTTGAAGGCCCTGAAAATCTTAAAGTGCAAATATTTAAGATACAAAATCTAAGCTTTTTCCGCCCAAGCCCTAATCGATTACTGATGAAAGAGAGTGAAAACTGAGCAATACTTTAGTAAATGATGTTAAATCCCTGCTTATTGCTTACTTATTCAGGCTTAGTTCTAAAGAAATCTAAAGTCTCAATCGAAATCTCAATCAAAATTCTCAATCTAAAGATTAAATCTAATCCACATCTCCTCGTGATCTAATCCACAAACTTTCAGAAATGTTTTAGAGTTTTTACGGTATCTTTTAAAAGTAACTAGGGAAAGGCAAGCACTTGTGACTTTTTAAAACGAGAACCATCTTATAGAATCATCTTATAGAACCATCTTATAGAACCATCTTATCGAATCGATCAGGCTTAGTTCGAATCTACTTTTTGTTTTTGTCCTTGAGGCTTGTAACGCAATAGATCCGACTTAAAAGTTTTATGAGCTACAAGTATTAGATTGGCAAATGGAACTGAAAGTGGGTACACTTATTCATTGGACTTTTTAGAAATAACTAGTGCATCAATTAATCTACATTTTTTACCAATAAAAAGGCTCATTTATTCTCTAAAAAGAGGCTTTTGACAGATTTAGAAAAGCTTCGGTTCTCTAGATTTCTAGGGGGGGAAAAGAAGGAACCAAAAATGGTGGGCACTCGATGAAGCGTTTTGAGCACTTTCTTCCACATAAACCTATTTTAGTGTTAATAAAAAAAAGAGAGCATAAAAAGTTAGATAAATCGTCAAATTTTCAGCTAAATATAATCAATCTTTTTTTTATAGTTCCATTTGATGTATTTTCAGAAAAACTTCAATTTCTGCTCAAATTCGTTTCAAAAGTTACCCAAATTTGGTTAAGTATTTCTTAAATTAGATAATATTGGGTTGGTGAATTGGAAACTGCGGGACTTTGAACTAAAATTTATTGAAAATAAAACCATGAATTCATTCGAAATAATTTCCATTATTATTGACGACTTCTGCCCATTTTACAGGCAACTTGCGGATTCCTCTTTCGTAGTAGGATTTTGGTTTTGAATCGAAAAACTTTCTAAGGAAATTTTTGACTGCTTCTTCCGAATAGAAGTGTTCTCCCGCAAGCTCATTACTCATGATCCGGAATAAATAATAATCAAAAGGGGCGAGGTCCGGACTGTATGGGGAATGCGCCAAAAGTTCCCAAACAAGGCTATTTATTTTAGAGCGAGTCAATTTTGCAACATGAGGGTGCGCGTTGTCGTGGATGAGAACGATCTTTGACTTGGATGGCCTATTCTTCTTCAGGGATTCATTCCTCTTTCCCAACTGTTCACTGTATTTGATTGCATTAACGGTCGTCTTGCTATCCAACAACTCCCAGTACAAGTGTGTGAGACAAGTGTGAGACTCAAAAATGGAGGACTGGAGATGTCTGGAGATGTTTGAGCACTTTCTTCAAAAGAAACCCATTTTGGTGTCAATAGAAAAGTTGTAGAGAATCAAAAATGAGGCTTATAGCCAAATTTCCAAAAAGATACACTTAATAGTTTCGCTTAAAATGCAAATTTGGTGAAAATTCGTAAATTTTGCATTTCTTGAGAACCAGTTTTTGAATCGTTCTGAAAATTTGAATATAAGCTTGATTTTTGATTCTCTACAACTTTTCCATTGACACCAAAATGGGTTTCTTTTGAAGAAAGTGCTCAAACTGTCACATATGACAATAGCCCGCAGTTTTTAATTCACCAACCCAATATATAACGTTTATTTAGAGAAGTCTTATTCAATTAAATCTGTTTTATGAAAAATACGAATAAGTGTATCAACTTTCAAGTTGCCAATCTAATACAAGCAAGGCAAAGTTACAGGCTAATGCTTGCATTTCCCTAATAATTTTTTTCTTCATAACAAAACATAAACAAAATTGATATCTTCAAAATGAAAGATGTTTCTATGAAAGCATCTCAGAACTCAAAATCGAATTTCTTTTTCTTATTTCTAGTATTTCTAGTTATTTCTAGTTATTTCTTTTTCTAATCTATAAGCAACTTTCTGAATACATGAAGAGCTCTAATTCCTGCAATAATCTATCATTTAGCTTACCTTATTGAAGAAATAACTTTCACCATCGTCCCATTTTTCCATTTTTCCATCTTCTCCATTTTGTTTTCGTTCTTCTTGACAATAAAAACAAATCTGTAACAAATCTTTTCAGTTTTAGCGCGCGAAAACGTAAAACTGAGTAGATTTCTTACCTATAAAAAGAGGAAATGTTGAATTATTCGATATGAAAATGATGGCATCGGCTGTAAAATATTTCGCTAGCTTATCTATAAAAATATCATTCTGCTTATCAATTTAAAAATGAAAGAATTAAAGAATTAAAGGAGAGATTAGAAATGAACAACTGAAAGCATTACGATCGAATTTATATGCGTTATAGACACACCCCCACTGTTGATCTGTTGTGGTGAAAGCTGTCCAACCAATTTGACACTTTCTTTCTTCTTCAAATCTTCCTATAAACAATCGAAGAAGGGAATCGGGAGAAAGTATCCATTCGACAGCCTGTCATTCACGTCTTTCTTCCTTTTTTTCTTCAAAACAATTTTTCAAGGACCACTCCTTTATGCACAAATATGGTAATGAACTTAGGCTTATTTATGGCTATAAAAAGACACTTCCTAGGTGTTGTTAGAAACTTTGCATTGTTTCTAAACTTTGCACTACCATAATTTCTTTTGCTGAAAGTATTAGGTTGAGGAAAAAGTTCTGACTCACAAGGGAATGGTCTTAGCTCTTGTACCAAGCTGTTGTCTTGCCAATGCTCTTGTAGCAAGCTGTTGTACCAAGCTGTTGTACCAATCTTGATCTTTATATTCCAGATGAGTTTGCAAGAAAAAGAGCTTCGTGTTTTGATCTGCTATTGCTGGAAACGGAAACTTTTAACAAGAGATGCCGTGGAAGAGATTTGCGATGATGATTCGAAACCGAAGGAGTGCTACTTCGACCAGATCCGAAAGGTTGCAGATCGATGGCAGAAAGTCGTAGATAATCATGGGTTATTTAAGGAATAATTGTTGTTATTTTTGTTATTAAAGTGCGCATAAAAATTGAATTTTTCGCAGCTGAGTCAGAACTTTTTCCTCTCAACCTAGTATGTGGGTTCTTTCGTAAATCACGCTAATAGAAAGCAAAAGCAAATAGAAAGCAAAGCAAAGCAAAGCAATAAAGCAAAGCTAATAGAAATCCATCCATCCATTCAGGTTATCAAGCGAAGAAAGTTTTCAGTCCAAATCCAAGTCCAAAGCACGGATTTGATTAGGATCAAGTTCATTACAAACAAAATGGACTTTGTTGTTTATCAAAAGGTGTTGGAAAAGCATCAACGGTCTACTCTCTCTATAACGGAACCCTATTCAGCGGAACTAGCGGATTCAGCGGAACTCTATTCAGCGGAAAACTTTAAATAACGGAATGAGATTTTGGTCCCGGCCGACGCTAAGCTATATAACGGAAATTTTTTTTTGTTCCCTTCCATTCCGTTATAGAGGGAGTCGACTGTATTACCATATCTCTATAGAATCTTGGTCAAGTTATGAAATTAGTTCAGGATAATCCGCCAAGTCGATCTACTATGCAATGGTAAACTCTAGTTGTCTAAATCTATTCGTTGGTCGGCTTTTTTCAAATTTTCATTTATAAATGAATAATTAATCGATAGTCGATGGTTTGATTTCAATAAAAAAAAGATTAACTACTTCATTTAGCTCATTTTTAGGCAAATTTGAACCAGAAATTCTTGTTTTTCCAAAAATCCTCACAATAGACATAGAATGAAAATAGTTTGGTGAAAATTTATGAAAATTTGTTGATCTATTTTGGAGGGTTGAAAAATACAAGCTCATAGGTCTTCCACAGGCTCACTGTAAAGTTCTGATCCCTTCAGAACCTAACTTTTCATTCTCCACACAATCCTAGTCAAATTATGAACTAGTCTTAGTTCAGGATAATCCGCCAAGTCGATCTACTGCAATGCAATGCAATGGTTAACTTCTAACAAAGTCGACGTATTTGTATAGCCTTCTTGCAGCTCATCATTGAAAACATTTGAAGCAATATGGCAAATCCATAAAAGTTCACGCCAATTCACATTGATTTACGATCTAAAGTTGCAATGTCACGAGCCTGGCTTGATATTCCTGAAGTCACTGCTTGACTCGGTTCCTCATCCTCGTCCTCGTCGTTTTTTTGAGTGTGAGAATCAAGTACGAGAGTCAAAATGATCATTAATTTTTATGCTTTTTAATTATATATCCATTATTTAAATAAAATTGTTAAAATTTTTGACAAAAAGTAGGGCTAAAGTTTTGCAAAGCAGTGTAGAATGAAAATGGCTTAATGAAATATGATCAGCTATGATTGCTGTTTTCATAGATTACTCTCGTGAAATTTGCGTTTCGTTAGCACCATCACTAGTCGGACGGTCATTAAGTCTTCCCTGTCGTCGTCGACGAACAAGGCCAGACCTATGAGAGTATCAACTCGACGGTTGGCGAGTATTCTCCGCAAGGCGTAGACACCAGGCTTAATGAAATGTGATGAAAATTTGTCTATCCGCATAACTTTTCATTCTCTATCTTTTTCTTTTGACATAAGAATAGATTTCTGTGACAAAAAGTGCTTCAGAACTTTGAATTTCATCGTTTTTGATTCCTCGACTTTAGATTATTAAAAAAAATGAACTAACGCGAGCTTTTCAGAATGTAAATGGCAATTTGTAAATAAATAATAGAACTTTTCTAATAAAATAAACTATAAATCGATTGGTTCATTGTTCATTTCAAAAAGTAATCTTTAAAAAAAGCGGATCCGGCCCTCTCCACTGCTTCCAAACCACGACGAATCAACTCCAATCGTTCAGCCTGTTTCTTCTCTTCGGACCATTGATTAAAGCGAATATAGCAGACTTGAGCGAAACGATACGAGAAGGCCACCCAACGATTGTCATCCACAGTTGGTTGTATCTCTGTAAGCCGCTTGAAAGCTTCCTCTCCCTTGTAGTTGTCAATCAATGCATTGATGCTGGCCATCTCCATATCGAATGAATCACATTCGCTGGCGGTGGAAGGAGTGGGTGAATGGGATGAACATGACGATGAGGAAGAAGTTGAGAAAGAAGTAGAGCCACTCATATTGTTCATTTCAAAAAGTAATCTTTAAAAAAAGCGGATCCGGCCAACCTGATCGTTGCTAACTTCATTATCAAATTGTCATTTTGGTCGATTAGCCCGTTTCAATCTTATCTTAATATCAATCTTTGTATTTTAAGCACTATTGTAAGCACTTGGTTTCCATCGTCCTCTAGCTTTTCCATCTTTCAGATATTTTTAAAGATTTAACAATGTTACGATCATTATAATCATCATAGCTTGAATGCCATACATTTTACTCATTTTATCCATTTGTGGAAAGGTCCCTGAAAAGATGGGAAAAAGGGGATGGGGGAAGAGGTGTCGTTTCTCCTTTCTTTTCTTTTCTTTTCTTTTCTTCACTTTTCTTTTCTTTTCTTTCCTCTGACCCCCTCGATGCCAATGGGATGGAGGAGTAGAGAAGAGAAGAAAAGAAATGGAGGGGTATGGGCAATGGGGGAGCTGATGGGCAAAGGGGGTGTCTCTCTCTGGTTTCTTCACATTTTCTTCTCTCTCTCTCTATTTTATTCTCGTTCTTTTCATCATTCACTCACTTCCTTTCTTCTTCTTTCTTATTCTTTCTCTTTTTCTATTCTTTCTCCTTTATCTGTTGGTCTTTTGAGAGAAAAGAACAAGAGATTTGAGTCTCTCTTCTCATTCCTTCTCCTCTTCTCTCCTCTTCTCTTCTCTTCTCATTCCTTCTCCTCTTCTCTTCTCTTCTCTTTTCTCCTCTTCTCTTCTCTTCTCTTCTCTTCTCTTCTCTTCTCTTCTCTTCTCTTCTCTTCTCTTCTCTTCTCTTCTCTCTTCTTCCCTCCTCTCCTCTCCTCTTCTCTCCTCTTCTCTTCTCTTTATCTTTTTCACTCTACACCCTCTTATTCGGCTATGATTCTTTCCTCTCTTTACTTTTCACCACTTTTCATATACTGTCGACTGTCTTTCTTTATACGAAAAAAAAGGAAAAATGAAAGAGGACTAGTGTAAAGAAAAGAAATTGGAAAAGAAAACAAGAGAGTTTACTGAAAATGAGAAATGAAAGTGATTGTAAGAGATGAAATGATTTACAGTAGTTATTTCAGTGATTCTTAGATTTTCTTTCAATTTTCACTTCAATTCTCTTATTGTTAGAAAACATTTTAAAGAAAGTGTAAGGCAGACAAAACTAAAGGGGAAACACAAAGAGTGAGAATTCAGTGTGAAGAAAGAAAAACAGAGAATTCAGGGAATTCTTTTGACAAGACAAGAAAAAGACAATGAGTAGAAGAAGAAGAAAAAGATGAGAGAAAATGAGAAATTGAATAAGAAACGAGTTGAGATCTCTCTTCTATATTATATCTCTTTTCTATATCTCTTTCCTATATCTCTCTTCTATATTCTTTTCTTTTCCATCTATGATCTTTTGTTTATCTGTCACTCGCTTTTATTCAGAGCATTTCTTTTAACAAAAATGGGAAAGAAAAGAAAAGAAAAGGGATAGGCTCATCTCAGGGTCCCTTTCGATGTCTTTTTCAATGGAAAAAGGAAAGGAGGGGAGATGGGGCGCTTTGAGAAAAGAAAGAAGAGAAAGGGGGAAACGGCAGAATAAGAATACGAAGAAGAAGAGAAGGGGCAAAAGAAAGGGAGAAGACTCTTTCGATAAGGATTTCTCTGTTTGAGAGAAGAGAAAAGAGTTGAACAGAAGGGGAAACAGAAAAGGGGAAAGAAAGGGGTAGGGAAGGGGAAGGGAAGGGGAAAGAAAAGGGAAGAGAAGGGGAAGGGAAGGGGAAAGAAAAGGGAAGGGAAGGGGAAAGAAAAGGGAAGAGAAGGGGAAAGAAAGGGGAAAGAAAGGGGAAGGGAAGGGGAAAGAAAAGGGAAGGGAAGGGGAAACAGAGAATACGAAGAAGAAGAGAAGGGCAAAAGAAAGGGAGAAGACTCTTTGTGGACCCTCCCTTCTCCCTTCCTTCTCTCTTCTCCCTTCTCCCGTCTCCTTCCTCCCTTCTCCCTTCCCCCTTTCCCCCTCTCCTTTCTCCCCTCTCCCTTCTTCCTTCCCCTTCCCCCCTCTCCTTTCTCTTACCCCATCCCCCATCTTCTTTCTTTCTCCCTCCTCCCATTTCTGGTCGATATTCGAACGAACATTTTTAAAGAAAGGATTTTTAAGTATTTTTGCGCTTTCACTGGCATCTTTAACTTTTTTTTTACTGTATATGTTTCGGATTCTTGAAATGAAATGAGATCTCAAATTATCGCAGACTCAAACCATTCCTTCTATTATTTCTATTCTTTTATTCATTTTATGAAGAGATTTTTGAAAAAAAAAACAGTTATTTAAGATGAGCGAAATGAACTTCGTTTGTCCGGATTGTACTCCAGATTTGAATCAGATTTTCGAATCGGCTGACGCTCTTGAATCGCATATCGCTGGTGATCATCTCGATATGTGCCCGTATGAGTTCGTTTTACAAACGGGATTACTTGTTTACTAGATAAATTGGATAATAATAATTATTATTATCCAATTTGTTCTCAATATAAAATAACTTTATGCAACTAATTTAGATGTGAGCGCTGTCGTTTTGCTAAATTCCCAACCGAATTTGCTCTTGTTGCACATTGTCGACGAGATCATGGAATCAGTGAATTTCATGTAAGAATTTTTAAGCTATTTTTAAGCTAAATTTTTCTAAAGACATATATTAAAGTTTCTAAATATACAACAAATTAGACTTTTAGATTCGTTTCAAATACTCTGATGATCTTGAAAAGAAACGCGTTGAGCTGAAGAAGAAAATGCGTTCAGCAATTGCTCCCTTGCTAACAGGTAAACAATTTAAAATTGTAAATCTTAAAATGAAAATAGAAAGCAAAAACAAAGACTAAAACTTTAGTTTGTTCAGCTACAGGGCAACTCCAAGTGAGCACTGGATCTTTCAGCAATACCAACAGTGAATCGGATGTGATGGTAAAACATTTAACAACTTTTGAGAGAGAATAGGAAAAAGCATGACGCATAAAAAGAAAACAATGGAATATGACAAAAAAAAACGAAAATTCGGTACTTTGGTCGTTGAGAGGGGCCACTTTATCCAAATTTATTTGGATCTAATGTTTTAAGTCGTTGTATTGATACCTTTTATCTATCTATTCTAGGATAATCAAATCTACTATATATAAAGCAGAAGAAACGTCCGTCCGTTCGTCTGTGCGTAGCCATTGGCAAAAAGGGGCGGCGCTTAGATTGTGCGGAAACGGCGAACGTTAGTGAGCGTTTTCCGCTCGTATGCTTATACTTTTAGAGCATTTACAACATTTTCCACCTTTCATATTGCCGCTTTTATTTGATTTTCAAGTGCAAGCAGCTTTAGGGTAGCGTTTTTGCTGGTTAAAGTACATGAGATTTGGCTAGAATTGCCAAAAACTTGCTAAAATAGTCACCAATCGATTAAGCATATTTGATTACCTTAGAATAGATACCGTAAATACTGTAATAGTCCCCCACTCTCCCCTCGTACAGTCGCGTAGTCGCAAACGCTTTTAGTATTTCATCTTTTTCAAAGCGCCCGTACTTTCAAAAAATGCGTCTTTGGTATCAAAAAATAGCCCTGAATTTCAGCTATTTTTTTTCTCGACACTGGTTTATGCTACAATGCGCGCTTAGGTATCAACCAATAGCTGAAATTCAGGGCTTTTTTGATACCTATGCGAGCATTGTAGCATAAACCAGTGTCGAGAAAAACTCGTTCAAAGCTAGACTACGCAACGCTCCGCACCGTCATTTTGGGGGTGGGGTACTATTACAGTATTCACGATAACTATCATGACAACCCATCTCAAAACATTAGATCAAACTAAGCCAGGATAAAAGTGACCCCTCTGAACCACCAAAGTAGGGGAAATTCTTCTAATTTTATGATAACGAAATTCTAGATTCCATCCTCGGAGAGTATAACGAATTTCCGACTAGAAGATGTCGCCGAAGCTGGAGTCACTCAAGTAAATCATTTGAAAATCCAGGAAATACAAAAAAAGCTTGAGGGCGGAAAATTGAATATCTTTTAATTTATGAAGAAAAAGTCAACAAATGAAGCAGCTACGTTTTCCGCAATTTTTTCCGCTTTTTCCGTCGCAGTGCGTAACTGCCCCATTTGTTGAGCTTGCTTTGGAAATCAAAAGATATTAAATTTTCCGTTTTTTTTCCGCTTAAAAGTCTGATAGAAATCAATGATTCATGAAATTTTAGTCTCTTCAACAGATTATGAATTGTTTACCCTTGGATGGATCGTTGCTTAATGAAGGTAAACGTTATGTTTTTGTTATATTTGTTTTCAATGTTTGCAATGTTTTCAAATAATAATATTACCTACTGTTTAAAAATTGTTTTAACCTCAAAATATATTGAATTGCATTTATAATCATGTTCTTTTTTTTTAGATCATTGCCCTCCATCAAATAGTCGAGGAGAATCGAATTCGCCGTGTGAAGGCACTTCGACTGAAGCCGCGATTGCGAACCTTTTTGGAGGAGATTATGAAGAAAATCCGAGAATAACGGTTTGAAAATATCATTCGCAAAGTTTACACATTTGCTATTTTTATAGAGAAACGAAGCGGTGCCTTGTCAATTGTGTGGGTTGAAGGTGTCAAATCAGAGATCGAGCCACGTCTATCACACAAATACCAGGTGCAAATTGTGCTCAAAACAAAAAATTGACCATCTTTTCTTTAGGCACAGTAATTTGGATCTCTATGAATGCACATCTTGCGGGAAAACGTGGAAAACAATCGCCAAATCGGATGTTCGAAAACATGTTAAAGTGAGTGTTTTGAGGCAAGAAAAAGCGGAAATCATTACACAAATTACGTAAAAGTATCATTTACCGAAAACTTTAGTCTCTTCATGATGGAGATGATCGATTCATCATTGATAATCGAAAGAGATTTGCCGTTGAGCTGAGACAATGGACATTGAAATGTTTTCCCGTAAGTTTGATAAAGTTTTTGTCAAATGACAGGGTGATATGATTCGATTCAAGTAAAAGGTGGCCTAAGCAAAAGCAAGTTTACTTGAAAATTATTAGATCATTACCATAAAACCCATCAAATTGTTTGTTTTAGAAAATTCCACGTGATCCAAGCGACATTCTGACGAGCAGAGAAGGAGCCACCACAAGGGTGCGTACAATGAAATTTTCAATTTTTATAATAAGATCTTACTTTTTATCTCTAGTTGCTTGTTTTTATCTCTAGATGATGTTTCTGATGGCTGATAGAATTGATTTTAGGCTCTCGCTTTGTCACTCCTGAAGAGCCAAGGGTTGAACCCGAGAACAGGTGTGTAAATGGGAAAAACATCAAATTTTTAACGCTAAAAGTTTAGGATCTTTTTCTCCATCAAATAAAGAAGATGATGATTAATTATATGCATTTTTTTCTTTTCACATTTCACCTCATTCATGTATCTCGTCATTTTTTGGTTTCAAAAAATTTTCTTTACATTCCACAAAGTTCATTTCTTCGGTTAATGACTGAAAAATAATCATATTTAATGTTATTCCTGGCATTTTAAAAATGTTACTCACCACTAGTTTTTTCCTTTTTACTTAAACAGACAGTAGAAATCCCTGTTGTGCATCTTCGAGGGAAACTTTTTGAGGTTTTTTGCGGTAAATTTCCGTTACACATAAATAATAGTCACAATTGATCTTTTTTCTTTCTTTCTTTCTTTCTTTAATCTTTATTTTTGAACTTTGGCTTGTAAAACAAATAAATTTAAATCAAATCAAAAGAAATTCGAAAGGGATCTCCAAAAGAGCATGGAAAAATATACATTTATAGATTTGAATTGAGATTATTACTCATTGCGGTTTCTGTGTTTCAGTAAACGATCGCAGAAAAAAAAGTGCTGACGCTCAATGGAAAATTTCGTCTCAATTCTCACGCATTACAGTGTCACTTTCCGCATTTTACATCAAAGAATTCAGGCGAAAAAGAGGCAAGTTTTTGTTGGTGATAGGCAAGAAAAGGCATTTTGCACCATTTTGACATTAAATAAAACAAAGTCAACAAATTAAATAAAACAATAAAACAAACAAAGTACATTAAATAAAACAAAGTGACACAAAGTCTCCTTTTGGGAGTGGGACAAATGCGACCTTTTTTTTGCGCACCCGGCCATTTGCGCACCTTTTTTTGCGCACCTGGCCCATTAGCGCACCTTTTTTCGCGTTTTAAAAAAGCTCTAAAAAGCTAATATTAACCAATTTCTATTCCAAAAGTTGTTTTTCTAGGTAATTTGAGGGTGTAGAATCGAAATTTTGACATAACAGAGCGTGTGGAATCAATTTGAAAGACAAAACGGGTAGGTCAAATTACAGAAAATGGTCGATTTTTCTCTTTGTATAACTCCGTCCGTTCGCTTCCACAAGCTCTGATATGTCAAAATTTCGATTCTACACCCTCAAATTACCTAGAAAAACAACTTTTGGAATAGAAATTGGTTAATATTAGCTTTTTAGAACTTTTTAAAACGCGAAAAAAGGTGCGCTAATGGGCCAGGTGCGGAAAAAAAGGTGCGCAAATGGCCGGGTGCGCAAAAAAAAAGGTCGCATTTGTCCCACTCCCCTCCTTTTATATTATTTTATTTTATTTTATTTTATTAAGGAGGCAGCTTTACGACTGAATATCTTAAAATTTATGCAAAAATGAGAATGTATAAAGAAATTTACTCAAAAAAAATTTACCCATTCAAACTTCCGAGCTTCCGGTTTACTCTAAATTTCCAGTCTTCCATGGATTTTTGCTGTAACACTTGACTGTCTAATTGGCGCAGCGTTGGCTCATTTGCTCACAGGTATGGTTAGCTTTTTGTTATCACTTTGGCCTATAATCGCGACTTAGTGTCTAGATATTTTGTTAATTCGATTGGATAAAAAATATTCGGTTGGTTCGGTTAGATAAAATCGATTAGATTTATATATTTATATATATTTAAGCTCTATATATTAGATTCTGCCTAGGCATCGATTTCTACGATATTTTTTGGCCATTTGTTGATGCAAAGATTCAAGAACTCGATGATGTAAGCTTTAATCGCTTTTATTAAACTTGTTTTCGTTTTAGAAGTTTTTGCTATTTCCAAATCAGTGTTTTTTTAGGTAATAACGTGGTTGCTATCCAATCCGGTAGGATTGAAGTTGAACGAACCATTAAACGTGGCACTGGCTAGCTTCTTTCGATATCACATCTATTTATGGCATAGTAAGTCTCCGTTATATTGTTTTTTTTTAAAAACTGTTTCATTTAGCCTTTGTTCAATTGTTACGAGTATGGTGGTTGTGGAGAGTGCTGCCACTCATCCTCTACACGGGCCTTTCGATCTCTGCATCAATTCTTGCCGATCTCATCTCGATCTTTTCCATGCATGTCATCTGCTTTTATATTTACGCATACAGGTTCAATGATTTTTCTATTTTTCTATTTTACTGTTAGACTTTTCTTGCTAACATTCACATCACTGAACTCGTTATGGCGAGCGTTTCGAGGAAAGAAATATAACCCTTTGCGAGATCGAGTTGATACGGTAAGAACTATTTTTACCATTAAAGTTAAAAGCCAAACTATTAGGTACATGCATAAGAAATGCGGATTTTAACATTTTCATAAATTTCCAACGATAGAAAACTGATATCGATGAATGTTATATACTATTTGAAAGTTGTAAATCTCCTCTACAAAATAGGCTAAAACGTGTTTCAGTTGATCGACCCATTGAAGTTCGGTTTTGACTATATAGTGGAAAATGACCGCCCTAAAATCATTAGCCTAAAAATATCATTCATTCTAAAATTTGGCGTTCGCATCAACACCTCTCGCCATTACAAATTGGTCTTTGGGGAGAATGGAGTGTGCACGTTGACGATCAGTGAAATGAACCCTGATGACACGGGTGTCTATCTGTGCACAGCGTCAAATGCATACGGAGTCGAGTCATCGCAATGTTTGGTCTTCGTCGCCGAACCCACTGGACCCGACGCGCATTTGGTGTTGGCCGATGTGTTGAGTGATAAACGAGCTCCACCCAAATTCGTCCGAGCACCAGCCGGACTCATCGATGCACCTGAAGGCTCAACCATTAAGCTTGTGGCAAAAGTGAGTTTTAAAGTTCTGATATGATTTGATTTTGACTTTCAGGCAATCGGTGAACCCCAGCCTCGAATCACATGGAAAAAAGATGGGAAGAATATTTCTCGAACAAATCGAATGTATCAACATTACCTCCTTCCTGTCCTATCGGATATATCTGGAGGAAAAATGCACCAAAATCAGGTTTTCTTTTGAACCATTTTAGAATTTACTCAACAAAAGCAAGAGTGTTAGCTAAAAACAAACAAACAAATAATAGTTTTAAGTTGATCGTCTTTAGACGCCTCGTTCTCAGCTCCATTTTGAAATATTTTCATTTTTAATAAACCAAAAGATAGATGACATTAAGGGCTATCTTTTCGTATATTAAAAATAAAAATATCTCAAAATGGGGTCAAGAACGAGGCGTCCAAAGTTGGGGAGGGGAAAGATCGCTTATCAGAGGAAATACACTAGCTATTCCTGGTTAAAAGTTGCCAAATCTCCGGAAACCCTAGCAAATCCACGTTACCAAATCACTCAAAAGGAAGCGTAAGTGCTAAAAGTTGCCTTAGAAATCTATTAGCTAAAGCTAAAGCTAAGCTATAGCTAAATAAAATCTTAAAGTTAAACGCTTTTTAGAAACAGGAAACTTTGCGCACTTCAACCCTAGATCCAATTTTTTTTTCTTCAACTTTTTGATTCCTAAAGTTTCCTTAAGTCTTCGATCACTGGAGAGTTCGAATCGCATCTTCAAATCGATTTCGTCGTGCAGAAAACGTCGGGAATCTTCCAGTGCATCGCTGAGAATTCTGAGGGACAGACGATCGTTGAAACTCAGGTAAAACAAAGTAAATGGAAAAAAAAATAGGCAGTGTTTATTGAAATTGAGAAATCTACAAGTTTTAAGACAGATTTTTTAAAATATAAACTGTTTACAAAACAATAATTTTAGGTGATCGTGCAACGGGGCACAGCGAGACCGATCGAGAATTGCGCGCCGGTTTTCCTCAGCCCAATGAGAGATATGGGTAACATTTTTTCAACGTATAACATTTAAAATAACATAAATTTTATTCTAATTAATAAATTCTTCTAAAATTCTTCTAAAATTCAGGCATTGTGAACGGTCATCCATGCACATTGAGCTGCAAATTCAAGGGAGTACCCGAGCCGGAGATTCGTTGGTATTTCATTGATGACAATATGAGAAGGATTTGTCTCAATAATGTGCCAACTGGTAAGTGAAAAGTGTGACTTTTTTAGAGAGTTTAAGAGAGTTTAACTAGTAATTTTATGAGTTTTAGGTTGGATTGAGTGCAGCGGTGGAGACACAGCCGAGCTGAAGTGCGAGAGAACCTATCGAAATCAACAGGGAACTTATCAATGTGTGGCATCGAATCGGTGAGTTTCGAGATAATAATGAGAAATGCTTAGGCTTAGGCTTAGGCTTGGACTTAGGCTTAGGCTTAGGCTTGGACTTAGGCTTAGGCTTAGGCTCAGGCCTAGGCTTAGGCTTAGGCTTAGTGTGAAGGCTAGCGGCTTAAAAATAAAATAAAATTTTTAAAATGAAAAAGAATTGGGGAAATGGTCTTATATACGCGCATTGCTTGGCGGTGGCGAGGGTACGGTAGCTGGGACGCGCTATTAACTGCAAAACAAAACTATAAAAATTGTTTAGCTACGGTGAATCGTCAACTCAATGCTATTTGTTGGTGGGCGAGTTGAATGATCATCCAGCCGGGCCGCCTCGTTTCATCAAATGTCTTCGCGATGTTTGTTTCATATCATATTTATTTATTTTATATTTGCATAGGTTTGGACTCCGCTTGGAGAAGAGATCGCTTTCGAGGTTGAAACTGCTGGATATCCATTGCCCGAATTGAGGTAAATGAGGAAATGGAGGCTGTGAATGATCTTTTTAGATGGTTACACAACGAGAACCTTGTTCGTGAAGGCCGTGATGTGCAAATCAAATATGTTAGCGATAACAAAGCCGAGCTGAAAATCAAAAAGGTTTGAGAATTTGTGAGAAACGTCTAGCTAGAATTTGGCTAGAAAAAAAGCTAGAATTTATCAAAAATCCAAAGATAAACTATATTTTTGACTTTAATTTAAAGATATAAAGATATTACAGTCATTTGCAGCAAAAAGCAAAAGAATTGGCAGCGAGAGGAGTCGAACTCGCGACCTCTTTCTTTCATCCGTTTGAGAGACGCATGCGTTAGCCATTAGGCCATGCACTAGCGCAGTGCAAGCGCTCTTGTCTCTAGCCCACACAACCCGGGTTCGACTCCCGCCCGTGTCAGCACTTCTGGTTTTTTAAGAATTTAAAAACATTTTGCATAACTAAATGAAATTCTAAGCCAAACTAATTATAAGTTATTTGAAACGGCTCACTGGATGCGGAGAAGTAGCGCATAGACAGACAGACACAAGTCTTTTATATAGTGAGATACAAGCGTTTGTTTGAGATTAAACTTGAGATCTTTGAGATCAAGATACAAGCGTTTGTTTGAGATTAAATTTACGACTACACGAGGCTCCTATAGAAGGCCGTTCTATCAGAGTTTTTACAGTTGCCTGTATCTTTTTCAATATTCGATTCCAGGTGTCACTTCTTGATCTTGGCACATACAGTGTGGAAGCATCGAATATCCATGGAATGTTGCGAACGAATGGTTTGCTTTTCAATTATCGCTTTTACATCGATATTCTTATATTGATGACATCGATATTCTTATACTTTGATATATTAGATCGCTATAAAATAAGTACAAAGAATAGTTAGCGTTTATTTAAAGACAACAAGCAATAAGAAAACAAGCAACAAGACAACAAGCAATAAGACAACAAGCAATAAGACAACAAGACAACAAGACGACAGCAGCAAGACAACCGAATTTAGCCGCTTTGAATGTCGGAAAGCCTCGACACGCAATTCCACCAGAATTCCGTCAATACATGCAGAAAGCTGATCAAGATGTCGTTGTGATGCCAAAAGTCGCTTTTGAGGTAGTGTGTTTAGTGTAGATCCCACATTTTTGATAATAAAGTGCACAGTAGGGCACAGATTAGAATATGCTCACATCTCTTACATTTCAGGAATCCGATGTGCAACGCGCGCTTCTCAAGAGTGCTTCACAAGTCCGAATGGAATTGAGAAAGAAAGGAGCCGCTCCAGTTTTCGTCCATGGATTAGAGGATCTGGAGTTGAGAGCCGGCGACTCGGCTGCTGTTGCTGGACAGTTGACTAGAAGTTGGTTTTGGCAATGAAACAACGATTTTCAATGACTCTAAGCTAACTATAAACTTTCAGAAACTCGTCAACGAATCGCACACGCACATGGTCACAAATCGGCGGCTCGTGGATTAGCTGAATCCATTTTGGCGACAGCTTTCGAACAAGAAGCTTCCACTTCATTTGAGGAAATTGAGACAAATGTATCGATCAAAGAAGAGAAGAAACTCGAGAGAAAAGAATCATTGAAGGTAGGGAATAGAGAAAAAGAAAGACAGTACAATATTCAGGAGGAAACCGAATCCCAATCAGCTCTTGATGAGATTCGTCAAGCAATTCAACACCGAAATCGAAAGACTTGTCGACCAAAGTTCATGGTTCGGCCAAAGACAAAGAAACAATTGGAAGAGGGACGAAGTCTGAGACTGAAATGCGCTGTTTCCGCGAATCCACTTCCAACTGTTTATTGGGATAAATCGGGAATGGTTTGTGATTTGAAAATAAAGACTTCTTGAAAAAAGTAAAAGAAAAATCCAAAGCGGGGGTCGAATTTGCGAGGCCTCGCTCTGAAAACGAACGCCGTACCACTCGGCCACGGCTGCACCAAATCTGGTCCGCAAGGAGCCCACTAAGACCCAAATGATCACATTTTTAGATGAAAACTTTCAGACAACTTTAGACGCTTATAATTGCTGCTAGATTTTCATTTAGCAAAAACGGAATATATATTCGGAATCAGCATAAAATTCTGGTTATGGTATAGGTCGCATAGCATTTGGCCTCAGCTAGTTAACCTTCCCTTTTAAGTAAGGCATAAGGCCCTATCTTGGCGGTAAGGGACACGATCGAGTACTTGTCGGTGTAGCTCATTGGTAGAGCGTTTGGTCGGTAAGCGAGATTCACCCAGTAGGTTCAAATTCGAATCCCGACGGCACTATTTTGTATTCCCAACCCAAAACGACTAATAATCTTTAGTATTTGAAAATTTCAGGTCCTTGAAACCGGCAACAAGTACTCGATCTACAATGACGGAGATTTCTACTACTTGGAAGTGCATCATGTCTCAATTCATGATCAAGGTTTCTACAATTGTACGGCGACGAATGCTGAGGGATTGGCTACAAGTAGCTCAGAAGTTGAAGTGATCAGATCTGATTCGAAAAACGATCAAGAAAAGAACCAAAGAAGCCACAATTCATTGAAGTTCTTCCTGGAAAATTGAAAGCAACAGCTGGAGAAACGATTGCTGTTGAATGCTCTGTGTCTGCTTATCCAAATCCGGGAATTGAATGGCTTAGAAATGGCAGCTCTCTTGTACCAAATGAGCGCTATCAGATGAGTTACGATGGAGAGTGCGCAACATTGAAATTTGCGTCAGTCACCGTAGCTGACGAAGGAACATACACTTGCATTGCGACGAATGAGCATGGAGAAGTGAGAACGCAAATGCTTTTCGAGATTGCGCCAGGAGAACAAAAACCCGAGATCAAAGGAATTGCACCATTGTTCCGAATGGAGAAGATAAAGGAGAAATTCCGAGTGAAAGATGGACAACAATGCACATTGAATGCTGAATTGGTGCAAGGATCAGAGCCAATGGAAGTGAAATGGATAAGGAATAATATGGTGGTCGCTGATTCGAGTGGATTCAAATATAAGAAAGATAAGAATCATTGTGGATTGATGATTGTGGACGCTTTCCCGGAAGATGCGGGAGAGTATATTTGTGAGGCGAAAAATCAATGGGGAGTCGCGAGATGTGCGATGAGATTAGAGGTGAGAGAGACAACATTATAAGATGTAGAGGAAAGTTGAAATTCGGCTTATAACTAATAGATTAGCCCCAGCAACCTATCAAGCTTAATTCATGAGTTTTAGATTCGTTCTGATGATAAACCATTGATTGAAGAACCTCCACGAATTGTGGATGCGCCTACAAATGTGAATGGAGAACCGGGAATGCCTGTTCAGATTAGGGTTAAGGTTGGTTTTGAAAGCTTACGGAAGTATTGATTTGGCTGGAAAGTCTTTTTCTCTTTCTCTTTCGCCTTTTTGAAATGCTCGTTTATAAATGAACCAGCAGCAAAAAAGAAGTAAAAAGTGAAAAAATTGGCAGCGAGAGGAGTCGAACTCGCGATCTCTGTCTTCCATCCGTTTGAGAGACGCCTGCGTTAACCAGTAGGCCATGCTCTGGCGCACTTGTCTGCAAGCGCACTGCAAGCGCACTTGTCTCTAGCCCACAAAACCCGGGTTCGACTCCGGTCCGCCTCAGCAATTTTGGTTTTTTAAGCATTTAAAAACATGTTGCATAACGACATTGAATTCTATGCAAGCCAAATTAACTATAAGTTATTTGAAATAGCTCGCAGACTGCTAAAATCTGCAAAAATCCTTACAATGAACATAAAATAAAAAGGCTTGATGAAATTTTATGAAAATTTTGTCTATCTACTAAACTTTTTATTCTCTATCTCTATTCAAAAAACCTATTTTGATGTCTTTTAACATCAAAATAGGTTTTTTATGAGTAAAAGTGCTCAAATCAGAACTTTGAGTTTCGTTTTTCAGTTTATACCTTTAAAAAAAAAAATTAACTAACGCGAGCTTTTCAGAATTTCTTAAAGGGCAACTTGTAAATAAATAGAAGAATTTTCTGATAAAACATACGGATCGATTGGTTCATTATTTATTTTAAAAAAGTGGACAAGACTTTTCAGCCAACTTGATAACCCAATCTGATATTTTTTTACATAAAATTTTAGGTGACTGGCCATCCAGATCCGGTCGTTGAATGGTTTAAAGGAAATACAAAGATTATCAATGATGAGAAATATCAAGTAAGCAAAAAAAAAAAATTATAAACTATAAGTGTATTATGAATTTTAGCTTTCATCGGATGGTAATTGGATGTTGCTGACGATAAATGAAGCGACGAGAAAAGATGACGGAAAATATCGAATCTCGGCTTCAAATGGAGCTGGATCGATTAGTCATTCGATTGATTTGACTGTTAGAGAACCGACATTGTGAGTTAGAGAGTTTGGAAGTGATTTTATGATCGATGATGATGTTGTTGTTGAATTCTTAAAGTTGTTGAGTCAAGTTCTTAAAGTCAAAGACTCCTTTTTGTGCTATAGTATGCCGGATTGACATTCAAGCTGATTGAAAGCTGATCCAGTTCAGTTAAAGCTTGAATTTCTTTTAATTCTCGCATCCTTTAGTAGTGAGACAAGAGAATATTGATAATTTCATCGTTTTTTTTCATCAAAGTCATCAATTTCAGGAGTGATTCATCATTGGCTCAACCTCGTTTCACGGTTCAACCAGTTTCCGTGCAAACTGCTTTAGCACAAAAAGTTCAACTGCAGTGCTCATTTGAGGGAAAACCGACGCCCGTTGTGTCGTGGTTTAAAGATGAGAATCGACTTCAAGATGGTTGGTTGATAAAAAAAGGATGTTAACACATTGACGACGATACGACTGGCAGCCGTCTTAACTCCGCCCCTTTTTTAGTTCGTTTGCCGTTGGCAATCTACGTTTTTAGCTCATATCTTAGCTGGGTTTGTTTGAAAAACGTCAAATTTGCTTTCATTCGACTCGAAATCAAATTTCCTATCGAATAAAAGTAAATTCAACGTTTTTCAAAGAAATCTGATCAAGATATGAGCAAAAAAGATTGCTAACAGCAAACGGATCAAAAAAAGCGGCGGAGTTCATCGTCGTCGTCAAAATACCATCGTCGCGAATGTACTAAATAGATCAAATCAAATGGCTTTTCAAAAATAGACGAATTTTAGGAGTAAAGGGATATTCGATTGAGACCACTGGAAACAATTCGATTCTTTCGGTGGTTTATCTTGAGAAAGAACATCTCGGAGAATATTTGTGCACAGTGAGAAATCCGTATGGAGAAGATCTCGCCACTGCAATGATTCTATTGGAAGGTTTGAGGGATTTCGATGAATATTTTTGTGTTTCTTTGTGTTTTTTGTGTGTGTCCAATGTCCCTCGTTCCAGTTTATCGTCTCTTTTTGGCAGTTGTCGTTCTTCACGTCTTTCTGTCAACCAATGTACACAATTTGAAGTTCAGTTCTTTTGGTAGGAAGAGTTTTTTCAGTTATTAGACGCTAAACAAGAACAAGAAGAAGCCAAATTTGTTCATTTGACCAAGCTCATAGTCAGCTCTAAAGCTCTAAGTCAGTTTTCACAATGTGCTAACATTGTGAAACTTATCAAAAAGTACTACTAATCAAAAAGTACTACTAATATTACTAATCTAGTTCTAGTTCTTGAAAGATTTGTTCCCATTCATCTACAGTACTTGTTCTGTAAGATTATTAGTACTTTTTGTGTTAAGTATATGTCTATTAATAGTTATTGTGTTACCCTGATACCTGTAATAAAAGAGGAGAAAGAATTAGAAAAGCATATTCTTCTATTACAGATATTACTAGAGTGTGTTCTTCGCGAGTAATGCGTTTTTTAAAACGCACATTTGGGAAAAAAATTACCGTACTTTTAGCAAAAATTATTGCAAAAAAGTGACGCAAAAATGACGAGCCCCGCATTATATACGGCACTTTTTAAAGATACTCAGCCGTTTAACTGATTTGGTGGGAAATTTCCTTCCAATGTAAAAAAATGTTTTTTTTAGAAAAACCTACGCGAAAAATTGTTTTTATATTTTTTTCGCGCAGGCGCACTTTTTAGAAAACGCATTACTCGACAATTACTTGAGCTATTACTCGAGTAAAAAATTACTCATGCAAATTTATTCGAGTAATTACTTACTCGCGAGGAACACACTCTAGATATTACGCTAAAACGCATCAAAACCTCAATGAATTCAACTCAATCATTTCAACTCAATCAATTCAATTTCCAGGTTCATCGGCGGCTTTACCTCACCGTCCCCTTCGCAAGTAAACAGAAAACTGATGAGAAAACTGATTTTTCATTAAAAAAAAGGACCAATTACTTATTCTTGGATATTTTCATTATATAATATTTTTTCCATCGCATTATCTTGTCATTTGCTGCTCATGACAAAATTTGAGAAATTTCACCTACAAAAAGTTTAACCAATGCTGCCCATGGTTAAATTTTTGATCACAACTGCTCAACGAAATGTGTGTTTTTCTTTCATTTACAAGACGATTTTCTGAATTTGAGTGATTTCTGCTGCCTACGAAATTACTGTAAGATCATCTATGAAAGATCATCTATGAAATCGTCTCTAATCTTTTTTTTTTAAGTGCTAGCTAGATCTTTTAGCCTTTCTTGTGTAACCAAAGTTGAAAATTTACCCCATGAATCGTAGAAAATTGATTAAAAGGGAATTCCCTTTTTCTGTTTGCCAAATTTGCCATTTCTGACCAAATGCTGCTCAATGGTTGGACAATGACAATAAACGGAAACTACTTAAACGGAAACTATTTAAACCACTAAAATGCACCCAGAATTACGATTACGGTGAATTTTCGACTTTGGAATAGACTTTTAGAATGTTAGCAATTTTTTTTTTTCTTTTTTCCCAAACAAAATTTGATGAATTCTTTTCTGCTGCCCTGGGAGAATTCTAAAAATTTCAATGGGATTTCTAATTTGCCTAATTTGCTTCTTTTGTTGAGAAGATTTAGAGATTTTTACTTTCTCAAAATGATTGCACTTTCTTTTTTATTTTGAACTTTTATTCTTCTTTCTTGAAACTGTGTGAGTGATTGGTTAACTAATAAAGAGTATTTCTAAAATTTTATGAGATAAAAAGCACATAAAAACAAAAGTATTACCGTAATATCTGTAATAGTAGCGCCCCCCCCCCCGTACAGTCGTGTAGTCGCAAAAAATTTTTCTAAAATCATTTTTTTCTAAGTGCCCATAATTTCTAGAAATGCATCTTTGGTATCAAAAAAATAGCCCTGAATTTCAGCTTTCATTTGATCCCTAAGCGCGCATTGTAGCATAAACCAGTGTCGAGAAAAACTCGTTCAAAGCTAGACTACGCGACGCTCCGACCGTCATTATGGGACGGACAGGTAAAACAGTAGGTTATTCCATAAAAATGACAGTTTTTCGATTTATTTTATATTCAACAAATAAAAAATAACAACAAATCAGAACCAAATTATATATTTTTCAAAAGAATCACCTCCGTAAACCATTTTAGTGCCGGCCTACCGGCCATTTTTTATGGGACAACCTAATGTTATATGCCTAAAAAAATTTCCACAAAACACAAATCCCTCAACAAGTCAATTAGCATTTAAGAAAGATTTATAAAACGATTTCCCAGGAATCAAGCGCACACACAAGGAGCTGGGACAAATGCTACCTTTTTTTTGCGCACCTGGACATTTGCGCACCTTTTTTTGCTGGAAAAGGCCTTAGGCAAGGCCGTAGAGCTTCGAAAATATTTCCATATAAGAGAATCGTATGCATAGATTCCGAATTCCGACAAATCAGACCTCGCTGACACGTCAAATTTGGGAAAAAAGGCAAAAACTGCGGAAAAGCGTTAAGTTGCGTAGTTTTTGCCTTTTTTCCCAAATTTGACGTGTCAGCGAGGTCTGATTTGTCGAAATTCGGAATCTACGCATACGATTCCCTTCTATGAAAACATTTTTGAAGCTCTACGACCTTTCCTAAGGCCTTTTCCAGCAGAAAAAAGGTGCGCAAATGTCCAGGTGCGCAAAAAAAGGTAGCATTTGTCCCACCCCCCACACAGAACGGTTTTTTGGTACCGTAAATACTGTAATAGTACCCCACCCCCCTCGTACAGTCGCGTAGTCGCAAAAGTTTTTTCGTATTTCATTTTTTTCAAAGCGCCCGTACTTTCAAAAAATGCGTCTTTGGTATCAAAAAATAGCTGAAATTCAGGGCTATTTTTTGATACCTAAACAAACATTGTAGCATAAACCAGTGTCGAGAAAAACTCGTTCAAAGCTAGACTACGCAACACTCCGCACCATCATTATGGGGGTGGGGTACTATTACAGTATCTATGGTAGGTTGTTTTAACAACGAACGTTAGATATTTTCTATAGCACTGTGTTCTATTTTCTATAGCACTTTTCTATAGCACTAAATAGTTCAATGCTGTTCTATTGGTTGATTGCTTGGACCTGGTCGATTCATAGCTTCGATTTCAACGTTATTCGCGTAAGTTTTTTAAAGTATCGATTTTTCGATTGACTTTCAGCAAAGCTTTGGTTTATCAAGAAAAATATCCAACTTTTTAGTTCATTCGAGAGGAGGTTGTGGACATGCTGGACCAAGGAGAAAGTGGCGATGATGAACAGGAAGAGGATTACTGTAATGATCAAATTGTCTAAATTGCGTCACAATTGCCATTTTTTTACTCTTAAATCGATTTTATCATTTAAATTCTAATCATTTTAGAAACATTGTGATATGACAAATATTTACTTGCCTAATAAATGAATGAGTGTGCTTTTTGTGTGCTTGAATGAATGAGTGTGCTTTTTGGGGTGAAGCGGGGTATTTGGTCTCATAAAAATTTTCTCATAGTCTCATAAAAATTTTAATATTTCGATTTGAATATATCTGTAATTTGAATAAGGTTATGAAACGAAAAGCTGCTTTGTTTTATCATTCTTTCTTTCTTATTCGTCTTGATGCAGTTCTTCATCATTTTGTGTCTCTTTGCTGCTGTCAGCTCGGAATCAAAGATGATTGAAAGGTTGGTGGTATTTTAATTATCGATATTGGTTTCTTGTCTGTCGATTTATCATGGGGATATCTAGATTCTTTCTAAGTAATATAAAGATTTCATCGAGCCCGGTCGTTTAAAGTTTAAATGATCCAGGATGGTAGCCTTGGATAGGAGATGCACTACGTAGTTAGCATAGATTTCAAAATGGTTAATAACCAGCACAAAACGTTTTAAAGGGGGTATTAATCGCGGCCGGTTGACGATAAAAATTTTTTACGGCAACCACCTGTTTTTTTATTTTAATATCGCTGATTTTATTATAAAAAGAATAAAAATCACCCGGCTATAGTGATTTGATGGGTTTACAAATTTTTGGAGATGCTGCAAGGCTTGGAGGAAAACAAGATCGTCACTCATCAGACACCTCAGCACAGTCTAGATCGATTGAGTTTTAGTTGCAGATAAATTTAAAAACAAAATAAAAAGCACAAAAAGTAATAAAAATAAATTGTTAATCTATAATTCTTCCTCTTGCTCACTTTCATCTTCGCTCAAGTACAGCAGTTCGGCTCAAGTACAGCAGTACAAATCGGCTTCCTATCTTATCAATTTCCAGCGCATCTTCACCAAAAGTGACTGGATCTCCTCCATCGTAGGACGTCTTCAGCGCTTTGATTGACACAATTAGATCTTTTTTCATTTGTGGTCGCTTATGGTTTTAGTTTTCTCAAATAGGTGCCTTTTAGCTGAGGTGTCTGATGAGTGACGATCTTGTTTTTCTCCAAGCCTTGCAGTGTCTCCAAAAATTTGTAAACCCATCAAATCACTCTAGCCGGGTGATTTTTATTCTTTTTATAATAAAATCAGCGATATTAAAACAAAAAAACAGGTGGTTGCCGTAAAAAAATTTTTATCGTCACCCGGCCGCGATTAATACTTAAAGTGATAATGAAATTAATACTTTAATGACTTAAAGTCATAATGAAATGTGCGAAATTTTTTGTTAGTTGCGTGGAGTTTACTTAAAAACTCTAGTTTGTTTTAATATTGCAAGAAATTCTATCAAATTTAGCACAATCGACCTCCTCTACACAAACTCGTCTGTGATGTACGATCGGCACTTTTATTCGCATCCCATCCCGGTAAACGACACTCGTGATGCATATGCTTTTACCGTCGAGTTCAGGTTTTTTTTTCTATAGCTACATGTTTAAATGTGTTATTTAGCCGAGAATGCTTGGGCGAAGCTGTTTATGATCCATCGATTACAACCTTTGACATGTACGCTTTTTTTTCAGTTTCTTTCAAGCTATTTTTCTAGTGTCATTAGTTTTGGGAGACATTTTGTACTACCGAAACACTTTTTGATATGGTTAAGTAGTTTAAAAAGCGCTAAATAACACAGTTCTTTCAAATTTGCTTTAGAATCATTTTCCGTTTCTTCGATGATATTTTGGAGGCTGTGCCGATATCTGAATTCATCGTTCGCTACTCAATAATCGGAACTGGTGTCACTTCCAAACATACTCTTCATGTCGTTGGTAAGAGTTTTTCGTAGTAATAGATTTTTCTTTCATTCATTCTTATATGCACTTGAAAAAACTGTTGAAAAATAATTTCCTATTGCAATAAACATAATCATCTTTCTAAAGTGTGCTTACGTGTTTCTAAAGACGCCAATTTCTTCGATCTTTTCATGTTTTACTAAACTTTAAATGTATAGGTGCAAGTGAAAATGAGACAGAGTCTCTTGGATCAAAGCGACTGCTTTACAACCATGACGAGTTGAACGAGTTTCACGAGGTACTGTTTACTGTTTGTTTTTTGTTTAGCTTAACTTTACATTTGTTAGCCTCTAATTAGGCTTACTTATCGAGATATTTCATATTATTTCATTATTTTAGCCTCCAAAACGGCATATCGATTTTATCAAATTATCAATCTGGGTCAATGTTACAGTTGGTTTTTGAAAATTTCTCTAAATTTTGTTATCGTTTCTTTTAGGCTAAAGTTGTTAATCTGAGTAACGGGACCGCAAAGAGCCACAAAGAAAGAACAGTAAAGGTGGGCTCTGAAATATTATCGAAGAATGTAAAGTAATAAAAACGATTAATTAAGTTTTATGCTTTTTTTATTATTGTTTTATTTTAGCTCCCGGTCCCAAATGGTGCGAAAAGACTAGCTGTTAGAAGAGGACTCAGGCATTGTATTGCATACATGACATCGGTGATTTTTTTGCTTTCAAACATTGAGCTATATGTACTCTTTTTAGCACTCACAGCAGTTGGCGATCTCTCGACGTTTTACAGTTGAACACAAATTCCAGAACAAATCAGGGTAAGTGGGGGTTTTTTGTGCTTTTCTAGATCATGACGACTCTAGTCTACGATTGTTTTAGTTTCATTGTTCCTTTCAGCCGAAACTCTTACGTCGACGAGGAAAACTTCGATATTGCTTACAGATTTGCAGCCATTCACTATGCTATCATTATTTTCTGTCTTCTGTGAGTTTAGATTTTGAATGTTTTATAGGGTAAATTAGCTCAAGAAGTTGTTTGAATTAAATTTTGAATTAAGTTTGAATTAACATCTGTTATGTTAATTCAAAATCTAAACTCTGTATTCTTTTTTGTTTTTAGATCTGGAATCGTGATTTACTTCTCCGCATGGGCTCAGTCGGAAGAATACATCGATTTGAATGTGATACACTTGGTGCGTGCCGAATGGAGAGCGATTCGCGAGGCTCGAAGACAAATGAAAAACAGTGGAAAGAATGAGAAAAAGGTCTGAAAGCGAGCGTGAACTCTTCAAGAAACAATTCTCTTCACTTTTCATTTCTTTGTGATCTTCGGTTTGTTTATTTCTTTTCATACGAGATGCGCCTTCTTTTTAATGATTGTTGTATAAACGTTGGAAGGGTGAAAGTATCTTTTGTCTGACGCTTTATTAAACATTCAAAACTGTATTTTGAAAATATTTTGAAATATGTTGATCGCCTTTACAAAAAACATAAAATAAACAAAAAACAATAAAATAGAATAAATCAAAACCGAATAAGGCAAAATAGGAGCGCACAAACGCGCCAAAAATGATATCCAAAAGAAATGTGCATGAGATCAATGAATGAGCCACACAAGAATAGGAAAATTTGAAATTAGGGATCTCTGATTTTTCTTACGACTTAAAACTGGTTAGAAATCTGATCAAATATCCAATTATCTTCAGATTTGTCGAATTTTCAAAATTTTTAATAATCTCATGCTAATAAAAACCTTATTTCAAACAGAAATCCCTTCTCTACTTGAATGAACAACAAAAATTTTTGCACAAAATTAAATTACCGGGAAAAATTTTTTTGGTCAAGGGATAGGCTACTTTGCGCCAAATTTTTTGCGCAACAGGGTCATTTGCGCAACTGGGTCGTTTGCGCAACTCGCCATAACTTTCTTCTAAGTAAGCTAATCTTTATGATTTTGGTGTCATTTTGTATATCTCAATAAGTGTAACAAAATGACACCAAAATCATAAAGATTGGCTTACTTAGAAGAAAGTTATGGCGAGTTGCGCAAATGACCCTGTTGCGCAAATAAAATGCCGGAAATTAGCCTACCTCTTGGTCAACAATGATAAGTGGACTTGTCTACTAATTGTAAGCTCTGCTAAATAGAAAAATTCAGTTTTCCTAAACATCTTCAATTATTTTCTATTTGCCATCTAGACAAATCTATTGGTGACAGTAGACAAATCTATCGGTGACAGTAGACAAATCGATCGGTAAAAGTTGATTTGAATTATAGATATCAAGCAACAATGTACCGGATTGTTCAGGAAAATTTTGGCTTTTTCGAGAAAGGTAGAGTATTGTTTTAAATGAATATCATAGAAAAACGAAAGGAAACAACAAAATTCTTCTAATAGAGACCACTCTTGTGTAGATTTTGCTGTATAATCATTGAAATGACAGAGTCGAGGATTTTTTGCACTTGATCTGTATCCGTTGCACACGTCTGGTGAACGAAAATCGTTTTCTTCGGATTTGCATTCAGTGATTCAAATTTCCCACGAATGAAATGGATCGAATCGTCATAGGTTTGTGGGCCTGGAATTGGATGGGTGAAATAAGTGAATTCTTGGATCTTCTTGAGTTAATTAACGCTTTTTTTGTTGAAGCTTAGAGACTGATTTTGAAAGTTTTCTTTAAGAGAACAAGTAGTTTTTGTCAAATCAAAACGGAACTATAAAGGAACTATGAAGGAACTATAAAGGAACTATGAAGGAACTATGAAGGAACTATGAAGGAACTATGAAGGAACTATGAAGGAACTATAAAGGAACTATGAAGGAACTATAAAGGAACTATAATCAAAACCGTTTCCGTTTACCATATCATTTTCACGAATTAAACGATAATTTAAAGATATTCAGTCTGCCTGATTTCTTCAATATTAGTGAACTGTAATGGTCAGATTTTAGACTCAGATAATACGTCGATTGAAACCACAAGATCTCTGAAGAATTTACACATCTTCAAACTTCAAAGTTACTTACTTTACTTCAAAGTTTTCAAAGTTTAAAGTTTGATTTACTCAGCGATAAGTGAAGGAAATAGTTGTGTCTATGAAAAGTGCATTTTTTAGCAAAGTTTCAGAGATTTCACTTTGAAAACTCGCTATTTAGTGCAACTTTTTAGCTCTCAGTTGAACGGGCGACGCTTCATCATTTTTATTGCTTTTGCTATTCGGTATTCCTTTTGCTTCTACCCTAAATCCCTCTCAACTCACCATTATAATCTTGAAAGCAAATCTTGATGGAGACGTGTTGAATTTTCTCGGAAAACAGATCCTTTTTGTTGAGGAAAAGGATGATCGATGTGTTGATGAACCATCGAGAATTACAAATTGATTCGAACAATCGCATCGATTCGACCATTCGATTCTGCAATTATGGAGATTATGGAGATTCGATGTAAACAAACCGTTGTCGCATCCTCGAAAAGCACTTCATCGTACTCGGAAACGGCGGCGATGAAAATGATTGCGTTTACGTCCTCGAAACAGTGAATCCATTTCTTGCGCTCCGATCGTTGACCGCCGACGTCGAATATTCTAAAAATGACCAATCTCTTAACACATCCACAACAATACTACCCACCGGTGGGCCGTACTGACGTACTTATTTTGGTTATCGAACATTTGATAAGCGCCCCGCGCCTTTTCCCTTCAGCAATCTAACTTTGAACTCAAATTTCTTGGTGTTGGGCTGTTCAATTGATATATTCCTAGTATCATTAGATGTGTCAAGTCTTTCTCTATCGATTGGTATAAAAAGTATTCAGATTGGATACCCCAACACCAAGATATTTGAGCTGAAAGTTGGATTGTCAATGGCAAAGGCGGCGGGGCGAGTATCAAATAAATATTAATTTCTAAAGCGTGTCTACTTTTACAGACTGCCGTAATCTTGTCAATCGTAGATAATGTAATCGAATGTTTCTTTTTGTGGTTTATTATTATTATTATTTCTTTGTGAACCTTGAAAGGCTAGCTCAAGTGGAGGGAAACTTACGATAGTTTTGAAAGCACTTTAGTCAACAGGAGTACACTCTACTTTTTGACATTTTGTGAGTTTTGTACCTGAAGTGAACTTTCTTGATGACGAATTCCACTTCGACAATTCCCGTCGTCTTTATCCGGGTCAAGAGCACATCTTGTTCGGTCGGTCTGTATGAGGGATTCGATATCCGATCAATACTATCGAAGAAACTAAAGATATAAGCGATTATCATATAAAAAAGGTTATTATTATTGTTATTATTATTATTATATTGGGTTGATGGAAAAGTCCTTTCCGATTTTTTGGGAGAGTACCTTAAATTTGTCGAATTTTGACGTTTTATAGCTCAACCTAAAGCTGAATTCAAGACGGATCGATTGGTAAAAACCGTTTTGAGATATCTCTTTTCGAAAAGTTTTTACAGCTATTTTAGTAAAGGGCGGCAGAGCCAAAAAATGGCTGTTTTCACGTTTCGTTAGTTTTCCGTGCAGAAACCTAGGCTAAAAACATGTGTTTCGTGATCGGCGTCAAAAATAACCCCTAGACACGCATTTTCAGAATCTTAGCAAAAATTTTTGAAAAATATTGTCACCGATGGAAGTCGAACCAGCGACCCTCAGATCAATAGCCTTTCCGCCGCTTTTCGCGATTTTCCTTCGTTTTTCTCCGTTTTTTTTTGTTTTGTTTGTGCGAGCTGGACAACTTTTTTTTAAAAACAAAGGACTTTTCCATCAACCCAATATATAAAAGGTTTTCTTGCATAATAAACAGTTAACTCACAATTTGCTGCTCTCATGTAAATGATATTCAAGTCGTTTCTCTTCATACGCGTTCTTCACATTTTCATCACCCCACAAGTTCTGAAATTTGTTCTTTCGTGACGACGGTATTCGTGACGACATTCGTGACGACGGTATTTTGAGCGTACAGTCGCGTAGTCGTTATTAGATTTGTTTGTTTGTTTTGTTTTGTTTTTGCTCTTAAATCAGACATTCTTAAATGCACTATCAGTACCATAGTTTTTGCATATTATATAACAATAAAAATTGCATGTTTAGATAGATTCTATTTGTCAAATGTCTCTCTCTATTTCTCACCCTCAATGCAACAGCCACATCCGACGTGAATGGCTCACTTTCTCGTCCCGATTTAATCACCTCGAGCACAACGCGAGCATCTTTCTGAAGAATCCCCAAATATTCCCAAATCAATCATTTTCTACCTCTCTTTCTTTATTCGAGAATGGTCTTTGATAGTTTTGCATTGCTTTCAACAGTGATCCCATCGCGTTCACTGTATTGTTGTAAACGACGATTTTCTGTTGTTCCAATTCCTCTTCGGTGAAACCATTATTGTGGAGTATTCTGGAAAGAAAGCGGTAAAAAGATTTAAAAAAATTAATCAGTATGCCTTTGGATATCACTCTAGTGTTACTTGATCTACCGTAAATACTGTAATAGTGCCCCACTCCCATAATGACGGTGCAGAGTGTTGCGTAGTCTAGCTTTGAACCTGTTTTTCTCGACACTGGTTTATGCTACAATGTTTGTTTAGGTATCAAAAAATAGCCCTGAATTTCAGCTATTTTTTGATACCAAAGACGCATTTTTTGAAAGTACGGGCGCTTTGAAAAAAATTAAATACTAAAAAACTTTTGCGACTACGCGACTGTACGAGGGCGGTGGGGGAATATTACAGTATTTACGGTAGCTTTGTTGACGAGTGGATAATCTTTGGGTTATGGCTTTTGAATAAAGTAGTGTCGATAAATAGAAGTCCGTTCTTCTCGGAGATTCGGGTTTTTTTTGTGAAAAGCTATCCTATACAAAACCCCAAAGCTAATTCGATTCTTGGGACTTTTCTTGGGACAAATGGTTAAAATAAACTCAGCCAATAGGCTGAAAATGGCTTTTGGGGAAAAGCCAATAGGCTGAAAATGGGAAAAAAAAAGTTCTGTTCGAACTCGGATTCGAACCATTGATCTCTCTCACCAGGTGCGAGCGCTCTAACCACTTGGCCATTGCAGACGGGCTGCGGGGATTCGACATCCCTCTAAATAGCCGAGAAGCCGAGAAACTTGAATAAAACTAGCCGAGAAACTAGTCATTTCAAAAGACCCGGATTTCCGAGAAAAATCAAATTTTGTATTGGTTCGAATATAACTATTCTATTTGAGACTATTCAAAATATTCGAAGAATATAAAATTATGTTTTTTTGAGGCATTTGCGCGAAC